AGACGGTACTCTCCCCCTCCACCACGTGACCCTCATTTCCAGTCAACCAGCCCTCATAACCGTCAATAAATCCATCCTTGTCGGAATCCCGGTACTTGTTCCAATAGGCATCCAGTGTGTTGAGGAGCTTGCTTTTTCTATTGTAATACCCGGCACACTTGTTCTTACTGGTGCTTATCATGGCGAACACGAACCCTGATTTCTCGAGCCACATCGTCACTTCATCAGGCTTGATCGGGGTCAGTTCGGAGTTTTCCAGCTTCAACTCTACTTCCAGGGCGTTGGGAGCTAGGGCTGCTCGACAGATTTTGTTCTTGTTTCCGAGATCTCCAGCTCCGAAGAAGTTTGAGTATTCAGCCTCAGAAGAAAGTCTCTGCTGGATGGTCAACCACTTTGCTAGATGGTTGATCCCAAATTTAGGCTGAAAGCAACCAGAGCTGAAGCAATCTATTATTTCCTGCTCAGCCAACTTCACAGGTGTATTCCCAGTTAACCTTTGGTAACCTATCTCTAGAGCTCCAGTCAGAGCAAAGGCGGCAGTGTTCTGACACGAGAGACCGCTGACAATTCGTCTTGACCGCGGAGGCAGTCCTGGCAATCCGTATCCAAGAGCATCACTGCTGTCATCGGCTGTAACAGTAGCAGCTAGTCCTACAAATAGTAGGGTAACAGCGACAAACATTTTGAACTAATAGTGACCCATCGGGGGAATCTCTCCTGGCTAAATTGCATGCTCAAATCTAATTACTATTTGAAAAGATCGCCGGAGTTTGAGAAATTCAAACTTTGTTTTTTCAAGTCATGTGCCACCCTTGACGTGAAAAACTACCGAACCGCCCTAATTTTTCAATTTCCTGTCCTGATTTTGTACCTTTCTAGAACATTATAGGAGGAGACCTGTACGTCTAGCTGGTATTAACCATGTAGAAATTCTCGGGTAACAGAATTGTGAGGATCGTGACTCTGTTTTAACAATATGATACGTTTTTTGCAAAAGACTAATCGCCTGCATTGCTGAATTTTGTAAGTTATCATTAATTTTAATTTTTAGTTCGTGACCCGCCACATGTTACCTGAGTATCTGATGATTTCAAGGTTCACAAGGATTACAAGGTTTACAAGGAATAGATCTATATTGCAGTGAAATAATGTCAGATCAACGTTGCTAAAAAGTCACAGTCCGAAATCCAAGTAGAAGATCCGTTACCGTTAAGGTGTTTAAACCAAGAGTAAGTCATGACTCATGATGTTGCTCTAAAGGCGAGTGCATATCGCATCGTTCAGGCTAATAGCTAACAAAGAGATAGAAAAGCACGCAGAACCTTACAGAAAAACAACGTGAATTGTGAAGAATGAAGATGCTTGAGATATGTCCGTGTGGGTGTGGTAAAGGAGTCGACGATGTGATTGAGGTGGAGTGGAATGCAAATGTAAAGTGCAAATGAAGGGGCTGCAGAGGAATGGTGATGTCTCGTACTGTGACACTAATTTTCGTGTTTCTTCTTGATAGGAAATCGTATTCTGCAAAGCTGAGCGACGAACTTGGTGAATTCCACTATATGCTCCGGAAGAAAGAGGCTCTTCATGTGAATCATGTCATGAAATAGCAAAGACTTTGTGGGCTCCTTTATGTTAGTCTTACTGGAATGGTACCTGGGACATGTTCTAAGGAAGTGTTCTTCATCTTCTATTATTGGGTCTTATTGGATAGAGTTATTATTTTACACCCCTTTAACAATATATCCTCAATGGTGTGAACCGTTTTTATATACTAAACCTGTTTGCAAATTTGCCGCATGGTTCCATTTTACTGTGAACATGCATAGCGGTTCATAATTTATGATGGCATTAAAAATTGAAAGCACGATACATTAGGTCCCAGAATACAAGAGGGGCTAAACTGCAATGTTATACTGAAATATAAAGAGCATTCTACATATTTTACACAAGAGACGTTACATTTTCTGCCAGTCAAATTTCCTCCATTTATAAGGACCGGGTCGCCAACCTAGAGATGGGAGTAACAAGTACAGATGATTTAATTAAGAAGTGAACAGATCTAAAACTATTACTTAACCTATGAATATTTCGGCTGATCCCAGCTCTTTTTTTAATAATTATGTAACCTTGCAACACCAAGCTAAGCTAGTGATATTTAAAAATACTGAGATTTATAGAAGCATCAGAATGCTTACTCCACGATGGTGTGCGTATGAGTATTGCTGAAAGCACAGTGTAAGGCCTACACGGACCGCCTCTAACTAGCCAATCCCTGTTTACATGATATGATAGAAATAAATTGAGAGTATCAAATAATCCCGTGTTCTTTTCCCGAGAAAATATGTTGTTAACATGTGTACTTACTACCATTACACCACAAAACGCACATGCCGCAAGATAAACTATATTTATTAAGAATGTGGTGTAAATTAAACGACAGTACTAAATATAAAACTATATATACTTTCAACACTACTATATTTAACAAATAATTTGAGGCTCTATTGATGCAGTTTTACGAAGATTTCAAGCCTTACGTTGTGTGTTTCACTTCGTGTCCAAAGCATTATAAATATAAAACTAATCTTCTACATGACGTGGTGTATAAAATGTTTGAGTATACTTCACTAAAGTTCTAGCATCCCCTTCTTTTTTAAAAAATCTTAATATAACTGTAATTTACTCTGGCAGTTACAAGATAATTAAACCCCACATTTCCTTATTATATCCCAAAGTTTAGTTCTGCAGAAGTTTTGAGATTTTCCCGGGTGGTCATAATCCGCCGAAATCCAAAGCTTGGTACGTGGCTACTGAGCTGTAGGGGAAGCTTTTGAATCTATTTATTTCCAAACATTTCTACAAGAAATATTTATCCCTGATTATCTTGATCCGCATGAATTGACCCTTAATCTGTTGTAACTTTGTAATTTGTTCTTAAAATAAATGAACTTTGATTCGATCATAATATTGCATTGCAGGTCTTCTGAAATCTGCAGATTAAATTTCTTACATGGTCCCTGTCGCCTGTGCAAGACAATAATTCACTGCTTTTTAATAGCTCATTAGTCCGCTCCTGTCCTAACATTGTTTCTTGCTCTTGTCGTACGATAGGAATTTATTTATTATGGGATGTTGCGACGTGGCCAGATTTAGTCTCCTGGTATATTCTCGGATGATCGCATATTATCCCATAAAAATTAATAAGGATATTAAGGAAGCTAAAAACTCTTGAAACTGGCTTGAACCGTGACGGAAGAAGTTTACGGTAAAAGTTTTGAAAAATAGGCTGATCATGAAAAGAGTGCTGATTCGATTGTGAATTCTTGAGAATTTGTTGCAACAAAAAATTGTGATTCGAGAAATAATTTAGAGAGAAATACTTCAGAGCCACCCCATGCCGGTTCCATAATGTTGTGATGATGAGTTCATAACGGCATTTACTGGCAATTCCGGTAATTTGTTCCGAGATTTGACAAATCATTGTAGCTAATGAACTCAAGTCTTGAGTTCATTAAAATGTTTGTAGTTTTTTTCTTGGCTTCTGTATCATTTTTCTGCAGGACTTTCAGAAATCAACATCCCCGAAATAGTTCAGTCTTAGTGGTCACAAAGATACTAATTTCTGGCAGGCATTTTTTCCCGAATACCGATATAAAAGAGAGAAGTGAATGGGCTATCATTCTCATAATCTACCTAATTTGATCATTTGCCAATGATCTGACCCACAGCAGCTAGTGAAATTACCCTGCCATACCTTCTATTATATTACAAAATACTCCAAACGGCACATATTGAACAAGAACGGGAATTATCAGAGATAATGAGGTGTACCATATTTATTCTCCTCAGGACATAAGTTTTTATTCTTTCTTAAGTTTTTATTACGTTTGAGTTATGATAAAAATGCCGAAAAGTTGTTTACATTTTCCTCCATTTTCACCATCGATGTTTGGCAAAATGGAAAAGATATTTTCATCGTTTACTGAATTTCTCTAATTTTGGCACCCACTTGAAAAATTGCAAGATCTTTGATATGATGGCGACGAAGGCAACAAGAAATAACAAGAAATTATGTTGTTTTGTTGTGACGGATGGAAAAAAATGCGGCCGCTTTTCTTTTGTGGATGGCCGCTCAATTTCCTGATCCGTGATGACGTCTCTTACCATATTTTATATTACTTGGGGTCCCCATGTTTTAGTGTTCATTTACATAAAGATATGGCGAAGTGACAGGCTGAGCGCCGCTCAGTAAATTCCATATTGATTGTGAGCTGCAACATACTGTCACCTTTAAATCCAGGAACATGAACAACAATGTCCCTCACATCTGAACAAACTGTCACCTTTAAATCCAGGAACATAAACAATAATGTCCCTCACATCTGAATATACTGTCATCTTTAAATCCAGGAACATAAACAATAATGTCCCTCACATCTGAATATACTGTCATCTTTAAATTCAGGAACATGAACAATAATGTCCCTCACATCTGAATATACTGTCATCTTTAAATCCAGGAACATGAACAACAATGTCCCTCACATCTGAACAAACTGTCACCTTTAAATCCAGGAACATGAACAATAATGTCCCCCAGATCTGAATATACTGTCATTTTTAAATCCAGGAACATGAACAATAATGTCCCTCACATCTGAACAAACTGTCACCTTTAAATCCGTAGAGTTGGGGTTCAGAGCACCATTCAATTCTACACTAACCATCTGATTTTAATGGTAAAGTAAATGCCTTCAGTTCTCAACGCAAAAGTCGAGGAACTTGCACTTAGATAATAATCTGTCATGGTGAAGAACTACATAATATCGAGTTACAGTAGCATTCTCAACAAATCAAGTAGTAACCATTCTCGTAATCTAACCGTTTAAGTGGTTTAATGCTTATTAGATTTTCTTTGAATATGCGTAAACGTCGTCCATAGAATAGTACTTGAAAGTAATTCCAACTTCGTGTTTTAACCCCCTGTTATTTCTCCTCAGTTTGCACGCGATGTACAAGTCCGTGATAGATGCTGAGAACACGTCCGTGAATCTGCGAGCGGAGATAGGTCGACGGATACAGTCCGTCTCACAAGTCGAGAACAACAAGGTGCACGAACTGAAATGTAGGATAAAGTATCTTCAGGACCGCCGAGCAAAGTTCGTGGAATCAGTCACCAAAGGTTAGTTAACATTGCTGTATCCTTCCCTCTGCAGTACTGTTAATGAAGAATTCTGGATATTCCATAGCACTCGCATTTCGCAACCGAAATCCAGAATCTCTGGCGCACGCCGCACATTCTTAGCGCCTAAGTTGATTGTTTTGAGTGCGCGCGTCATATATTTGTAACACGCCAAGACAGCAATTTGTCGTAAACAAAAGTTGTTAACGTAAAAGTAGCGCGCGTATCTAATCTAAATAAATTTCGAAAATGACCGACGGACGAAATTGTGATTTAAAAACTGTCTATTGTCTGAAGATTGAATCTGACTGTCGAGTATCGTCTATCTGAATGATTATTCAGCAATTTTAGAAAAAGGCTACGTTGTATACTACTTAGTACTTTAGTTTCAAGCGAGATGCATTACATAAACAATAAAGCTCCGTCAGAAATATAAGTCAAATGTTTTTGCAAATGCTTGGGACAACTTCACTAGCTATCACAACAAAGGCGGCTATTTAGGGCGTCCGTGGACGTCCTAAAATTATTGTCTGGTGGCTGGTGCTTGAAAATAGAAATAGTAATAGTATTCGGAAATATCTAATCGCGATATAAAGCTTTTTATTCTACTCAAACGTTCGAATGTAAGCGCACGCATGATCTTTGTGATAATCACAACATCGACACAGTTGCAAAATAAACGGAGACTTGAAGTCCGTCCAAATCAGTCCCTGTACAGAACAGTGAACACTGACATTTTCCCGGCTGAACGGCAGAGTGCCTTCCTCTGCTCATTATTAAGAAGACTTGGATTTATCCATCTAAAGTAACCATGATTTATTGTCTAAAAGTTCACCTACATTATCTGTACCATGAGCTTGTTTTTGACGCTTTTATTTCAGATAAAGACAGGTTGGAACGTATGAGAGAGCAGAACGCACAACATTTACTCCGTAGAGGCAATCTCCGCAAATCAGTCAGAGAATGTGGAAATCTGTTGGCGGAAGAACTCGACAAAATGGATTGGATGGTGCGGTACGTGGTGAAGAGCAAACTGAAGCTGCTGAAAAGGCAACAAACGTTGGTTGGACAGTTGAGACAGATATTTCACATTACTCAAGATGACAAGAGTCATAAGATGATGATATTCGGATTGAAGATACATTCTCAGGATCAAATAAATGGTATGTTTCATTAGATTAAGGTTTAAAGAAAACTCAATAATTATGTATACACAACTAAGGTCATATCCAGTGGCATGCTAAATATTAGTTTGAAATAAAAGTGTTGACACGTGACCGGTTCTGTAACCACATGACATCCCAGATAAGAGCGAGGAGGAGGAGTTAGGGCCAGCGCTCGGTTATGCAGCGCACCTCGTCACTCTGATTTCCTCTCTGTTTGATGTTCCTCTGAGGTTCCCTCTGACTCCAGCCCTCTCTCTGTCCACTATCAGGGATGATATCACCGCTAAACTGGATGAGAAACGAGTGTTAGTTTCCTTTTCGTCATATTTTTCCCGATTTATGACTCCTGTGCCGGAGGCACGAAAGAGTTAAGATTAAGGGTTAACAAACGAGGTTTTTTTTGTATTATATGGTAGCTTGCGACCGTCGTGCCTGCCTGCCTGCGTACGTACCAGTGGCGTAACGTTGCCTGTTGGCGCCCCCCCCCCCCCCCCCCCCCGCCGAAAAAGCGCCCCCCTGTTGGCGCCCCCTCCCCTTTTGGTGCCCCTCCCTAAAATTGAACAAATTAGGTGATTTTAGAGGATACACCGGTAAAATCTCTAAAAAAGTGTGTATCTAGAGCAAAAGGCGCAGTTTTGCTAGTACTTTAGTTAAGTTTTCGAAATTGTTCCACATTCAAACGACGATTTGGCGCCCCCTAAGACGGCCCCCCCCCCCCCCCCGCACAGCGGGGTCAGCGGGGCCCTTCGTTCCGCCACTGATACGTACGTGCCCGAGCGCACAAATGTCGCCCACGTTCCTAATAAATCTGCGCAAAGTTATTTTGCGAGATATTCTGAATTAAATTATTATTGGCGCGCGGCGCTGAACTGATCAAGTAAATCGTTAATTTCACCATGTACGTATCTCGGGGGGGGGGGGGGGGCACTGGCATAAAATGGCATAAATGGAGAATTACTCAAGGGTTTTTCATTTTCTACATATAGAAAAAGTCCTATTTTATGCCATTGGCAACAGAGATTCGTAAATTTGCCTTAGTTATGGCAGATGAAAATGAATATACTGTCTACTGATTCTTAGTGTAGAGGAAATGCCAAAACTACTACCCACCAAGGTTGAAGGTCCTGAAAATGTATAGTATCCACAGTTGTTTCAATTAAGATGATATGATCAATTATCCATAACGGTTGTCGGTATTTACTATGTTGAACTATTATGCAACATTCAACATGAGACAATGTGGTTCATTATTCTCTCATAGTTAGTAAAGAACCGCACATGGCTTCTAAATATTATAACACGCAGTAAACATGTTGGTGAAACAATTCAGACTCTTATCGTATCTGTCAGTTCTTTTCAGCTATATGTTTGTCGAATGTCGACGACAACTATTTGTCTGTAGTTCGAATTGGATGCTTAATTGCATCATTGACATCGTTGAAGAATAGGATACGTAGTTGTTACTTGTTTATTGTTAACCGGTTTACTCAACGTTCAACTAGGGTCGAGTAGCCGGTATTCTCTATTGTTTTTTCACTTATTACGTAATCAGCCGAGGGGGGGGGTTCCAAATACTTACTGTTGATTACGGGGGTGGGGGGGGGTTTGGTCGTTGATTACGTAATCAAGATTCTCTTTTTTACCCTCTAGAATAATAACAATTGGACAATATTTTATTTCAAATTCCACTCAATTTCATTCTGATAGTGATAAAATTTAGAAATTGATCGGATATCCGACTATAGTAAGTAGTTTGAAAGGTGCTTGGCCGGATATCATAACAATGATATCGGCTCATCATGATCAGGGTAGCATGAAACGTAAAGAAAAATGATTTCCAGGGAAAAAAGTCAAAGGGGGGGGGGGGTGTGGGTCAGGCCATGATTACGTAATATTGCTGTCAGGGGGGGGGGGGGGGGGGTTGGGGAGCTTGATTACGGAGGGGGGAGAGAGGGTCAAAATTGCTAAAATAATGATTACGTAATATGTGAACGACCCCTTAATAACTTAATAAGAATTCTGCCCAAGGTTAACTAATTTATGGAGCAAGAAAAAACTGTGTCATTCTTCCGTTCATTTTTTGTTTGTTGTGCGTGGTAAGTTCGATTTTGCTTTCCTAAACTGATAATGACAGGTGTTGCCACTATTTTCAGGACTAAAATCCTTTTCATAACTAATTTAGTACGGATATTACTTTTCGATCTGGGCTATTTAATAATTTTAAGATAGCTTTTTCTCTTAAACTTTATTCCTTTCCAGCATAAGCCTTTAGCTATCAAAACATTCATTATGCTGTGTGTGTAGTAATCAAATTTAAAGTTTCGATGAGATATTTAAGTTATTTAGTAAACTAAACAATGGTAAATCACAAGCATGATCTCAATAGGGTGTGTGATAAAATTATAAATGTGATTTCAAATTGGTCCTTGTCCTGTGATAAGTCACATGACATTGCATAATGTGGGAACTTGGACTGACTTGACCTAGTTGTGTGCCATTGAGGATGAGTTAACTTTCTTATTAACTTACAAACCCATTTTTAAATTTTTTTCGAGCTTGAAGATGATGTGCATTGTTCTTTGATCAGCAGTTTAAGTTGTTAGATTTCTCCTGTTTAGTGTTTAATTGCTATTAATAAATTGGATTATAAATTTGTACGACACATATCTTTTTAACATTGACATTCTAGAGATTCGAGACAGAGATGACAACTACAGAACCACTTCCCCCAACTCCCAATGTAGAAGAGTTCTTGTCAGAAGAGCAGTTCAGAATATACGACACCCTTCTAGCAGTCATTCTTACTCTATGTACTCTAGTCGGTCTCCCAGGTAACATTGTCTCCCTGCTCTACTTCTACTCCGCAAAACAAAGAAGCTTTTCCAACTTGATCTACATGTTTGTGTGCTGTATTGACATCGGTACCTGTATTATCCCAATACCAGTCATGATAGCTCTCTATAACGCCAGAAGACCGGGGATCTTCGGAGAAACTATATTCTGCGTTGGGTGGAGTGTGGTCTTCTATTATCTCCAACTCATGTCGATGTTTCTGGTGATGCTAATGAGTGTTTCACGATCCATAAAGCTAATCTTTCTCTTCCACAAGATCGAGAGGAGATTTCTCATCGTATCGATTCTTCTTTACACTGGATTCATAATCATTCACAACATTTTGGCTGAACTTTTTGGGGGCGAAAACAATTATGGATACTCGTCCTCTGACGTGTACTGCTACTATGACCTTCAAGAAAAGCCATTCTCTTACATTGACCAACTGGTTCACAACATGTCTATTGGCATTCCCCCGATCGTAACAACCACCAGTTTCATTGTATTCTTTTTCGTGCTGATGAAGAAGAGACGAACTTCAAAAACAAACAAAAGGAATCACCAAGCATCGGTGACCATGGGAATATTCACAATCCTTTTTCTGGCATGCAACCTCCCCTGTTTCCTGAACAACATTTTATGGTTCATGACTGAACTAAGTTATAAGTCTGAATATCCTGAGCCTTTTTACGCGAATAAATTCATGTTTTTCTATAGTTGGCTGATCTCTGATGTTTTTTGCACGGCGTTGAACGCAGCACTCAATCCAGTTCTATATTTTTGTAGAATGAAAAATCTGAGAGACTGGGTCAGATCTCGGGTGCAAGGTACTGCTCGCGAACACAGTATGAATTTATCAGCACGTTCTACTGACAGTGCAATATGAGAGATATATATATCGTCTCGCTTTATATATAGAAAGATTGCGAATTGGTGATTAATTTCTCTATTAGTTATATACGACTTATTTTCTATTGGATACCATTTCCGTCATTTTTTTCGATTTACCATAAATATTCTTTTCGACATTATTTCAGAAACAATTTCTATTTATGGGACAGATTTGAAAATTGGGCGTAAATTCACTAACACTTGGGGAAGCCTGATCTCTAGTCAGAGGATGATACTGCGATTATTCTGAGTTTTTAAGAAATTGCTGAATCATTCTCTGCCAGGGAATTTACAATTTACTGGATGCTGTTCTGAGTCTTCTTACCGGGGAGGGGGGGGGGGGGTCAATGGCATAAAATGGCATTAATGGAGAATTACTCAAAGGTTTTTTAATTTTTCCATTTTGCACAAATCCGTGTCATATCCTGTATCCGGTTGCATAAACTATAAACATTAAACATATGGTTACATAGAAATATACACGATTTTCAAATTCAATATGGAATTAACTGGGCGGCGCTCGGCCTATCACTCCGCTTTATCTGCATGCTTATAAACAGTAAAGCCTGGGGTCCCCAGGTTGTATGAAATATGATGAAATACGCCATCACGGATCGGGAAATTGAGCGGCCATCTACAAAAGAAAAGAGGCCGCATTTCTTGTTATCGTGTATCTTCTGGGTTTATCAATTACCATAGATGATTAAAAACTTTCAGGTATTTCCAAAACTACGAGAAGAATTCCTTTTCTCTCAATAGAGAGTATATTAAATGAGATGTGTTAACTGTTGTTACCTTACTATGGAAATAACGCCTGAAAATTCTTCAGCCTACCACTGTACATCAAGGGGAAAGACAGGAGTTACTTCAGCTACGGAGTGTTCCTGTTGCACCGCAACATCGCTCAGATCAGACATCATTGCGGAATGAGAACTGAGGAGATTAAAGCACCTCTTGGTAATCTGACAGAACTTATGAATTCAAAGCTGCGGGATTCCATGTAAGTTGGAAAGGGTTACAGTAGATTTATCACCTATACTCTGCCAGGAGGCGTGTTTAATGTATGACTAAACAATAGGTGGTTAAACCAATGCTACGTTTTATGTAATCACTTTTTTTTGTCACAGTTCTCAGAATTCTAATCAGTTTAATTTCATCCGTAATTAAGATGACGCTTGACAAGTTAAATCCTCTCTAACAACAGTTGAAGCGTTTTAGTTTTGTTACTCTTCGTTAGTTCATAGTAGATGAAATGACACCGTACTTGCAGGTCGTGTCACCCTCCAGCTCGAATAGTTTCTAACGACAAGGTAATATCTCGCCACCGGAGCACCGACACCTTCAAGAAGACCCATAAAAGAGTCAGATCTGCTCCGATAAAGTGAGTTGTTGTAGTACAGGGAGTAATTTCTTGTCACTTTGCGTGATTTGTGCATTTTTTTGAACCATCTGCATCTGTCCTCATCTTATCATTTTCGAAACTTCATATTTTTTTCCAGCGTTTTACGGATGGCTCGTTAAGCTATTGAATTGTACCAATCATGATTTCTGCTCGAATGTCTTAATAAAATGTAACCCTTATTTTAAGAGTTATCGGTTTTTCAGATCCCTTAAATATTTTTCCTCAGGTTTAACGTTAGTTTGGATATGGGAGGGATAGACGCCAGGTCGACTTACTCAAATGCTCCGAGCGAAGTTTCTTCGTGGAATTCATCTATCAGTAAGTTATAGAATTCCAATCTCCAATGAGCATAATATGTTTTTTTGGAAAAAGAGCTGATTCAAAATATTCTGTAATTATGATTTTAGAATCATCAAAGTTTATTGTTCAGGCGATAAGTTGAAGCATCTTAAAATTCACCGAAATAACTATTGTATTAAGATATGGAGAAAAAAACGTAGCATGCATTGTTTTATTTGTTATCCATCTAAGTTTAAAATTATTCTGCTCAGGTCTAAAGATAAGTGAGGGGCCTGTGCAGACAGCTAGTTCAGCAGAAGACATAACTGTAACCGTCCCGGAGAAAGAGGGTAGGTCTTTATTGTAGTTATATAGGTGTTAATCCTGGCACAGGCAAAAGTCCTGCTCACCTAAGGACTGGCGCTAAGTTTCTCGATGTAATCCGCCTTATATGACCCTAAATAACACAATTGACTCGGGTACACTTTTTCGCGAGTGGGGCATTTTCCGGAATCACGCCCTTTTTGACCGCGCCCACATCGCGACCCCCACCATTGATTATCTCAGCTTCTGATTGAGATACAGACCTCAGACATAAACCAAAATGTGCCTAAGATGCATGTTTATATTAGTGCTATGAACATACTTAAGGCCTCAGAGGCTTAGATTTTGAGAAATTAATAAAAAAACCGATTTTAGGGTAAATATTGAAGCTCATACGCGTATCTCATGTTCTGATTCAGATACAGACCTCAGACATAAACCAAAATGTGCCTAAGATGCATGTTTATATTAGTGCTATGAACATACTTAAGGCCTAAGAGACTTATTTTTTGAGAAATCGCCAAAAATTCGATTTTACTATACTAGGAGTCTCGAGAGTAACAATTATCAAACTTATTTCAAGATATCTCCGCTTCTGATTGGAGTTAAGCGCTCATCTTGGGCATTAAAATGGTCAGAATCATCATATTGAGTGGGGTAGAGCATGGTTTCAAAGTCTTCAGACTTCAGGTTGTTGAGTTATTAGGTCAGATCCCATTTTTATGCTCTCGCGAGTAGCGATTGATGCACTTATTTCAAGATATCTCAGCTTCTGATTGGAGTTTAACGCTTATCTTGGGCATTGGAATGGTCAGAATCATCACATTGAGTGGGGTAGAGCATGGTTTTGAAGTCTTGAGACTTCAGGTTGTTGAGTTATTAAGTCAGATCCCATTTTTATGCTCTCGCGAGTAGCGATTGATGCACTTATTTCAAGATATCTCAGCTTCTGATTGGAGTTTAACACTTATCTTGGGCATTGAAATGGTCAGAATCATCATATTGGTGGGGTAGAGCATGGTTTTAAAGTCTTCAGACTTCAGGTTGTTGAGTTATTAGTTCAGATCCCATTTTTATGCTCTCGCGAGTAGCAATTGATGCACTTATTTCAAGATATCTCAGCTTCTGATTGGAGTTAAGCGTTCATCTTAGGCATTGAAATGGTCAGAATCATCACATTGAGCGGGGTAGAGCATGGTTTTGAAGTCTTTAGACTTCAGGTTGTTGAGTTATTAGGTCAGATCCCATTTTTATGCTCTCGCGAGTAGCGATTGATGCACTTATTTCAAGATATCTCAGCTTCTGATTGGAGTTTAACGCTTATCTTGGGCATTGAAATGGTCAGAATCATCACATTGAGTGGGGTAGAGCATGGTTTTGAAGTCTTGAGACTTCAGGTTGTTGAGTTATTTGGTCAGATCCCATTTTTACGCTCTCGCGAGTAGCGATTGATGTACTTATTTCAAGATATCGCAGCTTCTGATTGGAGTTTAACGCTCATCTTGGGCATTGAAATGGTCAAAATCTTCAGATTGAGTGAGGTAGAGCATGGTTTTGAAGTCTTGAGACTTCAGGTTGTTGATTTATTAGATCAGATGACAGATCCCATTTTTACGCTCTCGCAAGTAGCGATTGATGCACTTATTTCAAGATATCGCAGCTTCTGATTGGAGTTTAACGCTCATCTTGGGCATTGAAATGGTGGAGTGTGGAGATAAGCGTTCATCATGGGCATTAAAATAGTAAAAGTTATCAAATTAAGTAGCATCGAGCATGGTTTTAAAGTCTTTAGACTTCAGGTTATTAAATTATTAGGTTAAACCCTATTTTTATGCTCTCGCAAGAATGGTCACTGCAATGGTGAAAATATTTATTAAATGAACTGTAATTAATCGGGGGGGGGGGGGGGATCATGTTTTTTTGTCCGTTTTTGTCCGTTTGGCAGCTATATTTTCAAAACGGACAAAAAATAAAGCGGACAAAAACGGACAAAAACGGACAAAAACGGACAAAAAATAACAAAAATTGAAATAACATTTAGATGCTTCCTCCTCTTCCTCCTCCTCCTCCTCCTCCTCCTCTTCCTCCTCCTCCTCCTCCTCTTCCACCTCCTCAGTCATCCTCCTGAGTCCTCCTCCTCCTCCTGAGTCCTCCTGGGTCCTCCTCCTGAGTCCTCCTCCTCCTCCTCTTCATCCTCCTCCTCTTCATCCTCCTCCTCTTCCTCCTCAGTCCTCAGTCCTTCTCCTCAGTCCTCCTCCTCAGTCCTCCTCCTCATCCTTCTCCTCAGTCCTCTTCAGTCCTCCTCCTCAGTCTTCCCCCAGTCCCCCTCCTCCTCCTTCTATTCAGTCCTTCTCCTCCTCCTCAGTTATCCTCCTCCTCCTCCTTCTCCTCCTGGGTCCTCCTCCTTCTCCTCCTGGGTCCTCCTCCTCAGTCCTCCTCATCCTCTTCATCCACTTACTTCTCCTCCTCATCAGTCCTCCTCAGTCCTCCTCCTCAGTCCTCCTCCTCCTCGTCCTCAGTCCTCGTCATCAGTCCTCACCAGTCCTCCTCCTCCCAAGTCATCCTCCTCCTCCTGGGGCCTTTTCCTGCGTCCTCCTCCTCCTGGGTCCTCCTCCTCAGTCCTCCTCCTCCTCCTTCTCCTCCTCAGTCCTTCTCCTCTTCCTCCTCCTCAGTCTTCCTCCTCCTCCTCAATCCTTTCTCCAGTCACCCTCCTCCTCATCCTCATCCTCCTCATCAGTCCTCCTTCTCCTTCTCAGTCCTCCTTCTCAGTCCTTCTCCTCTTCTTCCTGGTTCCTCCTCCTGGGTCCTCCTTCTCCTCCTCAGTCCTCCTCCTCTTCCTCCTCCTCCTGGGTCCTCCTGATCCTCCTCAGTCTTCTTCCTCCTTCTACTCCTCAGTCCTCCTCCTCCTCAATCCTCCTCTTCCTCCTAAGTCCTCCCCTTCTCAGTCCTCCTCCTCATCAGTCCTCTTCACCAGTCCTCCTCCTCAGTCCTCCTTATCCTCATCCTTCATCTCCTTCCTTCATCTCCTTTCTCCTCCTCATCCTCCTCATACACCTCCTTCTCCTCATCAGTCCTCCTCCTCACTGCTCACTCCTTCTCCTCCTCCTCCTCCTCCTCGTCCTTAGTCCTCTTTATCAGTCCTCATCAGTCCTCATCAGTCCTCCTCCTCCCCAGTCCTCCTTTTGGGGCCTTTTCCTGGGTCCTCCTCCTGGGTCCTCCTCCTCTTGGGTCCTCCTCCTCTTGGGTCCTCCTCCTCATCCTTCTCCTTAGTCCTCCTCCTCCTCAGTCCTCCTCTCGAGTCCTTCTTCTCCTCCTCCTCCTATTCATTCCTCCTCCTCAGTTTTCCTTCTCAGTCTCACTCCTCCTTCTCAGTCCTCCTCCTCCTCTTCTTCCTGGTTCCTCCTCTTGGGTCCTCCTTCTCCTCCTCAGTCCTCCTCCTCTTCCTCCTCTTCCTGGGTCCTCCTTCTACTCCTCAGTCTTCTTCCTCCTTCTACTCCTCAGTCCTCCTCCTCCTCAATCCTCCTCTTCCTCCTAAGTCCTCCCCTCCTCAGTCCTCCTAAGTCCTCCCCTTCTCAGTCCTCCTCCTCATCAGTCCTCTTCACCAGTTCTCCTCCTCAGTCCTCCTTATCCTCATCCTTCATCTCCTTTCTCCTCATCATCCTCCTCATACACCTTCTTCTCCTCATCAGTCCTCCTCCTCACTCCTCAGTCCTTCTCCTCCTCCTCCTCCTCCTCCTCGTCCTTAGTCCTCTTTATCAGTCCTCATCAGTCCTCATCGGTCCTCCTCCTCCCCAGTCCTCCTCATGGCTTCATGGGGCCTTTTCCTGGGTCCTCCTCCTGGGTCCTCCTCCTCTTGGGTCCTCCTCCTCTTGAGTCCTTCTTCTCCTCCTCCTCCTATTCATTCCTCCTCCTCAGTTCTCCTTCTCAGTCTCACTCCTTCTCAGCCCCCCTCCTCTCTCTCCTCAGTCCCCCTCCTCAGTCCCCCTCCTCCTTTTCCTTTCTTTCATCTCTCATATCAATAATTTGTTCAATTTATAATTATTGTTGGTGTTATTGTTAACATAATTTATTGTTATATACTAAAATGTTTTTAAGCGCATTTGAGTCTGACACAAAATGTGCTCAAGAATCATTGTGTTTAACAAAGTTTTGCTCTCCAGTAATAAAACTTTTCATCCCTTTTTATGTTATTAAAAAATGTGTAGACTATTCTTTGTGCCTAATTGAAGATTGAAAGTTTGAGAAAGGACCATGGTCATTAACCGGGCTACCCATTTCTGCAGATAGCCTGTTACAAATTGTGGAGAAAATTTAAATCAAAAGTTACAATTTTTGTCCGTTTTTTTCCGTTTTTGTCCGTTTGGCAGCTATATTTTCAAAACGGACAAAAATTAACGGACAAAAACGGACAAAAAATAACATGATCCCCCCCCCCCCCCCCCCTTAATCGCCAGGAAAAAGTTGTTTGCCAAGAAATATCAGTAAAATGTCACTAAAACCTCTAGCACTAGGAACATGCTTTACCCCACTTAATATGATCATACTGACCATTTCAATGCCCATGATAAGCGCTTAGCTTCAATCAGAAGCTGCGATATCTTGTAATAAGTGTGTCAATCGCTACTCGCAAGAGTGTAAAAGTATGTTTTAACCTAATAATTCAACAACCTGAAGTCTGAAGAATATGAAACCATACTCTACCCCACTCAATGTGATGATTCTAACCATTTCAATGCCCAAGATGAACGCTTAGCTCCAATCAGAAGCTGATATATCTTGAAATAAGTGCATCAATCGCTACTCGCAAGAGCGTAAAAATGGGATTTAACCTAATAATTCAACAACCTGAAGTCTGAAGACTTTGAAACCATGCTCTACCCCACTCAATCTGAAGATTTTGACCATTTCAATGCCCAAGATGAGCGTTAAACTCCAATCAGAAGCTGCGATATCTTGAAATAAGTGCATCAATCGCTACTCGCGAGAGCGTAAAAATGGGATCTGTCATCTGATCTAATAAATCAACAACCTGAAGTCTCAAGACTTCAAAACCATGCTCTACCCCACTCAATGTGATGATTCTGACCATTTCAATGCCCAAGATGAGCGTTAAACTCCAATCAGAAGCTGAGATATCTTGAAATAAGTGCATCAATCGCTACTCGCGAGAGCATAAAAATGGGATCTGACCTAATAACTCAACAACCTGAAGTCTGAAGACTTTGAAACCATGCTCTACCCCACTCAATATGATGATTCTGACCATTTTAATGCCCAAGATGAGCGCTTAACTCCAATCAGAAGCGGAGATATCTTGAAATAAGTGTGATAATTGTTACTCTCGAGACTGCTAGTATAGTAAAATCGAATTTTTGGCGATTTCTCAAAAACTAAGTCTCTTAGGCCTTAAGTATGTTCATAGCACTAATATAAAAATGCATCTTAGGCACATTTTGGTTTATGTCTGAGGTCTGTATCTCAATCAGAACATGAGATACGCGTATGAGCTTCAATATTTACCCTAAAATCGTTTTTTTATTAATTTCTCAAAATCTAAGCCTCTGAGGCCTTAAGTATGTTCATAGCACTAATATAAACATGCATCTTAGGCACATTTTGGTTTATGTCTGAGGTCTGTATCTCAATCAGAAGCTGAGATAATCAATGGTGGGGGTCGCGATGTGGGCGCGGTCAAAAAGGGCGTGATTCCGGAAAATGCCCCACTCGTGAAAAAGTGTACCCGAGTCAATTGTGTTATTTAGGGTCATATAAAGCGGATTACATCGAGAAACTTAGCGCCAGTCCTTAGGTGAGCAGGACTTTTGCCTGTGCCAGGATTATGTGTAATTCGAAGGTGTAATTAACACGATCTTTTTCACTTAAAACTTTATTTTTCAGATCTCATTTTGATACCCCTCAATTTCAGAAGAAGAAGTGTCTGATCTAATAGATTTTAATGAGGAAGAGCTCGATGACGATGAGCCAGGTCCGTCCTCTACAGCGGACTCCACAACCCGGCCAGCAAGCTCCGAGTCTGCCCAGACTCCTGAACCTCAGACTCCTCCTACTTCTCCTCATACCCCTCTATCGTCCCGTGTAGCTTGGCAAGATGCCAGCCCCCCAGACGTCTTCACAAGCACTGATGACGTTACAGCCAATGACAAGACGTCACAAGAAACGTCAGTCCGTACTCACAATGGGTCCTTGAGCTCCAGTCCGATGGGCAGCTCAACCCCACCCCGCGGGTCCACTTTGCCCATCGGCTGTTCCCTGACCAGTGGCTCCACTCCTCCCCTCAGTTCCAGCCTTAATCGTTCAGCAGAGGTGGGTAGGTCTAGTTTCAAGAGTTACATACGTGGGAGCGAGCTTTGGGGACGAACTGAGGACGGAGCGCAGCGGTCTGCTAGTTTCAAAAGTTACCGCCATCCTAAAAGAACGGACACGCCCAAATCTGATGACAGAACAGACTCTTTAGGAGCAGTTAGCGGTGATCGGAGTCCTATCGCAAATAGATCTCCTGAGTCTCTTAGCTCAAACAGGACCCCTGAGTCTGTTAGCTCGCCGAGTCCTGAATCCAACAGAACTGATACTGGAGATACTGATTCCAACGTCTCACAAGCTTCCTCGTCAATTGGTTCGCCGTCAAGGTACAATTTTTATGCATTGCAAACTTCAAAACGATCCATTAGACTCAAAATAATACCTAAACGACTGGTTAAGTCTAATGATAACCCAAAAATACTACCTAAAAATGGTTTACCAATCCAGTCAAGATTCGCTGAACGAAAAAATGTTCGCCTACTATCTCAAGTACAGCTCTCGCTGTGAGTCACAGCATACTTGCATTCAGAGCATTATATCCAATAATTTAAATTTCCCTTAACACTAAAATTATTTTCAGATTAAGCTTTGAAAGCTTAAGCAACAGCATGTCTCATTATGTAGCACTGGTGGCACCATTTACACTTTGCACTCATTTTGTGGGCATGGTCTGCCGCAAGATTTTTGTCTATCAAACTTCTTTTCCCAATCCTAACTGGTTTATTTTCAGGAGTGAAGTAAGAATACAACCGGTCCAGCATCACATCACTAAAACCTACATGGCCCTCGACAGTCCAATCATAATCCATTCCTCCGCTCCCGGCTACTTGCCAACCAATCAGCGTTCTCCACGATCTTCTCCGACCAATCAGCACTCTCCGCGTTTATCTTCAGCCAACCAGAGGCTTCCCTCAAACCGGCTAACTAATCAAGGCCTGGAACATGCGGTGAACGGTCACCGAGCGGAGCAGCTTCACTCGGTTACCCCAGATATTTGCCCTGAAGAATTCTACACGAACTGATACATGCATTTGATTTTATTAGGAATATGAAATATGATTGGGAAACATAATTTTATAATATCTCTTAACAAGCCCATGGAAATTAGGATGAAATGTTATTTAACGAAGAGGATATTTTTGTGGCAGAACGTTTACTACAAGTTATTCTTGTGACCTTGATTGTACAGTTTGAATCGTTAGTTAGATTGTAGGGTTGTAAACCAACTGCAGAATTATTTGCACATTCGATGATCTTAATTTGGTCTAAATAAATAAGTGTTTTTTGTAAATTCATTGATGGTTGATATAAGTATATTTGACTGATGAATGGTCCATTGTAGGCGATGTTTTTAATTCCAGTTTAATGATATCTCCATACATTATGGACTCATAAAGATCATGGTTTATGTTGACCCCTAATTGTTGATCATGTAGTTCAAGGATTTGTGGGATTCTGAAAATGTGGTTCTTACTTATGGATCATTCTCACTTCTCAGGCGATACTTTTGATCTAAGAACTTAAGGGTTTAAGGTTTGCTCATTTTGCTTGCTTCAAATGAAGCTATTTCAGTATTAGGAAAACGGGCGTGTTTTGATACTTGATGAGCATTTTTCTGCAAAGTTTCTAAGATCTTTGGGTTAATCATAGAATTTCTGATTTGATTTCCACTTTTAACATCTATTTCAGACCCAATTTCGTGTCTTTTTCTACGAGATAATATTAGTTTTCTTCATTACTGTGTACTGATTACTGAATTATTTGGAGCCCATAGATGGTACCAAAACATTTTTGCCCAAGAATACTTTTGTTTGATTATATTTTGATTGATATGTGTACATTCGAATTATGTGTGCGATAACAGCTGTTTGTTTACTGGTCGAAAAATTGTTATGTTGTTGCAATGCTGGCATTGCTCAATTAATTAGCAGATTTGAAATTGGAAATGTGGCGTCTTTATTTTGTCAATCCATTTTTAAACATACCCGAATGCTGAAGAAGTCGAGTGGATGATTGATAATCAATACACAATAATGAATAATGCACTGACGAGTGCTAATTAATGTTCCATATCGGTACAATAGCTTATAATTTGTAGCGCGATGCGTTACTGTGCCGCGCCGAGCTGAGATGAATTGACATCGTCAATTAACTTATAATAAGCTAAGACACTTAAATAGCTTTAGTCTATGTAATCAGTAGTTATAAGCGCCATGTAATGAGTTGGCACAGAATTTGTTGTCTCCGATTTTGATAAATTTGGCACGAAAAGTTATCTAAATGCTAAAAATATGAGTAAAACAATTCCACCGTGCAACAAGCATTGACCATTGTTAATGGTCTGGCCCGGCGCGCGCTACTCCGTAGCACGTGCCATCGTGAAGTGTGAAGAACGCGGCGCGCGAGAGAAGAAAGCGGCGCGCGCTACTTCGAAGAAATTTAGAAGAGTAACATCCGTCAAAGCAAGCATGCTGTAGCAATTTTCGTTTAAAATACTTCACGGTGCTAATTTCATGTCGCCGCGCGCGCTTTTTTCGCGCAAATTTTGCAGTTTTTATAGTTTTTTGGCCTACATGAACGTCTACAGTTTCAGGTCATTTTGAAATAATTGTTGTTAGGGGGTGCAAAATAAAAATAAACTTGCTCGGATTCAGGATTTTAAAAATTTGTGTACCATTGTTTTTTAGTAAGCGGTGCACGATAAAAATAAACTTGCTCTGATTTTCAAAATTTTTGTACCATCGTTTTGTAGAGACTGTGAGAATTTTTACAGTACCAAATTTATTATACCTTTTTGGAATGATCAGTGAGTTTCGCCTAGGTGCCATATTTGATGGTGCGTTGATTCACGATGTCAATCCTTCGCAGCTCGGTGAGGCACAGTGGTGCATCTCGCCGATCTACCGAAGAAGCATTATTAGATGCGCGCGTGCGACCCAGTAGTGCATCGCGCTACAAATGGTGCGCGGCTTTTGGAGCAAAATTAGGTGTAAAAGTCGCGTAATTTGACGAAATTTGTTGATTTTTGTCGTATTATATATTTTGTCATATCTTCGGTTCCTAAACATGAATCATGCTGAAAATTTGTCAAAACCTTCCAATCATACTTAACTACCGAACCTAATTTAGTTGGCATTGGGAGAGATTGGCCTTGATTAAGAGGTCTAAAAATGACAAAATAGGTATAAATTCGTTGATAACTCAAATTCTGAGCATCGAAATTGCTCAAACTTGTAGCGCGATGCACTACTGGGTCGCGCGCGCATCAAATAATGCTTCTCGCAACCACTACTTCGGTAGATCGGCGAGATGCACCACTGTGCCTCACCGAGCTGCGAAGGATTGACATCGTGAATCAAGCTCAAACTAAATTAGGTTCAATAGAACATAGGTGTTTACGTTCACCTAACCATGTGCTTTCGCGCCGCTTCGGGTGCGCTTGTTTCACAAGTCAATAAAAGCACCTATCCACGAACCCCGATGGGAAGGTCCGTGCGCGCGTGCGCAGTGCTGACAACAGCGTCTATGTAGCGCAGGTAGTCTTGGCACTTCTCCCTCCATGCAGTATGCAGTAACCACTTTTCAGGTTTCTATAGTGCATAGTGACAGTGTATATATAGGGGTTAATTAGGTATAAAATACAGTACAGCTGTACTTACACCTACATTCACAAGCATGCAAGCTCACTTGGTCCAATGAGCCGTGAGGCGGGCGCGCTCTACTGCAAGCGCAAGGGCTCTGGATAGAGCAAGTGTTTACGTAAGCTGACCAAATTTCAACAAAATTGTTATATGGGAAGTATTATAACTTTTTGATTGTTTCCAAAATAATGTGCTGGCCGAAATAAGAGCTAAAAACCATTCAATGGTCAGCGCGCGCGTCTTATTGTCGATGGCGCACTGCCTAATTCTATACTAAATTTTCTTTACTGGGCCGCGCTCAGCCTGTCATTCCGCCAAATCTATATTATATGTTAATGAACATAATAGCCTGGGGTCCTCAGGTAAAATTTTCTATACTATTTCTATACTAGAGACTGTGAGAATTTTCACAATACCAAATTTGTCATACCTTTTTGGAAAGATCAGTGAGTTTCGCCATGTTTGATGGTGCGCGGCTTTGAGAGCAAAATTAGCTGTAAAAGTCGCGTTGCGTAATTTGACCAAATTCGTTGATTTTTTTCGTATTATTCGAATATATCTTCGGTTCCTTGAATGAGATCATTCCGAAAATTGGCGACGACCTTCCAAGAGGGCTTTCACAACTGTCCGAAAAATTTGGTGGATAGTAATAAAAATGGGGCAAAATACGGTGCTTTAAGCTGTAACATAATGTCTGATGGTTGGCTAAACTACTGTTTATATGTATGACTATAATAACATCGCCATCACCATTTGCATTGATCTTTCGAATCAAATTCGAGAATTTCGATCTGAAATGCGAAAGATCCACGGTATCCACGGTTCTCAGAAAAATCATAATATGTTGTACGTCTATTGACCATTGTTAATGATCTGGCCCGGCGCGCGCTACTTCGTAGCTCGTGCCGTCGGGCCAAACATTTCGAGAAGAAAGCGGCGCGCGCTACTTCGAAGAAATTTAGACGAGTAACATCCGTCAAGTACGTCTATATATATATATATATATATATATATATATATATATATATATGGGTAAACTATAAACCTGCAGAAGCCAGGGGAACGGCCCATAGCAGGGTAATCAGGATGGCCCGATACCCAAAAACCTGATTAACTAGCAAAGATAAAAAATAACAATAGGTAATAAATAGATACCAATACTATACCGATATAAGATGCATAGTTCAGAAGGATCAAACCGGGATGTTCCTTCTGTTAGTCTTTTGTAAGAGTCCATGGCTGTCGTATTCTTGTCTCTATTTCTTTTCTTCTCCGTGTTGTATTAGTCTTGCTGTAACGATGAGTTAAAGAAATGTCTGGTATGGAATACTATGGTCCTGGGAGGTATCATGTTAAAGATATAGAGGGCTGGGGAAGTCACTGAATCATGTGAATGAGAAATAAAAGGAAACTGAGTATGTAACGTGGTTGTCCCTTCCACAATCAGCAATGGAGAAAAAGAGGGGTGAGGGGGGAGAGAGAGAGAGACAAACATTAAGTCAAGCTACGAGAGCCGTCCAGTGGACTATTGAGCCCTTAGAACTGGCTGGGTAGCAGGACCTGCTGCAAGTCTGAACACGATCTGGGGAGGGGAGGGTGATTGTGGTAGAGGGACAATTACGTCAGCTAAGGCTAAGAGAAAGAGACTAAGGGGGTTCATAGAAATCTAGATACTTGGTAGCTCTAGCGAACCCCACTATGTTACTGATAGAGAAGGTTTGATGGAAGGTGTCCTCTCTGATGGTATAGTTACCAAGGTAGTATTTCCTGTGTATGGAGAATGCTGGACAGCTTGTGAGGTAGTGTGCTGTAGTTTCCTTGTCTTCATCACACTTTTTGCATATGCTGTTGGGTTCGTTGCCAATCTTGTTTTGGAAATATCTGAGATAACTGCATCCTGTGAATAGATGGGTAAGAATTCTGGTATTGTCTCTATTATGTCGTTTAACGTCAAGGTGTCTGTCAAAGAAACTAATAATGTTGGATTGGTGAAAATCAGTGGAGGATCTGAAGAGTAATAAACGATTATAGTGAAGTCGAGAAAAGTAACTGTCTAAAATATTAGAGAGAGAGGAGTGAGTGTAAGGGGCAAAAGGAGGCGGTCCAATGGGAGGAGAGTCGGATCCTTTGTTTGCCAGAGAATCTGCGAGATCATTGCCTTTTATTCCACTATGCGCCGGTACCCAGTGGAGGGTGAGTTGTACGTCTATTAGTAGAAGATCAGACTTTGTATTGGTAATAAACAGCCAGAAAAAAGGGTGTAATAGTTCAAGCAAAGCATAGTCATGATTAATGCAGATAGTGGCACGAAAATTGTAATATAACTGACTCGGAAGAAAGATCACATCGAAAATAACGATATTGCCATAGTGAACAGAAATATTTAAAGAAAAGTGACCACCGTGGAGAGCTTCAAGTACCACAATACCAAGCTTGCAAACAGTGATAACCCCTATCTGTAATTGGACTGTCCCTAAGTAGTATATAAAATGGAAATTTAGAAGTCCGTGCTGTCGGACTGGAACTCTTTGACCTTTGTGCGGTTCTCAGTCGTTCTGAAATTAAATTTTAAAAGACAAGAATAAATCCGACTATTGGGATAAAACATCAATAACAAAGCTGAGTCATAATTTGCTACCAACCAAACGTGCTAAATCACTCTACACTTTATCTTCGCAATTTTCTAAAAGGGCCCCTGATCAGTGGCGTAACTTAGGGCCCCGCGGGGGGGGGGGGGGGCGCCGTATAAGGGGGGCGCAATTTTCCTGAATTTTAGGCCCTTTCACTGAAAAAAACGCCTTGTTTGTGTATTTCCCTGTCCAATTTAGCGTTCGGTCGATGCGAAAAAAATATTTGGGGTACCTTTTTTGCTTCAGGGGGCGCAAAAAGCTGTAGGGGGGCGAGAAAAAAAGTACCCGACCTTTTTTTTTTTTTTTTTTTAGGGACACAAAAATTTTTAGGGGGGCGCTTTTCGTCACTGAGCGGGGGGGCGCCAACAGGCAAAGTTGCGCCACTGCCCCTGATTGTAGCGCGATGCACTACTGGGTCGCGCCGCGCATCAAATAATTCTTCTCGCAACCACTTCGGTAGATCGGCGAGCTGCGAAGGATTGACGAAGGATCGTGAATCAAGGCCCCTGACAGCGATATATTGGCGAAAAACTGTTCAATTGTTAAATGGCTCAGGCAGTATGGTTGGGCTACAAGTTTATCCTTCTATGTTCTACACACGTGTTTATATTGGTTTTGTATTGGTCTTGTATTGGCACATGGTAACATCTATAGTGAAAACCAGACTTACAGAACAATTCCTGTATTTTTGGAGAATCGAAAAATACATTTTTTTAAACATTTCTTGTAATCGGGTTTCACGGCCCACCAGGATTCCCTGAATAAATTGGAAGCTATTTCTTGCTGAATTTGGTGTGAGCAATAGCGAACAGCACGCACACTCCTTTGCCCTGTCAACCTATATCTAATCTATTTAAAGAGTGTCAACCATACTGCACATTGAATTAGGATTCCGTTAAATATCAAATTGATTTATTGTTAACTTGTTTAATCTGTAATAAATGGCATAAAATTGAAATTTTTGTTTAACTGAAATTTTTTGTTTAACTGAATAAATTTTGCTAAGAGTGCCCTGAGAATGATGTGAAAGTCATCATTCAAAAATATTGTATAGCTAAAGAGATAATCCAGGTTTTGTCTGGTGAAAAACGTTACGAAAACTAACATTGGGGGGTTAACTTGTAGGGATTCCACAGGGGAAATGGCAGTCACTGAAATAGCTTCTTTCAGAAGATTAGGTAGGACTTCACTCAGCTCTCTTAATTATGTTTTCTAGAGTTTGGCTGTCCTGTTCCGAAAGGAGGACCTGTGAGGTCTTTGCTAGATCAATAGCCCTGGTTGCAATGATGTATAGTTCTTTACAAACCTTGAAAATACGTTCTTTCTTTTTTCTGTTAAATCTTTTGCTTGGTGAATTTTTTTTCTTACCTTTAAAGGAATTTTCGTTGATTAGGTCGAGCTTCTCTTCCAGTTTCTTCAAGTCATCCATACCTTCTAATGAAATCAAGGTCCTATACCCAAGATAAGCTGTAAGTTTTTAGAAAAACTTAAACAGCTACAGTAACGTAGATCTGGGTGTATGGTAACAATAGAAACCTCAAATTATTCGATATATAGTAGTGTTGAAAGTATTAAAACTATAAGCAGACTGTTTGATAAATCACCTCACATCAGAAGTTGAAATTTCCTACTTTTTCTAGATTAGCCCATGGAACTAGATGTATTACTGGAAGAAAAATCGAAAGAGTTGAAGAATTTGCAAGGAAAGAAGATTCAGGCCTTAAACGACGAAATTGGGTATTGTACATATAGGATCTAGGTTTTACATTATCTTAAATCACTTTTAAAAATATTTCTCCTAAAATTACATTTTTAAATGACTAAACGTACTACTACTGATCATCAAATTAGGATCAAAGAAAGTCAACTGAATGAATTGCGAGCGCAGTACAATGAACTGAAGGACAGCTTTCAATACAATTTAGAGCTTTTAGCAGAAAGAGACAAAGAGTTAGGAAATTATGATACAAGTAAGATTTTAAAACTTCTAAATAGACAAACCATCTGCTAGGTTGTGCATGAAATCAAAGATAAATTACCTAGTAAACAAACATTACGGTAATGTGATACACAATATCATATCAATTTTAATCAAATTGTGTATTAACTTGTGTATTACTTGTATGGTTTATCATCATCGAATCCATACACTGACAAAGTCTATGCCATATGAAAGTTTTTATTTCAATTTATACAACTGTGAATAGTAGTACAACTGCAAATCAATATGTATTTTTCAGTCATAACTCAGCTGAATGAAAAAAGTGACTGTTTGACTGCAGAATTATCGGATGTTAAGGTAAAATAACTTCAAATTTATAGAGATTTATTGTTTAATGACTCATTATTACCTAGGCAGACCTTAGCTTAATACCATAATATGTCTGCCTTCTTTCTGCTGTTTATTTTAATAAACTCAGAACTTGAGCTCAATTTGATAATGATTACCACGTTTTATTTTTTTAAAATCTAGGTACAATTAGCTGATGCTCGACAAAAATTGTTGGAAGATAACGCCAAAAAGGAGGAAATTCAGAGGTTATTTCAAAACAAAATTAAAGACATTGAGGATGACATTCAACGTCAATATGATTCTAAAGAGCACAAGGTTGGTATTTAATATTGATTTCTTTCTTGCAAATATAAATATCCTATATATAGTAATTGACTTGTAAAACCTGTGTTATATTCATAGCAAACATTTTCTAATTTACATTGATGATCATTGTTACCTCCCAGTTGTCCATGGAGCTTGCTGACACAGCACGGTTAAAGCAACAGTTGGAAGTTAAACTTAATGACTTGCAGGTTAATCGATACATGATGAACCTCAATAGTTTATTAATTTAATTATTACATTATAGACTGTGATTTGAAATCGATACGTCTTAAACACTTTCATGTTGTTTATTTTTAGTAACACGTGTTCTGTGAACTGTATGTGTGTAACAGGAGGATTCTGAGAGAAAAAGACGAGAATGGGAGCGGAATTTTGAAGAGGAGATAAACTCTCTTATAAGGGAACATTCAAATAAAATCTCAGATAATGACACACAATTGTTTCAATGCCAATCCAAACTGAAGCAGGTTTTACATTTAATCGCCTTTCTTACTACTATTTGATCTCATGTAACATTTGTTCAGTCTATATTAATGGCTACACCTTGATTTTAGTAAGGGGCCGTTCACATATTGTGCAAGCTAGATTTTGACCTTTTCAGACCCAACCCCTTCCTAAGCTACTTTTAAAATAACTATTCTGTAGAAATTAAACTAGCTTTTCTAAACCCTATCTCCCTAGGCTGGTAACATGTAACAATCTCCAACAAGACAAACATAAGGTCACAACTTCAGGTATCAAGTGAGCGAGAGGCGCTGCGTCTAAGAGTATCCGAGCAGGAAGAGAGTATTACTACACAAAGTCAGCACATCACTAAGATGGAGGAGGCGGTGGAACACGCAGAGTGGGATGTGAACAACTACATCAGTGCTCAGCAGGCTAGGTGGAGTAATCCTAATAACTTAATCCATGGTGCAATGTACTAGACTCGACTTACTCTCGACTTAGGGCGGCTTCAGCGTCCCAACAGAAATAGTCTTCTTCCAAATCTGTCTATCCAGCATGAGTTTGTTAATCTCTTTGCTGTCGTCAAGCCCCGTGTCCTTCCGAAGGATGTCAATGTATGTGAGATGTGGTCTTCCCCTTCGACGATGTCCTTGAAGGGGTTCCCAGAAGAGAAGTTGATGACTCAATAGTTCTTCATGTCTGGCTAAATGACCTGCGAGTCTCATCCTCCGTGCAGCTATCTTATCAGATGCTCTGATGAGGTGTCCATACACCTTGGCGTTAGTCTGCCGCTCTTTCCAGTCAATGTTCAGTGCCATCCTCAGCATTCTCGTATAACATCCATCAATACGTTTTGCGAGGGTCTGGCTGACAGTCCATGTTTCAGAGCCATATAGAAGGATGGACTCGACTGTAGCCAGGAACAGTCGTATCTTGAGATCTCTACGCATATCCGACTTTCATACAAGCTTCATCTGGTGACACGCTCCCCATGCCTTAGCTTTCCTCACTTCGAAGTCCTTCTCCGAACTCTTCATTCTACTACCCAAATATACGAAGTCATCGAATTTCTCAATGTTCTTCCCACTCCCAGCAACCAGAGTCGGGTTATCATCAATGTACTAGAGCCAGCAATATTGTAACGATCGCTATGTTCGAAACATTTACGTAAATATAAATTTCAGGATATCTGAGCTGGAGATTGTGCTGTCAAAACAAGCCGAACAATTTGAAGATAAGACCAGAATCATGGCTAACAAGTGAGTTTATGAAACCGATCGATAAATACAGTCTCCCCCAGTCAATGAGTCAAGTTCGCTTTCTAGATAAAGTTTTTTTATGTCTGTTATACAGGGTTACTAATATTTATTTAATAGCAAATTTGTCACGAGGTGAACGTCGTCTTGAGGAAAATTATGATTGGCCTAATTTATAGCACTGTATCAAGGCGCCCTCCACAAACTGTCATGTATAATCCCAGATTGTTTGTCTGTGAGAGCACTGTATCAAGGCGCCCTCCACAAACTTTGATGTATTATCCCAGATTGTCTGTCTGTGAGAGCCGTGTGTCCGAAAAAGATGACGCCCTCAAGCGTTTAAAAGAGCAACACGAAAGTGAAAGAAAAGAAAGAGAAAGTGAAACTCAAGTCTTATCGTACAATCTCGAACAGCTGAAACTGAGAAATAAATGTGATATGGCTCGCCTTGAGGACAGACTGACAGAAGCTAATGAGAATGTTTCGCAGTAAGTATTTACTATTTAGAACACATATCTAAGATAATTAATAATATTAATATAAAAGAATCCTCTATAGTGAAGTGATATTATCTTTTGTGCAGTTCCTATAGACTGCATCTGTAGTCCCTTGATCATCAGGGATCAACAGAAAACACCTCTGCTTGTAACAGGTTGGTAAGTTTGAACAAATCTTGTCCCTTTGAAGTGCCAGGGGGGATATGTTGAGCAGATTGCGGGAGTAAGGAAATAGTTTACACCAGGGGGTTAGAATCCTCAACTTTTTGGCTACGAGCCTAAATTATTTCCAAGTCTACTTGATCACCATAAGCTTACTAACATGTCATCTCGTTTAACATTGGTCAATTTGTGCTGTCGAACAGTAAAGCTATGGAGTTGAGAAAAATAAAAATAGACAAATTCTAACTTTTCTTATCTTAAAAACACTGATCTGTTTGATCGCAGCTTCCTCACCTAAAACTTCAAATAACTGGTCTTCTATCCTCACACTGGCTCTCCCAGACTGCAGTCTCAACTAGAAACGCAGCAAGTAACCCTGGAAACAGAACGACACAAGTGTGCCAAACATGAAGTAAACCTGAAGTTGAGCGAGGGACAATGCGAGGAGAGGATCCGGGAAGTCCGGACTGAACTCGAGATGAAGAAACAAGATATTGCTAGGTGGTTTATTTCCAATTAACTTGAAACTTACCATTTCCTTGATTTATTTAACTATAGATGTCATATTATGACACAATCGAGGTGCTGGAAGTTTGATTCCGGTCGGAGGAAGCATACTACAGAAAGCATTGCAAAACGAAAATTCATATTTTCCAATTTCTGTCCCATTTTCAAAGATGAAATTTCCGAACAGAAATTTGAAAGATGTGACCAAATTGGATGGCACAAGACACGATTGAAAATGCCCTACCGGTAGGATATTTTGATAATTTTCAGTATCTTGATGGTGATTTGTGTTACTGACACTGACCTCACTGGTTGGTCACTGGTCAAACAGCCAGTCAAAACTGTGAAATTTCGGAAACGGCAGAAAAGCTTCTATCTAAAAATCCTCCGAAATATCTCCTAGGTTTTCCGTTTATGAAAGCTTTCTTTTTTTTTCTTTTTTTTTTAAATAATGGAGACAAAATAGGAAACACAGTTAAACCAACTTTAAATTTTGCAAAATATCAAATTACCACTTTTAAAAACATAACATAACTCATTACTCTTCAACTTCGCAATCCAGCCCTTGTTTAAACTACTGTCCCAATTCACCTCAACCTCGCACAATGTCAGAACACCAGTCAGTCCTATTCTAACTTTCGTCCCATCTTTGCCGCCACAGTCAACCTCATACTCTTTCTTACCAACTTGGTATGCAACTTCGCCACAATACACGTTATCCACGAAAACCTGAGCAGCGTTGATCCTATTTTCGCAACAATCCGACCTGTTGTGGATAATAACCTTGTTGACAGCAGAGTTCTGAGCAAAAACACCCCTCCACCAATAGTACCCAACTCCCGAGGAGTGGGTGCAGGAGCCTCTAAAATAGATCCCATCTGTGTTACCGCCAAAAGCACGGTCTGCAACTCCTGAATGCCCTGTGCTATCTTGCAGAGACAAACTTCAACTGGGCAGGTGGACAGGCGTGTGTGTTGCAATCTTGGCTTTCGCCTTTCTGAGTCATTTCCCTGGCATTCAGCTCCGCCTATTTCAGGTGCAGGGTTAGTACAGGTCCTGGTCCTACTTTCAGATCCTCCACCACATGCAGCATCGCACTCAGACCAATCTCCAAAGTCACTCCAACCACCGTCAATTGCGCAACTCTTGCCACAATCTTTTGCTGTCAGCTCTATCTTGGCACACTTTTTGTTTTTCTTGCCTTTTAATGTTTTCTTTGAGTTGTACTCGCATCCAAGATTTGATGTACGAATCCTTTCTTTAAGCATTTCTCGTACTTCTTTATAGAGCTTCAAGGGTCCCTTAGATATAGGACAATAGTGGTGCAGCTTGATTATCTTCCGTTCGAAACATATGATTGCTAAGACCTGCACCTCTCTGCATGATTAAAATTTATATACTTTAAATAACCATACAGAAAGGTGCACCCCAATTTTATTATCTGCAATTAGACACGTAAACGTGAACTCTGTAACTCTTTTCAACAATATATTCCATGAGGGTCAAGGCTCTATAATATCAAAGATATCGGATATTATATTTTTGATTCGTTCAATAATACATACATGTATATATTTATCATACAGAGTATAGACTTACATAGAGTTGCACCTCAATTTTATTATTTGTCCCTTCTAGAGATAATGAACTTTTTTCCTTTTACCCCGTGCTACCTCTTTGTTGTTAATATTATCAACATTTTAACATTTAGTCCGACTTAATTTTAGTCGACATAAATCTATATCTCCATGTTGGGGCACCGCGTACCTATTGTTTTATTGTAACATTGAGGGGGCAAGGGAGCACCCAATTTTTTCCTTTTCACCCTTTTGAAAAAAGGCAATAGTGAAAGGTTACGAATGGAGGTTTTTGCAGAAAAACGTGGATTTTGGAGAACGAGATAGGTGGGTTTAAATATGTCGTGTGTTCGTTCGTTACCATGCAACGAAAAAGTTGGGCGCGCGCGAGGATTGCTTGCGGAGATGTGATGTATAGATAGCCTGTGATCTATGAATGCGCGGCGCGACTGTGTATATGATGCATGTAATGTATAATATTACTATTAGGTAATACACCCAATTTGTACGTGGCACGCGTAGTGTATTGATGTGTACACGAGTATATATAATTGATTCACGATGTCAATCCTTCGCAGCTCGGTGAGGCACAGTGGTGCATCTCGCCGATCTACCGAAGGTAGAGAAGCGTTGGTTGCGAGAAGCGTTGGTTGCGAGAACCATTATTTGATGCGCGCGCGACCCAGTAGCTAGTGCATTGCGCTACAAATATATAATAGTTTACCTTTGCTGATAATTTCTTGAATTACAGATACAAGTTAAGTTCTACGGCAATTGAACTGAATTTCAAGTGTTTCCCGTATTTGATGCATAATTGATCAATATTATTATCATGAAGATTGAAGTGAGCTGATTGGAGCTTATAGTTATACTTAAATTTATAGTAAATGTGAAATGGAAATCTAGCGTCCGCCAAAACGAAACAACGGGCGCAATTCTTGTTTAAAATCTGTGCTCTAAAATTATCAACACTGTCTTTCAGAGATTTATATCAATAATTTTTTTGCATATATGCAACCTGCCAAAACCTGCCCCCGTCGGTCAAGGAAACAGCAGAAATTTTTGTTGAATTTTTGTTCACTGCAGATGGCACAAGACACGATTGAGGTACTGAAAATCATATTACTAAAGAAAGCTTAGATAAACGGAAAATCATCAGACATTTCGGAAGATTTTTATGTAGAAGCTTTTCTGCCGTTTCCTTGACCGAAATTTCATAGTTTTTACTGAATTTTTGACCAGTGACCAACCAGTGAGGTCAGTGTTATTGTCACAAGTCACCATCAAGGTACTTGAAGCAGTATATCCGGAGAAAACTTTGATGCAATGAAAATTTTGAATATGTCCTATAGGTAGGACATTTTCAAATTGCAACTTTCCGCGACCCAAATTTCACTATTTTGACTGAATTCTTCTTCTTCAATGATCAATTAAGCAAGTGCAACCAAAAAGAATACAACTGTTTCGAGCTCCCTTGTCAATTAACCTTTAATGACAATAAATTAACTTCTTATAATTTTAGGTATAAAACAGAGCTTGCAGTGAGCGTAAAACGCGAGGAAGCTTTTCGGAGTGAATCAGATCAGGATGTCAGGCTGATGAAGTTCAGGTGCGAGAAAGCAGAAAGGAAAGCTTACAGTTCGCAGGAGGATCTGGTCAAAGATCTGACGTCTTCTAGAGATGTGGTAATGTTTTTGTAAATCAACGGGTAGCTTCAGTTTTGGTTACTTTTGAGTGTGAGTGCCATTGAATAAAAGTTAACAATGTGATTACGTGAATCAGCGGTTTGAATACAGCGTTACATTTGAGGTATATTTTTTGTTGCTCAAAGTTAAAATACTTAACATGAAAGTTGAACGCTACATTTTTCTCTTGAAAAGTCTTGATGCATTACTTTCAAGTATTGTTATGATCGATTTCTAAAATCTGATGTCACGCGTTTTTACAGGCGCTGGCGGATGTTAAACGTTTGAAGTCAGATTTGCTCCTGTTTGAGGATGAAATCAAGGTTCTGAAGGGCCAAATAAGGAGAAGAGAAAACGAAGACACCTCAGAGCTAGTAAGAGTGTAACATTTTCACTCGACCTTCCTAGACGATTGAATTGTAGTTGAAGGACCGGTTTCATTCAAAAACTGACCGTGAAATCTCTCAGACCGAAGAGGATACCGAGATTAGCGCTCTCAGAGATCAGAACACTCGTTTAAAAGACGTTATTAAACAAATGTCCGCTGATATCGAGAACATCGCTGCTCAAAACAAAACACAGGTCAGGAAATTCGAGTTAGTTCCCGCCAAGCAGTGCCAGTCAACCGTAATAAGAATGTTGACAATATTAGTAAACGGAGGGCGCGCGGTATAACTTGAATCAAAACACCCTTTTTAAGCATTGTGTACACACTGTATCGTTAATTATTAATTTAAATTATATTAAATTATATTATCGTTTGTATATAATTTATGTTATTGCTGCGCGCGCTACATTTTATGTAATCAATTTGATGAAAATAAATATAATAGAAACACAATTGCGTATCGAAGTTCCTCAAATTTTAACAAGAATTGCGCCCGTTGTTTCGTTTTGGCGGACGCTAGATTTCCATTTCACATTTACTATACATTTAAGTATAAGCTCCAATCAGCTCACTTCAATCTATATGATAATAATATTGATAAATTATGCATCAAATACGGGAAACACTTGAAATTCAGTTCAATTGCCGTAGAACTTAACTTGTATCTGTAATTCAAGAAATTGTGAGCAAAGGTAAACTATACTCGTGTACACATCAATACACTACGCCATACGCGTGCCACGTACAAATTGGGCCTATTACCTAATAGTAATATTATACATTACATCATATACATTAAAACACAGTCGCGCCGCGCATTCATAGATCACAGGCTATCTATACATCACATCTCCGCAAGCAATCCTCGCGCGCGCCCAACTTTTTCGTTGCTTGGTAACATACGGAACGACACCATATTCAGACCCGCCTAACGCGATCTCCAAAATCCACGTTTTTCTGCCAAAACCTCCATTCGTAACCTTTCACTATTGCCTTTTTTCAAAAGGGTGAAAAGGAAAAAATTAACCATATTCTACCGCTTATACAGTACGTATGTTTTGGTACGTTTTGGTGAGTTTGGCAGGGCGTGCTCAGGACAACTGCATCGAGTCCATCCTCCTCCAGCTCAGCATTGAGTTATCGTTTGTCGGAGTGTAGCCCGGAACCGGTGGTGTGTCTGGGTACTGTTCCATAAATCTGCCTAGACCAACTTTGAAACTGTCTAGCACTGTGATACTCCGGAGCTCCGATGGGAGCACGTTGAAGAGCTGAGCTGCTCTAACTCTAAAGCTGTTGTCGTAATCTGTTCTTACAGACAACTGTGCGCTTTTGTTCATGGCTGAGATCTCTGCCTTAATGCCATGCCTTTGATGTGACTTGAACTCGAAGCCCGTATCGTTCGGAGCATGTTCATTAAGAATCTTCCATACATGAATAAATGAATAATGGAATAACGCTCTCTCTGCCTCTGAAGTAACATCAACTTAAGCTTCTTCAGCCTGTCCCAGTACTGGAGATCACGACAGCCAGATATCTTTCTAGTAAAGGATCTCTGTACAGTCTCCAGTTTTTGTATCTCTGTCACTATTGCAGGGTTCCAGACTGGACAGCAGTACTCTAGCTTGGAGCGAACCATGCTTTTGTATAACGTCAGCATGACTACTTGTGACCGGTCTCTAAAGGCACTCAATGTCCAATTAGCTGCCATTTTTCTAGCTCCTTGAACTGTCTCCTCAATGTGAGGACCCCATGATCTACTGCTGCTAACATACACTCCAAGGTCCTTAGGTCCCTGACAGTTTCCTGTGGTGATATTGCGTGTCCTTTTGGTGTAGTATACTTAACAGTCTCTGGGTAGAACGGGAGCTCTTGATCCATTCAGGGGGTAGTTTACAACCAAAAACTTCTGTTCGTGTAGCTCCATGTTGTTAACACGTGACCAGTGACCACTCGTGACTATGTTGAGATCATCTTGCAGTAACTCTACACTACTCATTCCTCGGATAGCTCCAATCAGCTTTGTGTCGTCTGCAAAGCTGAATCCGTTACTATAGCTAATGCTGTTCAACAGATCGTTGATGTACAGAATAAATCCCCGTTAATTGAAATGTAACAACGCTCGTTTTGACATATCAATCACTTTTCAGGAAATTCAGTCTACCGTGGATGAACCCGCTGCTATTGAAGTAGCTCCACAGGAAAGACCGAAATCATTCCAAGAAGAAAAAGAACATGAAACATTGCGAGAAGAAGTTATGTTTCTTAGAAAAACGATAATTTCTATTAAAAACAGCGAGGTATTTTCCTGTAAATGCAGTTACTAAATGCATTACCAAGCCATTACCAAATGCTTGCCTGAATGTTTTTTCCTAATTTAAAAATTACATTTTAAAGCTTACTTAGCAGCACTAAGTCCTCATTGTTTCAGCTTTCTCAAAACAATTACGAGGGAGAGTTGTTGGAATGTAGATCGCGTTTGCAGCAGGTAGAAAAAGAAAGGAACAGACTTCTCGAGCTCAGCAACAGTCTCAGATCTCAGTTGAACAACCTTCAAGATGATGGCAAGAGTAAGTGTGCTCAATTACGAGATGTTTTCCACATTTAACAATTAACATTACCTTTAAACAGTGCACGTTTGATTGCAGTCTCCACGTAGTGATTTTAAGGATGTTTAAATATTAGTGACTTTATACAAATAGATTTACTTTTAATCGGTAATTCTCTGCAGAAGGTGTTCCGTTACAAGAAATCACATCGAGGCTGCAGTCTGCTAGATCTGCGCTCACATCAAGTAAGAATGAGTCCTTGGCGAGTCCGTTTTTTGTTTTTTCTATGCCAAACATTTATAGAATACTTTAAACGACAGGTGATTGGTCGGAAACCCTAACCAGATCCAGAACCACGTTCTCATTAACGGGTGATACTCGTAAACTATTTGTTCCATATATTAACAGGACCGTCGACGAGTCTAATTCGGCGCGCGTCCTGGTAGGTTGTAAACCTACAACGTTCTCATAACTAATAACTAGCTCTATTTATTAATCGGAAGAGATTCGGTCCGTTAGGGATCCGGTTGGTAAGATGGTTAAAATTTGTAAAACCATGTTCAAATATCTGGCAATATGGCTAGGAAACTCGAGAAGAACTTTCATTATCGGCGAATTTGGAATTTGAAGTTCCAGGTTCATTATTGGCGATTGCTTTTTACCCTTCTTCTTGAAAGATAACTCTTTCATGATCGAATATAATTCTTAACTTCTGATGTATTTTGACGTGACAGTCAAATTTTAGATGTAAATGTTTACCTTACTAACGTTATTCTTAAAGAGAATTTATTGTTACAATCTAGGAGATATTCTTTAAAATAACATCCATTCAAAAAGGTAATTTATTAAGAGATATGTTATATCAAGCATTGTATGACAGTTGAAACAACGAGTATTTTATAAATGAGTTGGTTACTTTGCTCCGGAAGTTCCAGACAACTTCATTCAAAAGGTTATGTAATGTAGTTGTACGATTGAGGTATGGAATACTGGCGTATTGCGGAGATACTTTAGTGCTATGGAAAATCACCAAAATGGGACGAAAATATAATCTTCTAAAATATGAACTTTTCTGGACCGAAAGAATATTTTAAAATATGAACTTTCCTGGACCGACTGCTTTGAGATAGAGAGACCTGCATTTTCCTACTGGCCACTGGGGCATTAGAACACACCGTGCTTTGTTGTTGATAGTGTTGTATTTTAAAATAAGCTGCTATGACTTGTCTATGGCGTTGGGCCAAAATATTTACCCGGAAATGAGTTTTGCACAATAACAACGCAATGTTACTTGAATATGGTAGCTTCAACTCTCACTCAGAACTGACTGATAGTGACATCAACTTCATATCAGGTATAGAACGAGAGAAACGGACTCGAACAAAATCCGCGCAGTCCCAAATGAGTTTACTACACATGAGTGGAGACACCTCTCTCAACGAGGAACTGTCGGATATTTGTAGAATGGTACGGTCTTTCTTTTGCTATTCTCAATTAATTCTCGATATACCATAAATATTTATCTCTTACCAGAACCTTTCATTGTGCATCAGATACACTGTCGTCTGTCAACCATGGCGATACACTTTTTATTATTTTCTCCATTACGATATTTATTTCTTGCAACTGTTGACATTAAAGTAGTTTAATACAGATATCCGTTCAGGTGGAATCGGAGGAAAATAGACCATTATCTGTGGCTAGTAGTGATGTAATGGTGACAGGGAAACAGATGTCTCCGGCAACGCGACCTACCATACCCACTCCTAAACTCGTAATGAGAGGTGCTTCGAGACGGAATGCTGGGCCTACTTCAGGAACAAAGAAATCAAACATCAGAAATTATAGTTTGAAAACTTGATCTTAAATCTATTTCAAAATTTAGACGGGTAAATTTTTAATCAAAATTATAAACGATTCATTCACAATTCATCATTCCATGCACTCGTTTCCGTACCCATATTGCATATTCACCTTAACGGGTGATACTCGTAAAATATTTGTTCCAAATATTAGACCGTGGGAGCGATACATGAGTCATTATGAACATTAATTCCTTTTTGCATTTAAAGTACGCCGCCCAGATTGAGTACTTAAAGTTAAAATGATTGATTATCACATGACTGATTACAGTGACACACGTACAAACAAAAAACAATATTTTCCCCCTAATACCAATGGCAATAATAAACAAAGTATACTTATTATTATATGTATTATATATTGTTCATATTTGTTGATACACGATGATTATAAAATGTAAAAGACCGTCTTTATATTTGTGAACATACATCTTTACTAAAGGGAAAAACAGCAAATAAATAAAATTAAATGGGAAGCTCACCTGTGACCTTGGAATTGGAATTGTTGTAATGTATTCCCGTTATGCGTTATTGTATCACGTGGTGACCCCCACTGTCGCTTCACTGTAGAGTTTCTACGATACAGGGGGAGCCGCGCACTCCACACTCGTGCGCGGCGAGTCATACAACGTATGACAAATGCGTTAGGGGTCGTTATATCAAGTTTAACATAGTATGTAATTACTGACAGGGAGGTGTCGGTGGTTTCTAAATTATAAATGATTACGTTAGTTGGTAGTGTTGACTATATCATATATGATCGTCTTTCATCCGTGGAGTGCGCGTCGATGTGATTGGTGGGCCACTTGTTGCTTGTATAATTCTTACCTGCAATAATCAATAAGGCAATAATATGCATGGCCGGCAATGAGTGACCGCCATGGCACGCCAATCGAAATCCCTGTCACCTAGCGGTCTGTGTGCTGTCACAGTCAGCTGTGCGCTGCATAGTGAAACAAATTTTAGTGAAACAAATTTAAAATTTTATCCTTTATTTTACAATCATAATATAATAATATTTATAAGCCTCCGTTTTGAAAGTTTTAAATTTTAATATATTCACATTTCTATTTGAAATTCAATTTAATTTATAAGTCAATTTGACCAAAACCCATAATCATGGGTAGAGTGTACCTGGTACCGCTGCCAGTGTCTCTATTTTGCAAACAAAAGGAAATGATATTAATTTGAATAACCGTCCGCAAATGCAAATTGATACCGATAATGAAATCGGTCGCTCGCTTTTTCCATTCGATCACGGCTTATATTATGACAAATTGTAATAAAGCTTATTGATTGGAAAAAGCGAGCGTCCGATTTCATTCTCGGTATCAATTTGCATTTGCGGACGGTTATTTAAATTAATATCATTTCCTTTTGTTTGGAAAAGAGAGACACTGGCAGCGGTACACTTTAACGGGTGATACTCGTAAAATATCTGTTCCATATATTGGGACCAACATATATTGAGTCCAACTCGGCGCGCGTCCTGGTAGGTTGTAAACCTACAATACAATACAACGGTACACTCTACCCATGATTATGGGTTTTGGTCAAATATCATCTCTTTTTGATTATAATGTCAGGATAATTTACAAAGCCGAAATGTAAACTCATATCTTCATTCATATTTATATTAATAATTAGGAGGTAATTTCATCGATTTCGAAATTTTACCTGACTGAATATGGCACTTTTTACTCATTCAAGTTGGCATTAAATTCATATATAATGCAATTTAAATATCGTGGGAAAGCAGAATTTATTCGAAATCACGAATGAGCAAAATTCTCACCTTTCGCACGTGCAAACTTTGAGCGGACGTTGCGTGCGCATACAATATTGAATCACCGTAAATTTTTGCATAGCAGTAATTTATATATAGTTTAATAAGCATGCAAAGTTTCAGAAGATTTTATATAGAACTTGGATCACAACGGGACTCCAAAGTTGATAAAAATGGTGAAAACAGCAATTTTCAGTAATTTTAGCAATTTTCTATCAATTTGGGCGTGTCCCCACGTGTGCAACTTTTCGATTTTCAACTTTAAAACTAGCCTATAACACAATTTAGATCTTTAAGAAGCAAAATTGAGCTCCACAACTCAAGGGATAGCCCAACACCAGAGAATACTAATTCACAACTTTTGTGTTTTTATAAAATTATTCTTCAAAAAAGCACTAACTTCAATAGCGAATATCTTTATGAAGGAGCAAAGTAAGAAACTTTTCCGGTAGATTTTCAGAATGCTTGAACAATTATCTAAGGTAAAAATGACCTCAGATTTTGAATAAAATTACTCCTTAATGGTTTAAAATCGATTTGAAAAGTTATTACTTTGTCAAAAATAAAGTTTTAAAAACACCTAATTTGATGACGTCATCAAGTGATGATGATGGAGATAAATTATTTTTTGATATAATGTAAACTAAAGTATAAACGATTATCTTTAAAACCTGTGGTTCGAAATGACTGTAACGTTTATACTTTTGAATCTACTATATAGACACTTAAATGTAGTCTACAATTGACTACAAAAGCGTCTATACATTTACTGGGCCGCGCTCAGCCTGTCATTCCGCCTAATCTCTAATTTAACAACATTAAAGCCTGGGGTCCTCAGGTAACTATACATATATATATATATATACATATATACAATACTTCACGACAATCTGTTGTATAGAAAAACAGGGGTTCCAGAAAACCCACTTCCCGATACTCCTGAAACATGAAATTTTTTTTGCAGTCGATTTGGACAAGGTCTAGACGCCCTGCAAAGTTTTAGATCTCTAACTCAATTTTAACATGGTTTTTAAGGCACCTGCAATCGAATTGAATATGGCGATTTTGGGTTATTTTACCTACTAATTTCGTATAACATGCTGGCGCGTATTTTGCGCAAATTTCTTTAAAACCTCCATATAACTATTTCTTATTCCTGTCATCTTTAACATTGAATTAAAATGTTTTGAACTTAAATGTACCTGCTGAACTACTTTCGAAAGAGTCTTAATGCCTGGAAAACAATAAAGGGGATATAATAGTATAGGGGGTAACTAGTATTGTGAATATAAGGGCGACGGTAATGCTTGCCAGCATTGTGATAACTGGCCGCCAAAGCCGCGCATTCTTGAAAACAGGATTAAATTGTTTATGATTATACAACAAATAGAAATAAATTTAAACTATCCGTGGTTTTTTTTAAATGAATTATAATCTTACCTAAATCCAAAGCCAGCTTTGTAAAATTTACTATTAGATCATAATATATCGTCAATTCTCAATCACCCCCACGCGCAGCGTTGTGACCTCTATTCGCAGTATTTTACACATATTTAGAGGTCGGCAATTTATTCCATTGATAATTTAAAAGTTTCAATATTTTTGTATTAAATTCTTTTTCAATACAGTTGTAAATCGATTAAGTTTGCTTTTCGTGAAAATTTGATATACTTTCGTAAAATAGTTTTGACGTGGCAGCGATTTGAAAAGAAATTTAACTAAAACTGATACAAAAAAATGGACATTTTTTGTTATTAAAACATGTATAACTTGGGCTGTGTTGACAGTAGAAAAATAAATTAACCCCTATCCGAAAGGTTTAAATTTTTTTAATACGCCGCGCAAATCTAAGCGCGCTATTTACGTGTCAAAATCGTCAAAAACGTAAAATAGTTGATGAAGGAGCACTATGGCGCCATTTTTACCTGATCGTATGTGAAGATTATAACTTCGCGCCATTTTGTTATTTCTGCTCGTTGTAAAATGTCAGCTGTTATCGACTGTTGTATTATATATTGCAATTAACGATTCACGATAACAGATAATAGGGTTTTGATTTAAGTTTTTAATTAATGCCAGTCGGATAACTTTTACGAACCGGTAAGTTATTAATTGTTATTTATATCTGTTATTTCATACTTGGTTTCGGTTTTATTCCGAACCATTTCACATTTACACCAACCATTTACACTTTTTAAAACCCCTTAACAGCCAGTAAGATAACCCACAAAACTGACTCCTGGCACTAATTTCAGGATCTCGTACGGCCAAATAATGTGTTTTACACTTATTCAACCATTTACACTTTTTAAAACCCCTTTACAGCCAGTAAGATAACCCACAAAACTGACTCCTGGCACTAATTTCAGGATCTCGTACGGCCAAATAATGTGTTTTACACTTATTCAACCATTTACACTTTTTAAAACCCCTTTAAAGCCAGTAAGATAACCCACAAAACTGACTCCTGGCACTAATTTCAGGATCTCGTACGGCCAAATAATGTGTTTTACACTTATTCAACCATTTACACTTTTTAAAACCCCTTTACAGCCAGTAAGATAACCCACAAAACTGACTCCTGGCACTAATTTCAGGATCTCGTACGGCCAAATAATGTGTTTTACACTTATTCAACCATTTACACTTTTTAAAACCCCTTTAAAGCCAGTAAGATAACCCACAAAACTGACTCCTGGCACTAATTTCAGGATCTCGTACGGCCAAATAATGTGTTTTACACTTATTCAACCATTTACACTTTTTAAAACCCCTTTACAGCCAGTAAGATAACCCACAAAACTGACTCCTGGCACTAATTTCAGGATCTCGTACGGCCAAATAATGTGTTTTACACTTATTCAACCATTTACACTTTTTAAAACCCCTTTAAAGCCAGTAAGATAACCCACAAAACTGACTCCTGGCACTAATTTCAGGATCTCGTATGGCCAAATAATGTGTTTTACACTTATTCAACCATTTACACTTTTTAAAACCCCTTTACAGCCAGTAAGATAACCCACAAAACTGACTCCTGGCACTAATTTCAGGATCTCGTACGGCCAAATAATGTGTTTTACACTTATTCAACCATTTACACTTTTTAAAACCCCTTTACAGCCAGTAAGATAACCCACAAAACTGACTCCTGGCACTAATTTCAGGATCTCGTACGGCCAAATAATGTGTTTTACACTTATTCAACCATTTACACTTTTTAAAACCCCTTTACAGCCAGTAAGATAACCCACAAAACTGACTCCTGGCACTAATTTCAGGATCTCGTACGGCCAAATAATGTGTTTTACACTTATTCAACCATTTACACTTTTTAAAACCCCTTTACAGCCAGTAAGATAACCCACAAAACTGACTCCTGGCACTAATTTCAGGATCTCGTACGGCCAAATAATGTGTTTTACACTTATTCAACCATTTACACTTTTTAAAACCCCTTTACAGCCAGTAAGATAACCCACAAAACTGACTCCTGGCACTAATTTCAGGATCTCGTACGGCCAAATAATGTGTTTTACACTTATTCAACCATTTACACTTTTTAAAACCCCTTTAAAGCCAGTAAGATAACCCACAAAACTGACTCCTGGCACTAATTTCAGGATCTCGTACGGCCAAATAATGTGTTTTACACTTATTCAACCATTTACACTTTTTAAAACCCCTTTAAAGCCAGTAAGATAACCCACAAAACTGACTCCTGGCACTAATTTCAGGATCTCGTATGGCCAAATAATGTGTTTTACACTTATTCAACCATTTACACTTTTTAAAACCCCTTTACAGCCAGTAAGATAACCCACAAAACTGACTCCTGGCACTAATTTCAGGATCTCGTACGGCCAAATAATGTGTTTTACACTTATTCAACCATTTACACTTTTTAAAACCCCTTTAAAGCCAGTAAGATAACCCACAAAACTGACTCCTGGCACTAATTTCAGGATCTCGTACGGCCAAATAATGTGTTTTACACTTATTCAACCATTTACACTTTTTAAAACCCCTTTACAGCCAGTAAGATAACCCACAAAACTGACTCCTGGCACTAATTTCAGGATCTCGTACGGCCAAATAATGTGTTTTACACTTATTCAACCATTTACACTTTTTAAAACCCCTTTAAAGCCAGTAAGATAACCCACAAAACTGACTCCTGGCACTAATTTCAGGATCTCGTATGGCCAAATAATGTGTTTTACACTTATTCAACCATTTACACTTTTTAAAACCCCTTTACAGCCAGTAAGATAACCCACAAAACTGACTCCTGGCACTAATTTCAGGATCTCGTACGGCCAAATAATGTGTTTTACACTTATTCAACCATTTACACTTTTTAAAACCCCTTTACAGCCAGTAAGATAACCCACAAAACTGACTCCTGGCACTAATTTCAGGATCTCGTACGGCCAAATAATGTGTTTTACACTTATTCAACCATTTACACTTTTTAAAACCCCTTTAAAGCCAGTAAGATAACCCACAAAACTGACTCCTGGCACTAATTTCAGGATCTCGTACGGCCAAATAATGTGTTTTACACTTATTCAACCATTTACACTTTTTAAAACCCCTTTACAGCCAGTAAGATAACCCACAAAACTGACTCCTGGCACTAATTTCAGGATCTCGTACGGCCAAATAATGTGTTTTACACTTATTCAACCATTTACACTTTTTAAAACCCCTTTAAAGCCAGTAAGATAACCCACAAAACTGACTCCTGGCACTAATTTCAGGATCTCGTATGGCCAAATAATGTGTTTTACACTTATTCAACCATTTACACTTTTTAAAACCCCTTTACAGCCAGTAAGATAACCCACAAAACTGACTCCTGGCACTAATTTCAGGATCTCGTACGGCCAAATAATGTGTTTTACACTTATTCAACCATTTACACTTTTTAAAACCCCTTTACAGCCAGTAAGATAACCCACAAAACTGACTCCTGGCACTAATTTCAGGATCTCGTACGGCCAAATAATGTGTTTTACACTTATTCAACCATTTACACTTTTTAAAACCCCTTTACAGCCAGTAAGATAACCCACAAAACTGACTCCTGGCACTAATTTCAGGATCTCGTACGGCCAAATAATGTGTTTTACACTTATTCAACCATTTACACTTTTTAAAACCCCTTTAAAGCCAGTAAGATAACCCACAAAACTGACTCCTGGCACTAATTTCAGGATCTCGTACGGCCAAATAATGTGTTTTACACTTATTCAACCATTTACACTTTTTAAAACCCCTTTACAGCCAGTAAGATAACCCACAAAACTGACTCCTGGCACTAATTTCAGGATCTCGTACGGCCAAATAATGTGTTTTACACTTATTCAACCATTTACACTTTTTAAAACCCCTTTAAAGCCAGTAAGATAACCCACAAAACTGACTCCTGGCACTAATTTCAGGATCTCGTATGGCCAAATAATGTGTTTTACACTTATTCAACCATTTACACTTTTTAAAACCCCTTTACAGCCAGTAAGATAACCCACAAAACTGACTCCTGGCACTAATTTCAGGATCTCGTACGGCCAAATAATGTGTTTTACACTTATTCAACCATTTACACTTTTTAAAACCCCTTTACAGCCAGTAAGATAACCCACAAAACTGACTCCTGGCACTAATTTCAGGATCTCGTACGGCCAAATAATGTGTTTTACACTTATTCAACCATTTACACTTTTTAAAACCCCTTTAAAGCCAGTAAGATAACCCACAAAACTGACTCCTGGCACTAATTTCAGGATCTCGTACGGCCAAATAATGTGTTTTACACTTATTCAACCATTTACACTTTTTAAAACCCCTTTACAGCCAGTAAGATAACCCACAAAACTGACTCCTGGCACTAATTTCAGGATCTCGTACGGCCAAATAATGTGTTTTACACTTATTCAACCATTTACACTTTTTAAAACCCCTTTAAAGCCAGTAAGATAACCCACAAAACTGACTCCTGGCACTAATTTCAGGATCTCGTATGGCCAAATAATGTGTTTTACACTTATTCAACCATTTACACTTTTTAAAACCCCTTTACAGCCAGTAAGATAACCCACAAAACTGACTCCTGGCACTAATTTCAGGATCTCGTACGGCCAAATAATGTGTTTTACACTTATTCAACCATTTACACTTTTTAAAACCCCTTTACAGCCAGTAAGATAACCCACAAAACTGACTCCTGGCACTAATTTCAGGATCTCGTACGGCCAAATAATGTGTTTTACACTTATTCAACCATTTACACTTTTTAAAACCCCTTTACAGCCAGTAAGATAACCCACAAAACTGACTCCTGGCACTAATTTCAGGATCTCGTACGGCCAAATAATGTGTTTTACACTTATTCAACCATTTACACTTTTTAAAACCCCTTTAAAGCCAGTAAGATAACCCACAAAACTGACTCCTGGCACTAATTTCAGGATCTCGTACGGCCAAATAATGTGTTTTACACTTATTCAACCATTTACACTTTTTAAAACCCCTTTACAGCCAGTAAGATAACCCACAAAACTGACTCCTGGCACTAATTTCAGGATCTCGTACGGCCAAATAATGTGTTTTACACTTATTCAACCATTTACACTTTTTAAAACCCCTTTACAGCCAGTAAGATAACCCACAAAACTGACTCCTGGCACTAATTTCAGGATCTCGTATGGCCAAATAATGTGTTTTACACTTATTCAACCATTTACACTTTTTAAAACCCCTTTACAGCCAGTAAGATAACCCACAAAACTGACTCCTGGCACTAATTTCAGGATCTCGTACGGCCAAATAATGTGTTTTACACTTATTCAACCATTTACACTTTTTAAAACCCCTTTACAGCCAGTAAGATAACCCACAAAACTGACTCCTGGCACTAATTTCAGGATCTCGTACGGCCAAATAATGTGTTTTACACTTATTCAACCATTTACACTTTTTAAAACCCCTTTAAAGCCAGTAAGATAACCCACAAAACTGACTCCTGGCACTAATTTCAGGATCTCGTACGGCCAAATAATGTGTTTTACACTTATTCAACCATTTACACTTTTTAAAACCCCTTTACAGCCAGTAAGATAACCCACAAAACTGACTCCTGGCACTAATTTCAGGATCTCGTACGGCCAAATAATGTGTTTTACACTTATTCAACCATTTACACTTTTTAAAACCCCTTTAAAGCCAGTAAGATAACCCACAAAACTGACTCCTGGCACTAATTTCAGGATCTCGTATGGCCAAATAATGTGTTTTACACTTATTCAACCATTTACACTTTTTAAAACCCCTTTACAGCCAGTAAGATAACCCACAAAACTGACTCCTGGCACTAATTTCAGGATCTCGTACGGCCAAATAATGTGTTTTACACTTATTCAACCATTTACACTTTTTAAAACCCCTTTACAGCCAGTAAGATAACCCACAAAACTGACTCCTGGCACTAATTTCAGGATCTCGTACGGCCAAATAATGTGTTTTACACTTATTCAACCATTTACACTTTTTAAAACCCCTTTACAGCCAGTAAGATAACAATATAATCCACAAAACTGACTCCTGGCACTAATTTCAGGATCTCGTACGGCCAAATAATGTGTTTTACACTTATTCAACCATTTACACTTTTTAAAACCCCTTTACAGCCAGTAAGATAACCCACAAAACTGACTCCTGGCACTAATTTCAGGATCTCGTACGGCCAAATAATGTGTTTTACACTTATTCAACCATTTACACTTTTTAAAACCCCTTTAAAGCCAGTAAGATAACCCACAAAACTGACTCCTGGCACTAATTTCAGGATCTCGTACGGCCAAATAATGTGTTTTACACTTATTCAACCATTTACACTTTTTAAAACCCCTTTACAGCCAGTAAGATAACCCACAAAACTGACTCCTGGCACTAATTTCAGGATCTCGTACGGCCAAATAATGTGTTTTACACTTATTCAACCATTTACACTTTTTAAAACCCCTTTAAAGCCAGTAAGATAACCCACAAAACTGACTCCTGGCACTAATTTCAGGATCTCGTATGGCCAAATAATGTGTTTTACACTTATTCAACCATTTACACTTTTTAAAACCCCTTTACAGCCAGTAAGATAACCCACAAAACTGACTCCTGGCACTAATTTCAGGATCTCGTACGGCCAAATAATGTGTTTTACACTTATTCAACCATTTACACTTTTTAAAACCCCTTTACAGCCAGTAAGATAACCCACAAAACTGACTCCTGGCACTAATTTCAGGATCTCGTACGGCCAAATAATGTGTTTTACACTTATTCAACCATTTACACTTTTTAAAACCCCTTTACAGCCAGTAAGATAACAATATAATCCACAAAACTGACTCCTGGCACTAATTTCAGGATCTCAAACGGCCAAATAATGTGTTTTACACTTATCCAACCATTTAAACTATTTAAAACCCCTAAGTTAAAGCCAGTAACACTTATTCAACCATTTACACTTTTTAAAACCCCTTTACAGCCAGTAAGATAACCCACAAAACTGACTCTTGGCACTTATTTCTTATTTGACATAATTCTGGCAATTATTATACAATTCCGTCCCTACAGTCACTGATTTGCCGTCATTTAGTAACCACGGTATCTAAGTAACTGACTGTGTCATCTCACTTGGTAACCAAACTTTCACCCTCAGTAGGGTATATCTCAAAATTGAACTCTGAACACGATTTTGATACTGAGCTAATACCTGTTGATCTTAACGACCTCTCCCCTCAAGACTTTGTGGTCTATAAGTTCGGCACTTCGGCTGTTACGTCTGCCAGGTAATGTAGATAAAGTGACTGAGTCATATCTTATCTGGTGTAAGTTGGGTTCAACTACTATTTTTTAATCCTGCATGAGAAACTAAAGTATCATGATAGGGGGCTTTTTTTATAGTTACTGACGCTGGTCCTCACTACTCCCTCATTTCCAGGTTAGTGCACTATTAGTGGGGAGGAGGTGTATTAACTTTATCAGTGACGTAACGTCATGACACTCCTCATCACGGGTATCTTGTAATGGTAACATTGTCATGGTAACAGAAATGTGTTTTCAGGCTGAACAGGAAGCTGTACAACAACCGGTCTGACAAGTTACAAGTGTGGACCTACATCATATCTTCTAGATGTACAGGTTCGTTCATTTACTGATTGATAGCTATTTTAATGAACTTATTTGTTTAGATTTGACGTGTTTCTCAATTGACAATTTTATACCCTCGAGATAATGAAAAATGCAAAATTCTATGAAGGAATCATTTTTAATGTTCAATTACATAAATGATAAACTTAAGTTGACTAAATCGCTGCCTGTATTTGGATTATTTGAAGAAATCAATTTGGTGTGACCACAGTACCATAAGTCGCACTGAGCATAAAACCTGTGAGCGAATCACCATACTTAAAGAGTGTGTGCCAGCTCATGTCCGTCTTCATAACCTCTTCCCTCCACTGACCCTGTAATGTATTATTGATTATAATATGACGATGTATATTTCTTATTACTAATCAATCTATTTCAGCCTCTATTTAGAGGTCTAGCAAGACAGTCTATTTCATTGGTCCATAACATTGGCGACGAGTATGACAAAATCCTACCCCTATCCTCTGACCGCTACAGTCAGCGCGCCGGAAGACTGGTTCGAGCAGTACACATGGTTTCTCAAGTCCCAAAAATCCTATCCGGTTGAACCGGAACCGTTAGTAGAGAATCCGAATGAAGCGCAACGAACCGCGCATGCACAACTGTTAGCGGAATATAATCAGCTATGTCAAACGATCAAACCTCACTTCTTAACGAGCATTGATCCAGAAATCTTTTCCCTACTTACGTCTTTAGCATCTCCAAATGACGTCAACGAACTTACATATTTCGAGATGAAGACAATTCTCATAAATCACATGGTCCCGAAACCGACTGTTTTGGCAGAGCGATTCAGATTCTACAAATGCCACCAAAAGCAGTCGGAGAAAACAGCAGACTTTGTTGCGAGGTTAAAAAAACTGGCAGTCAAATGCAAGTTTACAGACTTCGGCAGTTCAATGTTAGATCAATTTATAATGGGAATTGTTAACTCAGAAGCACAGGAGTTGCTATTGGAGGAGGATTTCGAACAACTGACACTAGAGAGAGCGTATAGAAAAGTGGTGACAATGGACAGATCTAAATCAGAGGCTGCAATGATTAAAAACTCCCAGCAAACTGTACATAAGGTACAGATCAGCAAGAAGTCTCAAGGGAAATCTTCACAGGGAAGTTCCAATCAGGAGACAAGATGCAATAAATGCAAACTCAAATCGCATGCAACCAAGGACTGCTATACTAAATGTTTCAACTGTGGTGAATTGTATCATACTGCTAAGGACTGCCGTAAGAAGACGAAACGCAAGTCCTGGAAACAGAGTGGTAAATCTACACATCATGTATCAACAGACTGCAACAACAGCGATTCAAACAGCGATTCAAACCAGGACACAGAACAGTTTGTGAGTCGAAATATTTACTATTGTGAATTGTCGGAGAAATCCGTAAGTTTAGATGACCAGTTAAATGTTTTGTTTCAAAAATCTTCAAATTTGGGCAACAACCTGACAAGTATTGATGATTCTAAAATTCAGGATGATGATAATAGTGTTCTGTATGGTAGTAATTTGCATGATGATTCGCATGTTGATTTGCATGACAATAACATTATTTTGCATGATAACAGGTTTTTGCATGATAACACTGTTTACTTCGATAACGTGAACTTTTTGCGTGATTCTAGACCCCTGATCAAGGTTTGGATCAATCGCCGAGAGTGTCTGATGGAGTTTGACAGTGGATCAAGTGTATCTGTGTGCAGTAGAGAGATGCTGAAGAAAGCTGGTGTGGAGTTTAAGTTGAGAAGTAGTGATAGGCAACTGCGTGTGGCGAATGGTCAATACCAGCAGGTATGCGGTAAAGCAGTTGTGGAAGTGGCGATAAACAACCAGATTGTGAAAGGGTTGGAACTGTATGTGGTGGATAATCACTTTCCAGCACTGTTTGGACGCTCTTGGATTACAGAGTTTTGTGGTGAAAACTGGTTAGAAAAGTTAGTAACGAGAACACAGGGCCAAACAGCAGAAGTTGGACAGAGACCAACAAAAGAGGTTGAACTGGAGAGAACTGATGGAAACTGTAGCGCACACGAAGGAGAATTTCCTGGGACTCAAGAAGGAGTACGAACAGTGAACGTGTTGGGAGTTATGGAATCAGAATCAGTGACAGATACCGCCAAGAGAAAGTTTAAAACTGGACAACGATGTGAGGACGAAGAGACTGCTCCTAGAACACATCAGTTGAGAAATTTTGTTAGTGTGGACGATGAAACAGATCCTGGAACACCAACAAAGATACGGACAGTACAAGAGATAATGTCTAGTGACATCTTCAAAGATGAGTTAGGTCTGGTAAAGAACTATAAAGTGCAACTCCAATTGAAGGAGGGAAGCAGACCTGTCACGCAGAAATCAAGAGCAGTACCTTTTGCTATTAAAGACTTACTGGAAAAGGAGTTAGACAACATGGTGAAACAAGGAATTTTGAAGAAAGTCAAAGAGAGCCCATGGGGAACTCCAGTTATGCCAGTGAAAAAAGGAGACGGTGTGAGAATATGTGGAGACTTTAAAGCAGTCAACAAACTATTGGAAATGAAACATCACCCGTTACCAACTACAGAAGAATGTTTTGCAAGCGTTTCGGGAGGAGAAAAGTTCTCAGTCATAGACATAAAACAAGCGTACAATAACGTGGAGCTATCAACAGAAGATCAACTCATCACGACAATGAATACGCATATGGGACAGTATGTGTGGACGCGCTTACCGTATGGAATAAATAGCAGCGCAGCAATCTTTCAGAATCTGATGGACAATGTACTACGGGGTATACCTATGGTTTGCTGTAGGATAGACGACATTTTAATATCAGGAAAGAACGACAAAGAGCACTTAGATAATCTGAATAAAGTTGTGAGAAGACTGGAAGCAAACGGTTTCAGATGCAGACTGAATAAATCTAAGCTGATGCATGAAGAAGTGATTTATCTAGGACACAAGGTGAACAAGCATGGTATGTCACCAGTCAACAGCAAGATAGACGATCTGTTAAAAGTACAGGCACCTGAAAATGTGAAAAATTTAGTAGCATTTCTGGGAGCAGTTGGGTATTATCGCAAGTATCTACCAGATTTGTCGACAATAATCGCTCCATTGGATGAGTTGAGAAAGACTGAAGTTGAATGGCGATGGACAAAGACTGAACAGAAAGCCTTCGAAGAATTAAAGAAATTACTTTGTTCTGACAGAGTATTGACGTTCTACAACCCGCTGAAACGTTTGAAGCTGGATACAGACGCAAGCAGCGTGGGTTTGGGAGCTGTATTGTCACACAGATGATGATGGAACAAATGAACGTCCGGTTGAATTTATTTCAAGGACATTATCGAATGCTGAGAAAAAATATAGCCAGATTGACAAAGAAGCTTTAGGGATAGTCTGGGCTATAAAAAGGTTTCATATGTATCTGTATGGAAGACACTTTGAACTAGTGACGGATCACCAACCGTTAGTACATATATTTGGACCTAAGAGAGGCATTCCAGAGATGACGGCGAACAGATTATCCAGATATGCACTGCTGTTACAAAATTACGATTATAACATAGTATACAGAAATACAAAAGAGCATGCTAATGCTGATGTAATGTCCAGATTCCCGAAAAAAGTCATTCATGTGGACGAGCCAAACGAATGTGAAGAGGCATTTTCTTTGACCATGGAGGACGCACTGATAGATGCAAAAGAAGTTGCCCGGGAGACATCCAAAGACATTATTCTGAGCAAGATAGCGATGTACATTGTAGATGGCTGGCCGGAAAAGATAGACAAAGATCACAAGGAGATGAAAGCCATGTACGATAGAAAGAACCAACTCACGACTGAAAAAAGATGTATCACATGGGGAAATCGTGTAATCATTCCACATAAACTAAGAGCAGAGGTTCTTAAGATGCTACACCTTACACATGTAGGGATGACTGGAATGAAAAGCCTGGCTAGAAGCTATGTGTGGTGGCCAGGAATAGACCAAGATATAGAGATTTTAGTTAAAGCATGTGCATCCTGCCAAAAACACGGGAAAAAGTTACCAAAAGTCATCGACCATCCCTGGGTTAAATCAACAAGACCCTGGCAACGAGTACATGTGGACTTCGCTGGAGAATTCCAAAATAACTATTGGTTACTGATGTACGATACTTACTCAAAATGGCCGGAAGTTATCAAGATGTCTCATAACACTACTGCGCCAGCTACGATAAAAGCAATGAGAAGAGTATTTTCAAGAACAGGGGTACCTTGGGTTCTAGTCAGCGATAACGGACCGCAATTTATCAGTGAAGAATTCAAGAACTTCCTAAAGAAGAATCAGATAAGACATGTTTTGTGCCCATCATACTCCCCGAGGAGTAACGGAAGCTGCGAACGGTTTGTCCAGAGTTTTAAGTCAGCGATGAAAAAGATGTACGAAAAGTCTAAGGATTTAGATTTAAATCTCGCTAACTTCCTAATGGCATATAGGAATACTCCACACTCTGTAACTAAGCAACCACCAGCAGTAATGATGTACGGACGAACTTTACGATCTAAGTTACATCACCTCAGACCCAGTGATCAGATGGAAGCGGAACGACTGGATGTTGATAATGAACAAAAAGTTGTTGACAGTAAAAGAAACGAACGTGTATTTGAGGAGAAACAAACAATATGGGTTCGACCGGACACTCGGAAAGAGTACGAACCAGCAACGATTGAAAAAAGACACGGAGAATCACTGTGGTATGATGTGAACTACAAGGGCAGGATCATAAAGAAACATGTAGATGCGATGAAGAAACGGTTAGTGCCAGTAATCGAGTTACAGAAGCAGCAAATTGAGATACCAGAAAGAAACACTGAGCCGAGGAATATTGAACAACCTGTGATAACAGTTCAGCAGCAGCCGGGTCCAAGTAGAGAAGGAGCGCCAGCTGTGACTAGTAACCAACAGACTGCATCTCAAGAGAGCCGCATTGAACTTCCCTTTCATGCTCGAGGTTTCTTTTAACTCTCTGAAGGACCTCAGCTTGTTGTTCCCGGGCGTTCATCTTCTTCCACGGTTTCTTCCATTCTCCAAAACAAATCCCTGCCCTGCTGTACGGCTGGACCATTCCTCTCACCTCTTCACAGACTAAGTCCCTCTCAGCACAATCTAGTTCCTTGTCTGGTCTCCAAACTCTCCCTGACCTGACTTGCGGTTGAATCGCCCTTATCATGTCATCAGAAGACTGCTGGTAGGACTGTTGGAGTCGACATTTCTCCAGCTTCCAAGTATCGGACTGGCTGCTGATGGGCAAGGCCACACTAGATGTTTGACTAAATAAGCAGATGTTACTCAGTGTATGGCCTACACCCTGCCACACCTTCTGAAATCAATGAAATTTGGCGAAACTTTCAGAAATACTAAGTTTGACCCACATGTGAAGGTCGCTAAACTAAATGTAATATGTCAGGTACAAATTCTACTAGTTGTTAAGAGGCGTACTCGGGTTTCAGCACGACAACTTACTTAACGGCCTATTTAATACTCCAATTTTCCATGACTTCTAGAGATTATTTATTTATTATATTTCATTAAATTGTGATGATATTAATTTAACTACGTATAATGGGCTCCTTTTAACTAGAGTATGGAAATTCAGGTTCCGATATTATGGAATACCTCCCGGTTTGAGACTTACTCGGGGCACAGTTCAAACCCAAACTCTCTTTGTACAGATACATTTTTAGGACAGTAATTTCTTTTGTAATTATGGATTTCAGAATTTAAGGTGAATTTATATCTGGAAGATAACCAATTAAAACAAATTAATAAAGGGTTGTAAAATAATTGGGTTAAATAGGACTACAATATTAATTTAACTCTCATATCTCATAACTTAGTCTTAATGTCCATTTACCCCAATAATTGAAGTAGTAGCGAATGTGGCGAGGGTGAAGCGATTAAATAGGATGATTCACGAGGTCGCTGTTCCGGTTCTCTCTCTCTCTCTGTGAAGAGATCATATATCAATACAAATTTAATAGACCACACTAATTATACGGAATATAGGTATTAATTTCCTACTTCTAGATAACTTACGAACTAGAATCACTATAAGTATAATTTACTAACCAAGGAATAAGAATATAAAGTGGCGATCTGGTCTTTTCATATAGTGGAATGTCAACTAGAACTGAACCATCTTGCATGGTCATCTCGAGGATCTAACATAGTGACGAACGGTTCTCGAGGAAGGAGGGGGGAATCAATCTGAAGTAAGATAATTATAAGTACGGAGCGTTTAAGTAGTGACAATAATCAGATTGATTAAGTTAAATTAAGGGAAAATCTATCGTAGGAACCTCTTAATGAAGACGTAATAAACTTACGAAGCAATACGACTGGTGGAGCTTAGGTGAGGACAGGCAGAGCAAGTGGGGTGGGTATCACCGTCATATTGCCTGGAAACCAATAACTATTAGAACTAATAATTAGTACACAGGAAATAACTATAATACTACAATCGTCAACGTTAACAAGTGGAAAAGTGCTATGATTATGAACGATGGATTAAGGTTTACGTAAGATTTTTACCTCAAGAAAGGAACTCCATAGCCTAATTCTGGAAGGATCTATCGGGAACAGATAGTACTAGTAGTGCGAGGAATCTGATGAGATATTATGTATATTAACAGCATATTAAGCATTATACGACGGAAATTGACCTAAGTACGAACTAATCTTTAACGTCAACCTTTTGATACGAATGCAATCAATGACAATAACATGATCAAGAACTTAATCTAAATTACGAACCTATAATAGAAATGAGTAACATGTGGAGAGAGAACGGATACAGCAGAGCAAGACCCCGGGCCATGATAGGAACAGGTGAATGCAGAAGGCGAAAGGCGGAAGGCGGCGAGCAGCAGGCGAGCTCCCCTTTTTGTAGACTGCTGGTTGACAGGTCTTTGGGGAGTTGAAGGGGGAGTTGATTCTCATGGCACTCTTGTAACACCTCGGCTAGTTCGTCAACACAATAATCAAAAATCAATGCTGTTAAAATAATTGTAAGTATTCTTTTAACTATAAGTTCTAATAAATTTGAAACTTTAACAATCTTCAAGCCACTACTTTTCCCACCGGGAACGTCACAATTCCAAATAACTACTAATTTACAACGGCTTAAAATACTAACTACAGCTTCACGCCGTGAGACATTTCAATCATACAAACCTTACAACTTTCAGCTTGTTACGCTGACTCTTAATATTTTCTAAATTGATAAAGACTTTAAATTAATTGACCGACTACCCGTCTCTCAGTACAAATATTTTATAAGATACTAATACAGGCCGTGAGATATTTGCAAACCTGTTCACCTTCATTTCACTATACCCCTACCTAACATCTCCCCGATCGAAAATTAATGACGACCACGTCATAGTAAAACTATCTATAATTAAAGAAATGATAAATCTACAACCTTCTTTTTTTTCTTTAAAAAAAAAAATTTCAAAAGAACCATTAGTAATAAGGTATGCCCGTTCTTATAGTAAAAAATCATTAATTTAAAGAATTATCGAATTTCTCGCGCACAGCCAACAAAATTAAATATAATCGTACAAACAAACATTTGAATTACCATAAGTTAATATTTAAAAGTAAAGTCGTTGTAATTGTAGTGCCTATTCTGGTCGTAGTTATCTTTATTGTCATAGTACTGTCCGTAATTTTCCGACACAATCTGGTCACTATTCTCAGCAGGGTTATAAGTTCCAGGGTCTACTTGTGTACTTGCTGGGGTATTATCAATGATTAGACGACATTACGGAGGTTAACTGTTTTAAGGCACGCAAAGACAGCGAATAACACATACTCGAAGTCTAAGAGGAAAATAAAATCCTAATACTAATAGTTTAATTACGTTAGCGACTTATTATTTACAAAATATATCTATTAATCAAGGTTTAATAAAAATTCAAATCATCAAACGAGTAGCAAACGATGTGGCAAGAGAATATAAATGTGTGTTACGGTTATAATTAAGCTATTAAGTGATGTTCTTTCAGTTCTAGAAAATTGTTTAGGCCGAATTAATTTCAGTTTATTCATAATCAAAAGTTTTCCTGAATGCCTTATGCGGTAATTAATGTGCAGCCACCAGCCATATTTCACAACGTAAATTACCCCAACTTCAACAAAATTTGTATCCCTTATTTCCCAGCATGATTCCACCATGCCAACTTTAACAACATCACTTCTATATCAAATCACTTCTCTATGTATCTACTTCATTTAAAATATCTTCCCCTCTTCTTCACGTCCGCATACCCTATTACACTAAATCATCTTTATTTTTAAACAACAAACCCCTTATCAAATCTCCCTCTGTATCATATCTTCTCTTCTTCACGACCGCATACCCTATTACGCTAAATCATGTTGCCAATCTTAGTTTCAAAGTTCGAAGGGTCGTACTGAATCCGAAGTGTTTCTAACCACCAAGCGCGCTTTTGGCGGTATCACAACACTCAAATAATCAGATAAGAAGCCCATCTACTTATTAAAACTAACACCTTGTCAACAACCATTATAGCACCTCCTCCCAATAAACTTCACAACATCATCTGAACCCCGTATCCCTTAGCCGGCTAATAATTTATACTGCAGTTTAATATATCTCCCCATAATATAATTGTCTCACATTTCAACATCTCATTATAACATAATCTTATTATCTCGTAACATCATACATCTCTCGTATCATTCCCATCTTTATCTAATTATACGGCCGTATATTTCCTATAATATATCACTTCTTTCTCTTTAACATCTTCTTCTCTTACTTCTCATTATAATTACATCTCTTCTACCTACTTCTCTGTTGTGACTTCATCATTTTATGGCGATGGCTGCAACAACTAATATCAATGTAAATAAATAAATTGCACTAACGGTGCATTACCTGAGGACCCCAGGCTTTAATGTTGGTAAACAACAATAGAGATTAGGCGGAATGACAGGCTGAGCGCGGCCCAGTAAACGGTGCACTAACAAAACAACAAGCAAACTAAGGTTTGGTGTCTCTTCCAGATTTTTTTGAAAATTTTGCTACAAAATTTTGTACAGAGAGAGCCGCATTAGGGCTACATTGTTAAGAGGCGTACTCGGGTTTCAGCACGACAACTTACTTAACGGCCTATTTAATACTCCAATTTTCCATGACTTCTAGAGATTATTTATTTATTATATTTCATTAAATTGTGATGATATTAATTTAACTACGTATAATGGGCTCCTTTTAACTAGAGTATGGAAATTCAGGTTCCGATATTATGGAATACCTCCCGGTTTGAGACTTACTCGGGGCACAGTTCAAACCCAAACTCTCTTTGTACAGATACATTTTTAGGACAGTAATTTCTTTTGTAATTATGGATTTCAGAATTTAAGGTGAATTTATATCTGGAAGATAACCAATTAAAACAAATTAATAAAGGGTTGTAAAATAATTGGGTTAAATAGGACTACAATATTAATTTAACTCTCATATCTCATAACTTAGTCTTAATGTCCATTTACCCCAATAATTGAAGTAGTAGCGAATGTGGCGAGGGTGAAGCGATTAAATAGGATGATTCACGAGGTCGCTGTTCCGGTTCTCTCTCTCTCTCTGTGAAGAGATCATATATCAATACAAATTTAATAGACCACACTAATTATACGGAATATAGGTATTAATTTCCTACTTCTAGATAACTTACGAACTAGAATCACTATAAGTATAATTTACTAACCAAGGAATAAGAATATAAAGTGGCGATCTGGTCTTTTCATATAGTGGAATGTCAACTAGAACTGAACCATCTTGCATGGTCATCTCGAGGATCTAACATAGTGACGAACGGTTCTCGAGGAAGGAGGGGGGAATCAATCTGAAGTAAGATAATTATAAGTACGGAGCGTTTAAGTAGTGACAATAATCAGATTGATTAAGTTAAATTAAGGGAAAATCTATCGTAGGAACCTCTTAATGAAGACGTAATAAACTTACGAAGCAATACGACTGGTGGAGCTTAGGTGAGGACAGGCAGAGCAAGTGGGGTGGGTATCACCGTCATATTGCCTGGAAACCAATAACTATTAGAACTAATAATTAGTACACAGGAAATAACTATAATACTACAATCGTCAACGTTAACAAGTGGAAAAGTGCTATGATTATGAACGATGGATTAAGGTTTACGTAAGATTTTTACCTCAAGAAAGGAACTCCATAGCCTAATTCTGGAAGGATCTATCGGGAACAGATAGTACTAGTAGTGCGAGGAATCTGATGAGATATTATGTATATTAACAGCATATTAAGCATTATACGACGGAAATTGACCTAAGTACGAACTAATCTTTAACGTCAACCTTTTGATACGAATGCAATCAATGACAATAACATGATCAAGAACTTAATCTAAATTACGAACCTATAATAGAAATGAGTAACATGTGGAGAGAGAACGGATACAGCAGAGCAAGACCCCGGGCCATGATAGGAACAGGTGAATGCAGAAGGCGAAAGGCGGAAGGCGGCGAGCAGCAGGCGAGCTCCCCTTTTTGTAGACTGCTGGTTGACAGGTCTTTGGGGAGTTGAAGGGGGAGTTGATTCTCATGGCACTCTTGTAACACCTCGGCTAGTTCGTCAACACAATAATCAAAAATCAATGCTGTTAAAATAATTGTAAGTATTCTTTTAACTATAAGTTCTAATAAATTTGAAACTTTAACAATCTTCAAGCCACTACTTTTCCCACCGGGAACGTCACAATTCCAAATAACTACTAATTTACAACGGCTTAAAATACTAACTACAGCTTCACGCCGTGAGACATTTCAATCATACAAACCTTACAACTTTCAGCTTGTTACGCTGACTCTTAATATTTTCTAAATTGATAAAGACTTTAAATTAATTGACCGACTACCCGTCTCTCAGTACAAATATTTTATAAGATACTAATACAGGCCGTGAGATATTTGCAAACCTGTTCACCTTCATTTCACTATACCCCTACCTAACACTAGTACGATTCGATGCAGTGGAAGAGGTTGAAGTTGACGTTTAAGCACTAAGCAGTCACCCTGCCGAACAAGAAATCAGTCAGGCAAAGAGGCTAGGTTGACTAGAAACTCAATCACTGTATCCGTGGAACTTGCCGGAAGCTATGTGAGTTATTTTACCTCCTTATTTCAAATGACCTCCAAACCAATTACATTGAAGAGGTGAAGAAACCATTAATATTTACTGCATTAAATGCAACTATAAAACCGAAATAGTAATACACTACTGACTACAAAGAAACATCTTACATGGGGCCAGGCTCATATAAGTGTTCATATGTTAGTGTTCATAGCCGTTGAAAATATGGCGGAATGACAGGCTGAATGTGGCCCAGTAGAAGAAAAAAACATTATAATTCTTTCCGACCATAATAGAAATTCAATTGAACTAGAATGAAACAAAGAGTATTACATTTTTAAATTAGTCGAGTCAACCAAATTTCACTGAGAAGCTGGACATTTATACGACAATTTAAACGCAATGTGTATGCGCCGTGATCAATGGTCACGGCGCATAACCATTGCGCCGTGACCATTGATCACGGCGCATAACCCGTAAGATGCTGCGCACATTTTTGATTTTAAAATGGCGGGAACACATTTCAACTGCCATTGTAGTAGAGGCTCTTACGGGCAAAAAGACGTGTTTTCTGCTACGAGTTTAGAGACCTAACCGCTAATTGGACACAATAGTATGATGTCTAAGGATCGATAATATGTTAAGAAGTATAAATTTGGCCTTATTAGTCACGTGCTATACCAATGCGCGTTTTAAACTTTGACAGTCTATTACTCTAAGGCAAATAGAGTAATTATATTCATATTTTGTCAGCAATAAGATCACATTATTTTCTATTTAGTGTGAAAATATGAGCTAGAACGGACATAATCTCGCTGAGTTATAGCTGTTTGAAATTTATGATGAACGCGCGGGTGCCAATTGATAACAACTAAATGCTTTTGCGCGTAGTGCGCGTCGAAAATTTGGCAAAAACGCTTGCGGAGTGACAATATTCAAACTTCGATAAAGTATATGAAGTGGGTACTTCTCGGAAAGGAAAAATTTAGGCAAACACGATGTGACTATTTTTGGGTTGATTTAATACAACTGCAAAAAATTATTCAAACTTCAAGCAAAAAAGTCAAAATTTTTACCACTTTTTTGGATTTTTACCTCAGAACAAATAGAGGGATTTGTTTTATTTTTATACAATCTTGTGCGGCTGTCTTTTAGCTATCTTTATGCAAGTTTTGCCGACATGCCAACAAAATTAACTTGCTCAAAATATCAAAAAACATGGTTTTTTGGCCTATTTTTGGCCCAAAAATCGGTTTTTTGCGATTTTACCCCAGAACAATCAGTCCAATCATCTTGAAACCACTTTCAATCGATTCTACGGTCAAAAATACGTCTAGTAAGGTGTATCTGGGGTCCCTAACGTATCGAGCAGACAATGCCCGTAAGAGCCTCTACTATTGTTATACGATACATTGTAGTGCATAGTGGAGTGTGTGGTCTGATAGTAGACAGAGGATTTATTTGGAACATTTCCGGTGCCTTAAACTGTTCTCCACTGTGCACTGCACACTGACTATTTGATCGCTTAAACGAATAAGCGAGCTTTCAAAAACATAAGCTACCAATGTTTCATGCTGCACACATATTCAATATTGTTTTCTTTTTACATAATTGATAATATCCCTAATATCTTTTCAGGAGTATAGGTAATCAGACACTAAAGAGGACTTGCTTCTACTAATGCATGATGTGTTAAAATGAAAGAGAAAGAGAAACCACTCATTTATGATTTACTTTTAGTATTATGTCTTTCACTGTCTTAACAATGATATTGAAGTTGATCTTAAAAACTGACTATGAACCCTTGCTAAATGATTTGGGAAGGTGTTAGGGCTAAATATACCTGTAAACATCACTTTCAGTGATTTTTATGAAATTAATGATTAGGATATATTTTGGGACTAAAATAAGCGCAAGACCTTCGACGTTCCTATACTATACTACTCCTATTATTATTTTAATCTAGCAAATATTCAAAAAAAATTTATACTGTCGTATAAATAAAATACTTAGTAATCGGATTAGGCTATTAAAAATTGAGTACTACAATTACCAAGCTGAAATATATAATGTTGAACTCAGAAATTTTCACGCGTTGGTGGAGAAATATTCAATCCTGTGCGTAGTTTTTTTGTCACATCTATGGCAAATTTTAACCAATTTTGTTCATTCTTTCATAATACTATTTAGTAGACAAATTACTTTCGAACTGTGTCCATATTATTTATTCAAATCTAAAACAAACACCTTAATTTGGCTTCAAAATTGTTCAAATCTGAATACGAGCTAATTACGACGCATACCGGTCACGGCACTGCGCGCAGCAGTGTCAATATTCACAATGCAACATTTCATTAATCTACATACAAGCGTACTCCAGCCCCTGCACGCATCCGTTCTTATGCGGCGCGGCTCAAGCCTCGCACGCAGCGCACGTATTATTTTATACTTTTTGCTTTCTAATAAATACTTTTTGCTTTCTAAATAGTACTGCTGATCTTTTTAAGATTCCTGAACAGTGAACAGCAGCAAGCAACTTTACAACTTCACATAGCCATGTGTCTACGCTTAATTGTAGCGCGATGCACTACTGGGTCGCGCGCGCATCAAATAATGCTTCTCGCAACCACGTATGCAGATCGGCGAGATGCGAAGGATTGACATCGTCAATCAATGTCTACGCGTACTGCGTGACGCGCTTGTTTCACAACACACAAGTAGAATAATCTTGTGCCGCCTTTGGCGGTCGCGCGCTACTGCAAGCGAGAGGCCGAGAGGGCTTTGCAGTTAAAGCAAGTTTACAACCTACCAGGACGCGCGTGCCGGGTTGGACTCGTCGACGGTAATATTATGTGGAGCAAATATTTTACGAGTATCACCCGTTAACGAGCAATTTACCTGGCACGCCAATCCCTGTCGTGCGCGGCGCGCTCTTTTCAAGCTTCCTGAAGGATGATGATTATTAATCACTCTAATCATCAGGATGATGATTAATCATTGCTACACGTTGTATACCTCTCGTGCACGCGAAGCGTGCACGCCGGCCGGCCGCGCGCGATCAAAAGGGGTTACAGCGTGTGTCAAATTAATCACTCTAATCATTGCTATCCGATAAAACACTAGACCCTACAAAAGTGACTGCCACAGTAAGAGCAATCCATTCAATTCTCTCTGTGAACGAACATTTTACAGCCTACTATAAGAGCCCAGATTTCCACTCAAATACTGGCGAATGCATAATGCTATCAGCTATAGGACCTCAAAATAAGATCGAAATTTACAAATCCGATCTATTCATAGAAAAATAGTATTATAAATCTCTTTTATCGACAAAAACAAGCAGAAATACGCCAGGAGCTCGAGTCAACACCACTGGCAAAGTTGATGTTCCAACTAGCGGCTGAGAAAGGGGCAAGTGCTTGGTTAACAGCACTACCTTTAAAAGAGTATGGATATCTGATGAATAAACAACAGTTCTCAGATGCAATAGCTCTCAGATACAACCTGAACTTGAAGGACTGCCCTAAAACATGTACGTGTGGCCAGAAATACTCAGCAAACCATGCGCTCATCTGCAAACTTGGTGGATATGTGTCACTGCGCCACAACTCGCTGAGAGACACCTTTGCAGAACTAATGAGAACTGTGAAATGCAAGGATGTGCAGACTGAGCCAGTTCTTCTTCCAGTTGATGGTCTAGAGTTACCAAGGGGAACAGTCCTAGGAGACCAAGCCAGGCTGGACATTTCTGCAAGATCGATTTGGAATGCTTCAGAGAGGGCATTTTTTGATGTAAGGGTATTTCATGCCCCAGCCCCCTCCAATGCATGCAAACCGATACCAGCAATGTACCTGTCCCATGAAAATGAGAAAAAGCGATGTTACAATGCAAGGGTTCTTGAAGTGGAGAAAGGAAGCTTCACACCTATAGTGTTCTCGACTTCTGGTGGAATGGGTGGTGAAGCTGAGAGACTGGTCAAGAAGCTGGCCAGTAAGATGGAGTACCACACTGGCCAGAGATACTCAGACGCCGTAGGATACATAAGAAAGCGCCTTCGCTTTGAAATTCTCAGAACAACAGTGATTTCTCTCCGTGGAGACAGAGGTGCGAGAAAAAACATTGTTGATATAAACAGTCTAGATCTTAACTTGGAGCCACAAGGCCAAGGGTAATTTTTAATTGTTAAGGGAATTTTTTGAATTCTTAAAGGGTTGATTTTATATAGGGTCATTGCTATATTATTATGTGTATATTGTTTGAATAATTTTATATACTTTAAAAAAAATAAAATAGTATTATAAAACATTTCTATTTTATCCCTACGCATTTGTAAATAACTAGAATTGTGTAACCTTAAATTATTTCAGAATTATAACTATTGTGAAATTAATAAAATAATTATCACTTTTGTAACTGTGGACTTGTGCACCAATGACCAAGCTGCGTCTCGTATCGGTTCCGGGTATGAAACAAATGCTAATGGGCAAAATTCTTGGCTAGAGAATACTTTCTTGGCTAGAGAATACTTTCTTAGATATTTTGGACAGTTTTTAATATTGGTAATGTTAATGAATTGTAATTGATTGATATATAATATTTAGGCCCGTGGCCAGTTTTCTATATAAATTCTTGGAGCATTATATTGGTGGGTTCAAGGTTTATGCCTACAAGACTGGTCCCCACTTGTGTCATCAACCCTTACTTCTTATGTTGCTCTAACCAGAGCCCTCCCATAGGGAATGAAAGAAGCCTTAGACGTCCAGTAAGCTGGGTAACATTATAACATAAACCCCAGGCTGTGGTTTGGGCTTAACTAGGTTTATGATGTCTGTATTGGTCAACTAAGCTGAATCATCAATACATCCGTGATCGAAGGGCAAGTGAAAAAGGCCCTGTCAAAAGAATTGACTCTTACAAGAGTACATTGCAGTACTCAAACAAAAAAGTTGCATTTCGCTGTTAAGGGGGGGGGGGACAATGGATATTTTTTTGTGAAAGTTGATTTCGAGATAGCAGTTGACCAACAAACTAGGACCAGTGACCGAACTTTTGAGGGGGTCCCGGACCCCAACCGCCAAACGGTGCCCTCGGGGCAGCCACGCCCATATTTGGTCCAAATTAGGCCCAATTTAGCCAAATACCCTGAACATGCCCAAAACCCAGATTTTGTGTGCTTTACTTGTAGCTAGTGGTCTCCTGAACTCGTATATGAAATTTCATCAAGATTGGACAAAAAATGACTGAGTTATGGGCCAAAAACAATATGCCCATATTTGGGCATACGCACCAAATTTGGTAGATTTCGTCCCATAAATTGGGCAAATATCAATATTTTTGAATGAAACTTACTTTATAAGAAAGGTAAGCCCAAACTACATATTCTCTGTAAGTTATAGCTTTGTATTTGTTTAAATGTGGATACTAAGGCGAAAAAACCACAAAAAATGAACTAAATTGCCCGTATCTTGGTTCGCGATATTCGCGGAATTGATCTCATTAAAATTGTAACAGCTCAATCAGTTTTCAAAATTTGGCGGCCAAATTCCAAAATTTTCCCGGAAAAATTCAGAATTTGGCCGCCAAATTTTTTTGGAGGCCTAAATCAAAAATCTGTTCTCAAAATAAGGTGGAAATGCGATTTCGAGTCGATTCCGAAAATTTCATGCAAAAATTTTGAAAACTGATTGAGTTGTTACAATTTTAATGAGATCAATTCCGCGAATATCGCGAACCAAGATACGGGCAATTTAGTTCATTTTTTGTGGTTTTTTCGCCTTAGTATCCACATTTAAACAAATATAAAGCTATAACTTACAGAGAATATGTAGTTTAGGCTTACCTTTCTTATAAAGTAAGTTTCATTCAAAAATATTGATATTTGCTCAATTTATGGGACGAAATCTACCAAATTTGGTGCGTATGCCCAAATATGGGCATATGGTTTTTGGCCCATAACTCAGTCATTTTTTGTCCAATCTTGATGAAATTTCATATACGAGTTCAGGAGACCACTAGCTACAAGAAGAGCACCTAAAATCTGGGTTTTGGGCATGTTCAGGGTATTTGGCTAAATTGGGCCTAATTTGGACCAAATATGGGTGTGGCTGCCCCGCGGGCACCGTTTGGCGGTTGGGGTCCGGGACCCCCTCAAAAGTTTGGTCACTGGTCCTAGTTTGTTGGTCAACTGCTATCTCGAAATCAAGTTTCGCAAAAAAACATCCATTGTCCCCCCCCCCCTTAACAACTTATATTAATAGTACTATACTGGGAGATCGTTCAAATATTAGGTAAGCGTAGCTAGGGATGAGGAGTTTGAATTAAGTAAAACAAAACATCACGAAGAGGGGAGGGAGATCTTACATGGTCAAATCTTACAAAGAATGTTAACGATCCCTACAGTGGCGTAACGTTGCCTGTTGGCGCCCCTGCCGAAAATGCACCCCCCTGTTGAGTGTTGGTGCCCCCTCTCCTTTTTGGCGCCCCTCCCTAAAATTTAACAAATTAAGTGATTTTAGAGGATACGCCAGTAAAATCTCTAAAAAAGTGTGTTTCTTAGAGTTGTGAGTTTCTCATCTTAAATGTGTAGCCCAGCTGGAGGCTCACGATGAAGTCGTATATTGAGTCATCGATCTGTCAATTATAAGATGTTAAAGATAACTAGTAAAGATTGAAGCCATATTTTATCATGTTAACGGATCAGACTCGCTAACTCTCAGAACCTGTTATGATCATTATCCTTCTGTTTTTCTGACGCCTTATGGAAGCAAAAAAAGAACAGTGATAAGGCAGCAAATTAATTCAGGAGTTGAAAAAAAGATTAAATGTTCCCAAGAAGAAAGTTGATATATATTGATAACCTGGAATTTTCTCAGATTAGATCTATGATGATCTTATCAAGAGTGATGTTTTTAATTTGAATTTGAATCTCTCAGTGAACTTGCACATGATTTTAGAGTTTGAGTGTTCATTTTTTGTTTACTTTTCGTTTGTATTCATGGTCAGTTGTTTCACACAGGTTGTCCCATTGGTAGCCAGCCTTTTAAAATTTTCCATGTTTATTTGATATTTTTATGAGTAACAAGTATATCTCAAAACTGTGCATCAATAAACCTTACATGGTATGTTATTTAAGCACAAACTTGTGTGCCACACATTTTTAAAACTCAGATGCTTGAACTGGGTAACCACTGTAAACTTCCCCTAGATGGAAAAAAGCTTGAATCATGACAAATGGAACAAACTTTTGCCCTATGCGACAGATGCGCCTGAACATGTGTTTGCTGATATCAAGAAGAACATATCTTTCTCTGTTCAGCAAAAGGACTTGACTCGTGGTCTGAAGTTTTGGTCTGATCAACTATCCACGTGAGCTTTTTTCCTACTTTTACCTAGATCAATTTCGTTTTGAATAATCCTAGAAACTTTTGATGCTATCGTGTATTGGAATACGATGTTTTGTAGTAGCATCACAGCTTAAAATTTGTGAATGCTATAAAGATTAACTGTGTTATATTATGATGTTATCTAAATGTATTATGTTAGAAGAAGGTAGTCCAGGTAACACTATTTGTTGGTTTCAGGTTCATCAAGATCTATGGGTATCAAATCTCCAATGAAGACTTGGTTACGCTTATCAAGTTGTACTACTCACTTATTATAAAGGAGGATATCAACATTCCTGTTGTGGGTTGTGCTGGTAGAGCGTTTGCTCTTCTGTTAGGGTAAGTTTGATATTATCTGTTTATGTAAGCTTAAGAGATGTATTTGTTGATTACTCCAGATCATGTTATTTTCTGTTGTGAGACAAAAGGCTATTTTGCATCCTTGATTGACCTGAAATTAGAAAATATGTTCTGTTCAAGTTATGATTAGAATTTAGGACTATACTTGCATTTTTATTTGCTGCACGAGCTGGCTCTAGTTGAAAATAATTTGTAGCATAAGTTCGTTTCTAACAAAAGGTGCTTGGACTATTTGGCAAATTGAATGGGTGTTTAAAAGTTTAGCAAAATTCGACCTCAAGTATTTAATGTACAACAAAAGATTTACAGGATGTAAGAACTTGTCTTAAATTAATTTACAATATAATTCTAAGCTTGTATCTTCAGTCGTCAAAAGGTAAAGAAAAGGATAACCAGAGAGGAGTTGGTGCTGGATTGGAGGCCCTTGTACAACATTTGCAAGGAAATATATTTTGGGAAGGATAGGGTCTACAATCTGAAAGTTGGATACTCGTAAGTTATTTTGTCTTTTTCTATGCAGATGTTGGGAATATTCGCCACTTCCGCATTCACAGTGGCTTCTTGGACACTGTATAATATAGTATATACTATTTTAAATAACAAAGCTTCATCCCTCTGCTATGCCATTAAGGTGTAAAAAAACATTATAATATCTTTGCACAATTGGACCCCCGAGGAAGCTATGTTTAAAAAGAACAACAGTTCACGCTTTTATACATATAGGATGGTAATTATGCGGAATTAGCTTAAGTTGAAAAACTGCTCTATAATCGAAGAAGGGTCAGATGTTTACTATTCACGAATTTTATCAAGTTAATCTCTTCAGGCAGCTCGAGGGTGTGATTAGAAACGTGGTATCCAGTTCTCGAGAGTGAGTTGTTTTAGTTATAATTATCAATCAATTAGCAATTATTAATATACCTATTTAACTGTCCATTAACGGGGTAATTACCTGCATTTGCACATTTTAGTTATGAGAATACTAAATTAAAGTATGAATATTTTTAGCTTTAGAGGGGGGGGGGGTGTCACGTCCGTCTATGTCCGCTTGTCTCATAGAATCCAAAAAGGACAGGACATAGGCGGACATAGGCGGACATAGGCGGACATAGGCGGACATTAATGGACACCTAAATTGCTAAATAAAATGTTCAATTTTTGCTGTTATAGGGGGATCATGTTTTTTGTCCGTTCGGTACCCTATATTTTGAAAACGGACAAAAAATAGAGCGGACAAAAACGGACAAAAATGGAAATAACATTTAGATGCTTCCTCCTCCTACTCTTCCTCCTCCTCCCCCTGGGTCTTCCTGATCTTCCTCAGTCCTCTTCCTCCTCCCCTCCTCAGTCCTCCTCCTACTCCTCCTCCTCGTCCTCAGTCCTCCTCATCAGTCCTCAACAGTCCTCCTCCTCCCCAGTCCTCCTCCTCCTCCTGAGTCCTCCTCCTGGGTCCTCCTCCTGGGTCCTCCTCCTCCTCTTCATCCTCCTCCTCTTCCTCCTCAGTCCTCAGTCCTCCTCCTCATCCTTCTCCTCAGTCCTCCATCCTCCTCCTCAGTCCTCCCCCAGTCCCCCTCCTCCTCCTCCTATTCAGTCCTCCTCCTCCTTCTCAGTCCTCCTCAGTCCTCCTCCTCCTCCTTCTCAGTCCTCCTCAGTCCTCCTCCTCCTCCTCCTCCTCTTCCCTCTCAGTCATCCTCCTCAGCCATCCTCCTCAGTCCTCCTCCTCCTGGGTCCTCCTCTTCATCCTCCTCCTCTTCCTCCTCGGTCCTCAGTCCTCCTCCCCCTGGGTCCTCCTCATCCTTCTCATCAGTCCTCCTCCTCCCCAGTCCTCTCCCAGTCCCCCTCCTCCTCCTCCTCCTATTCAGTCCTCCTCCTCCTCCTCCTCAGTTCTCCTTAGTCCTCCTTCTCATTTCTCCTAAGTCCTCCTCCTGAGTCCTCCTCCTCTTCCTTCTGAGTCCTCCTCCTGAGTCCTCCTCCTCCTCCCTCTCAGTCATCCTCCTCAGTCATCCTCCTCAGCCATCCTCCTCAGCCATCCTCCTCAGTACTCCTCAGTCCTCCTCCTTCTCAGTCATCGTCAGTCCTCCTCCTCAGTCCTCCTCAGTCCTCCTCCTCCTCCTCCTGGGTCCTCCAGCCTCCTGGGTCTTCCTGATCCTCCCCAGTCCTCTTCCTCCTCCCCTCCTCCTACTCTTCCTCCTCGTCCTCAGTCCTCCTCATCAGTCCTCAACAGTTCTCCTCCTCCCCAGTCCTCCTCCTCCTCCTGGGGCCTTTTCCTGGGTCCTCCTCCTGGGGCCTTTTCCTGGGTCCTCCTCCTGATCCTGGGTCCTCCTTCTCCTGCTCAGTCCTTCTCCTCCTCAGTCCTCTTCTTCCTCTTCCTCCTCCTCCTCCCTCTCAGCCATCCTCCTCAGCCATCCTCTTCAGCCATCCTCCTCAGCCATCCTCCTCAGTCCTCCTCCTTCTCAGTCCTCGTCAGTCCTCCTCCTGAGTCCTCCTCCTCCTGAGTCATCCTCCTGAGTTCTCCTCCTCCTCCTCCTCCTCCTCCTAGGTCCTCCTTCTGGGTCCTCCTCCTCCTCCTCCTGGGTCTTCCTGATCCTTCTCCTCCCTCTCAGTCATCCTCCTCAGCCATCCTCCTCAGCCATCCTTCTCAGCCATCCTCCTCAGTCCTCCTCAGTCCTCCTCCTCCTCCTGGGTCCTCCTCCTCCTCCTCCTCCTCCTGGGTCCTCCAGCCTCCTGGGTCTTCCTCATCCTCCCCAGTCCTCTTCCTCCTCCCCTCCTCAGTCCTCCTCCTACTCTTCCTCCTCGTCCTCAGTCCTCCTCATCAGTCCTCAACAGTTCTCATCCTCCCCAGTCCTCCTCCTCCTCCTGGGGCCTTTTCCTGGGTCCTCCTCCTGGGTCCTCCTCCTCCTGGGTCCTCCTCCTCCTGGGTCCTCCTCCTCCTGGGTCCTCCTTCTCCTGCTCAGTCCTTCTCCTCCTCCTCCTCAGTCCTCTTCTTCCTCTTCCTCCTCCTCCTCCCTCTCAGCCATCCTCCTCAGCCATCCTCTTCAGCCATCCTCCTCAGCCATCCTCCTCAGTCCTCCTCCTTCTCAGTCCTCGTCAGTCCTCCTCCTGAGTCCTTTTCCTCCTGAGTCATCCTCCTGAGTTCTCCTCCTCCTCCTCCTCCTCCTCCTAGGTCCTCCTTCTGGGTCCTCCTCCTCCTCCTCCTCCTGGGTTTTCCTGATCCTTCTCCTCCCTCTCAGTCATCCTCCTCAGTCATCCTCCTCAGCCATCCTCCTCAGCCATCCTTCTCAGCCATCCTCCTCAGTCCTCCTCAGTCCTCCTCCTCCTCCTGGGTCCTCCTCCTCCTCCTCCTCCTCCTGGGTCCTCCAGCCTCCTGGGTCTTCCTCATCCTCCCCAGTCCTCTTCCTCCTCCCCTCCTCAGTCCTCCTCCTACTCTTCCTCCTCGTCCTCAGTCCTCCTCATCAGTCCTCAACAGTTCTCCTCCTCCCCAGTCCTCCTCCTCCTCCTGGGGCCTTTTCCTGGGTCCTCCTCCTGGGTCCTCCTCCTCCTGGGTCCTCCTTCTCCTCCTCAGTCCTTCTCCTCCTCCTCCTCAGTCCTCTTCTTCCTCTTCCTCCTCCTCCTCCCTCTCAGCCATCCTCCTCAGCCATCCTCTTCAGCCATCCTCCTCAGCCATCCTCCTCAGTCCTCCTCCTTCTCAGTCCTCGTCAGTCCTCCTCCTGAGTCCTCCTCCTCCTCAGTCATCCTCCTGAAATCTCCTCCTCTTCCTCCTCCTCTTCCTCCTAGGTCCTCCTTCTGGGTCCTCCTCCTCCTCCTCCTCCTGGGTCTTCCTGATCCTTCTCCTCCCTCTCAGTCATCCTCCTCAGTCATCCTCCTCAGCCATCCTCCTCAGCCATCCTTCTCAGCCATCCTCCTCAGTCCTCCTCAGTCCTCCTCCCCCTCCTGGGTCCTCCTCCTCCTCCTGGGTCCTCCAGCCTCCTGGGTCTTTCTGATCCTCCCCAGTCCTCTTCCTCCTCCCCTCCTCAGTCCTCCTCCTACTCTTCCTCCTCGTCCTCAGTCCTCCTCATCAGTCCTCAACAGTTCTCCTCCTCCCCAGTCCTCCTCCTCCTCCTGGGGCCTTCTCCTGGGTCCTCCTCCTGGGTCCTCCTCCTCCTGGGTCCTCCTTCTCCTCCTCAGTCCTTCTCCTCCTCCTCCTCAGTCCTCTTCTTCCTCTTCCTCCTCCTCCTCCCTCTCAGCCATCCTCCTCAGCCATCCTCCTCAGCCATCCTCCTCAGTCCTCCTCCTTCTCAGTCCTCCTCAGTCCTCCTCCTGAGTCATCCTCCTCCTGAGTCATCCTCCTCAGTTCTCCTCCTCCTCCTCCTCCTCCTAGGTCCTCCTTCTGGGTCCTCCTCCTCCTCCTCCTCCTGGGTCTTCCTGATTCTTCTCCTCCCTCTCAGTCATCCTCCTCAGTCATCCTCCTCAGTCATCCTCCTCAGCCATCCTACTCAGCCATCCTTCTCAGCCATCCTCCTCAGTACTCTTCAGTACTCTTCAGTACTCTTCAGTCCTCAAAATGTTTGTCTGCTAATGTCCACCAATGTCCGCTAATGTCCATCCAAGTCCGCCAATGTCCGTCCGGGTCCGCCAATGTCCGTCCGAGTCCGCCAATGTCCGTCCGAGTCCGCCAATGTCCGTCCGAGTCCGCCAATGTCCGTCCGTGTCCGCCAATGTCCCAAAAAACACGTCCGTTGTCTCATAGAATCCAAAAAGGACAGGACATAGGCGGACATAGACGGACATGACACCCCCCCCCCCCCTTTAGAAAATCAAATGGATAACTAATCTGAGCATAAGTCATGAATGAATAATTGTCATTACATCCATCATTCTGTCAAAATATATAAATGGTCAAAATAATTGTAATGACCAGGAAAAATGAGCATACCAGTATAAACTATGATCATATGTATCGAGTGGCTTTAATGTTTTAGAAGATAAACTTTTGTAATAAATTTTTTAATATTCTAATGTCAAGTAAGAATGACAATGTTAAAATCAGGATCATGACCAGTCACCACTCCCCGGAATTCGCCAGATTGTAATTAAATCCCGCTTTAAACAAAGTGATATCTTAACTAACTCAACCTAATCTGTCCAGCTATTTCTCGAACGAGTGTACGCGGGAGATGTTGGATGAGTGGGAGCCGCTGCTGTGTCCTCCTGACACAATGTGTCACCGTGGTACCACCTACCTCTCAATGTTCCTTCCTGTTACTGTTCAACCTGACCAGGGATTCGGGTAATGGAACACTTTTTACAACGTTGTCGAGTGTTGTGTCATGCTAATACAGCATATTGTTATATCATAATCACTGATTACTGTATTTTTGTTTTAGTACGGTATTTTTTATTTAACCCGACTAGAAATCGATATACTTCACTGTAAATTTAATCAAATCAATGCAATAGTTAGTTGATGAATTTGTAATAATTGGAAAAATGCTTCAGGCTGTGGCTAGATTTAGTGTTGGGACTAGTAAAGACTACTGCAATAGTGAGTACCTCTTCTTATTTTTACGTAATATATCAATCATTGTGTATCTTAATTTCACTTACAATGAATCAAAATATATAGACTTTAAGATAATCCAATATCACAGACTATCGTATTTTGTTCTGCGAACATTTGACTACAGTTATGTGAAGACAACAAGAGCTCTGATAAAATGTAGGATATCTCGAAATATTGATTTTTCCAATCGGCAATCAGGCTATGGGTCCTTGCCAGGGCCTATAGACAATTAATTCTATGCTGATTAGGGTGTCAAAACGGTCGTTCAAATCATCACGTGTCCGTGCCTCTTCAATCAGGTAGAGATTTTGGAATTATGTGAGAGATTTTGTGTGAGAATTTTCGTGAGAAATTATGTGTAAAATATTTTATACGAGACGTTTTGTTACCCGAAATTTCGTGAGTAATCTAAGTTGTTTATGTGATACTTTTGTGAGCCTTTTTGTCGTATTTACGCAAATTTGTGGTAACTGGTATGATTACCACCTAAATTGCTAACCTCTGCATACCTCACAGGAAATTGTGGTTTACAATTAAGGTCCTACATCTCTACATTACGGGTTTTATGACATCATAATTAATTAGGTCGGGGTTTGTAAAAACTCTTAATTTCGGGCGTCTTAATTATAATATGCAGCTATAATTTTTGAAGTAACTGTAGTAAGGTATATACTATATATGGGGCTCCATCCACCTATAACTAACTTACCAACCTTACTTAGTGAACAGTATAACTCAGTTATATAGTATTTATAAGCAGTTTATAATCTATAAATATTGATGACATGGTTATTTAGAATTGTATGTTGGCTTTGACGTCATTTTACCTCCAGATTTTACCTCCAGATTTTACTAAATGGATGATTTTAAAAGATATCGTAACATTACACATAAATGTGCACGTTACTCTTGCAATATTGTACAGATGTTGGTTCCAAACTACCATTAATTAATACTCACCACATATTTGCAATTTTCTTCACCGAGTTTTTTCCCTCCATATTTCTAGAATTATGCCATCCTGCAGCCGAACACATTCAAATTTTAGTTAGAGTAATACGTAGGTTATTATATTGCAGTCAGGTTACATTTATAATAATAATAATAATAATCGTGTATTACATTGTGGTATGTAATAAACATTTGTAGTAGTGTAGGATTGTTTTAATTTTTTTTTGCTAGGTTTTATAATATTTATTTGTATAATTTGTGATTGTTTCTCCCGGTTTTCTTCTCTTGCGTAGCAAGCCCTGTCTCTTGTAAAAACAACCTCGAAAGATTTGTAGATACACATAGTCTCTACACCTTTACCCTCTGGTCCCTAGGGTCAGCTGATCCCGGGCCAGAGGAAAACTACCGACTGCCAAGGTTTGACGCCTAGGCAGTCGAGACCTCTTATTGAGACCCTTTATAATAATAATAACTAGAAATTTATACATCGCTTTATAGCCAAAAAGAACTCAAAATCCAAATATTCAGTTCAAGCCATCTAAAGCGACTCATGAACATGTACATAAGAACTTAGCATTTTATGAAGTATGGTTTGTATGAGAAAGATATTATATGATAATTATATAAGAACACTTTTTCAAATAGATGAGTCTTTAGTCTCTTTTTTAAACAAGACAATATCAGTCAATGTTCTCAATTGATAAGGAAGCTGATTCCATACTGAGGGTCCACAGTAACTAAAACCTCTCTCAGTTTTACTATAATTTGAGACAGGAGGAACATTTAGGAGGAAATAGTCTTGTTCAGTTCGTAGCACATGTACAGGTTGACTCTTGATGTCGATGCATTTGGTGATATAGTCTGGAGCTATGTTGTTGATGCATTTGAACACTGTTCGCTGTCTAATTGGAAGAAAATGGGCCTTTTTCAGGAATGGAGTGACACTGTGCCATTTTTTAATAGCTTTTCTACCAAACAAGAATCGTACACAGGAATTTTGTACCTTCTGGAGTTTCTTTATGAGAAAATCGGGTAAACCATAGAGAAGTCCATTGCAATAGTCTAGTTTTGAAAAGATCAAACAGTAAATTCAGAGCTGTCTTTTTAGGTCATAGTTAAGCTTTGAGCCTATAACTCGAAGGTTCCTCAAATGGATGTTGCAAGTTGCAACAACTGATAATTGAATTGACTTGATCTTCAAATGTAAGGAATTGATCAAAGAGGAAACCTAAACTTTTTACTGTGTGGGATGCATCCACAGGGTCAGCTGCATTGTCAAGTTGTATTGAGTCGACTGGACATGAAGAGAAACTGTTCTTGGTCTGTACTACAAGAGTTTCTGTTTTGTTTTGGTTTAATTTGAGTTCATTTTGGGTCATCCAGCTCTTAATTTCTTGAAAACAACGTGTAATTCTCTCTTCGATTGTTGACAGATCTCGAAATAGTGGGTTAAACTCAATGTAAAGTTGGGTGTCATCTGCGTACATGTGGATGTTAAATCCATGCCTCTTTGCAATGTTATTAAGCTCCTTTGTGTACAGTATAAACAGAATTGGACCTACAATTGAACCTTGCGGGACTCCAATTCTAAGGAAGCATCTCTTTGATCAATAGACAAAGATACGCAAAGATTTGCTTTCTGCAGAAAACATTCGCCTAATTGCATGACTAGACAGAGAGGGAGAGTACGTGCGAATTTTTTTTATAAACAATCATTTTACTTTTAAAGTTTTAAACAAAGATAATTTAAATAACCCTTATTTATCATTGTTATATTCTGTACACCTAACCTTTTATTATATTATACAAACCTTTTATTATTTACAAGTATAACTAGTGTAACCAGGCCTTCGGCTGGGATTTCACTGTCCCAGTAAAAAAAAGGGGAAAAGGTGTCTAGCCGCTCAGTCGAAACCTGCATTACAGAACAACAAGGCGAGCAATTCGGAGTGCCCTCAAGGCTCAAGCTCACGTATCCACTATCCAATACAGGGTGTTTCAAAAGTCTTGTAATGATATACTTTTTGAATACATTTTTATCCATTTGTAATATTTAACTTTTACCAATGAAGAAAGGTTACCATTGTATTAATGCTTTTAGGGCAATAACTCAGATCATTGATAACAAACTCGCCCAGTTCATGTGCTTGCGAATAATTAGAAAAACTTTACAATTGATATCGTACTTGCCTCATTGTATTAAAAAAAATCTGACTAAGCCAAAATATGATCAAGGTTTAAGTCCCGGCCGTAGGCACGGGTTACACTAGTAATACAATATTTACGATATATATTACAATATATATACAATATATATTACGATTATATACACGTTACAAGCAGTGGCGTGAAATCCACATTTTTCTCTGCTGGCTAAATTTTGCTTAGCTAAAAATACATATCATATGTCCTAGAATACATTTTTTAAATATTGCCAACTGTACGGTAGTCATTATAACACTAATGAGGGAAATCTTTTAATAGGATGTACATAATATGAAATGTACTCGAACATTCACATTTCCTTTATATTAAAACTATGATCACCGGGGGAGGCCTTTCGCTACTCTTTATAGGTATCTCCCCATAAATTAGTGGTAAATAAAGGTTGTTGCGAGTGTAAGACCTGGTCTTGTGAAATGAACTACCATTAGCATGGGTACGAAATAAGGATTAAGCTCATTTATCAACAAATAAACCGAATTACAAGATATGTAATTAACGAATTGCAAGATAAATTGAAACAATTAGAATGACAGTAAATTGTGACTGTTTTCTGTAATGGTTTGTATACAGATAATCCGTTTTTATAATTTATTAAGTCCTTTTGAATTCAAATTTTCCAACAATTTCTTTAGTCAGTTGGAAATTGGGATTTATCTTTTTACAGAAAGAATGGGATATGAATAATTGGTTGATAAAACATAGCACATACGTTATTTTGTGTGTCGAAATACGTCGCATTTTCCCCCGTAAACTTATTAAGTTAACTTAATAAGTTAACGGAGTTAACTAATTTCTAACGTACCGCGTACGTGAGAACCGGATTCTTCAATAACTAATATAACGTACGGGTGTGTGTGATTATGTTTTCATGATGTTTATATTATGATATACTAGAAACCCGCTAGTCGAAAGCTTTGTTCGAGGAAATTTTAAAAATCAGTTATGTTTTAATTTCTCTTCATCATACAGCTTTGTTATACAGTAGACATAATGGAATTTATTTAACAATGGCGACAGCGTTGTTAGTATTCGGATTCCCAAAACGATACTTTTTACCGCATCAAAAAATACCAATCACAACCAAAGTTATGAATATAAGTCATAGCGTGAGCGTAAATGTGAGCTAGTTTTGAAATTATGACGTAGCATACAGCATAACAACGCGCGTAGTTAAGACTTTAAGATGTCCTTGCTCGCGCACGTGCATTTTAACGTTGCTACGCAACAGCGCAGTAAACCTTTGCTAAAATAACGACATTATTCTAACGGTTATTTTACCTCACTTCCGACGTTAATTATAAAAAATCTAAAGCCTAAATCAAAATTCTAAGAATGCTATAGCCTATTCCTATCCTTTTTCTACAACCCTGCTAAAAATGGCGAGGTTTCAACTCCATTTGCGAGCTGGGTTTGATTTCACCAGAGGGTCATTTTGAGGTCGATTTTCGGTGTTTTTTCTTCTATGTCCCCGTTGCCGGGGAAATTTCGTCAAGTTTAAATTATAGTATAGATAATATGTCGATAACAGGACCTTTTTGTCGGCAGCGCCAAATAATTTCCCTGAAACTATTCGGGATAACATACTCAAAGCAATTCCAATTACACCTACTGCAAAAGTTGTGCTTGATAATTTCTTGTAGCAATCACGTTCATTTTTCAGTCATGTGACAGTAGCCATATTTGTAACGCGCGACGCAACAAAGTCTCACAAAGGACAATTCGCGCCGCTGCACGTTCTAACATATTAAGCTTTTGTAGAAATCAAAATGGACGGATGGCTGGATATATGAATGTCGCAACTTGCACTTGAAGTTTAGAGCATTTACATGCGAATCCGCTCAACATTTCTGTCTCCTGAATCACAATTAACTATTCGGCAAAACTTCTTGTACGTTCCATGATTCTTTCGCTTCGTGATTGAAAACAACGCAGCCTACGAGTGCGATATTTTTCCAAGCTCAAGAAGAAAGCTCATTTACTAAACTAATAAATGGATGACCACGTTCAGTCGGGCAGGGACGTAACTGGGGTACTACGCCGGGGCGTTCAATGGGCGAAACTACCATTTCTTCTATCCTTCCAAGAGCAACCCATCTTTTCATTTTCGGCGATACTGGCTCCTGGCTATCAATAACACTAATAACCAATAGCCAAATTAAGACAAAAATCGACTAAGGTGTTGATATTATGCACTAAAGCGCCTGTTAAGAACGGTGCCGTAGGGCGCCATCAAGTGGGGCGCCCTAAACGTTACGTCCTGCAGGCAGGACGTGGTCATAAAAAGCAATCCACTTTCCAGTCGTTTCCTACGCTGCTGTGCAGAGTTGCCAAGTTCAACATCGGTAAAATCGATTGGAAACCTCACATCCCGTGGGTAAGTAATGAGTAAAAGCATTTTCTATAGCCCTTTTTTCTATTCTTAAGTCCTTTAGTGTGGTACATTCAAGTAAATTCTTAATCTTTTCTATTAAAGATGTAGTCCAAAGTTTTAAAGCATCATTAGTGAATCATTCAATAGCATCTTAGGCATGTTTTAAAACATATAATTTGAGAGCATGTGTTCGGAAATTGCACAATTTAAAGGAATCATTGATGACACGACAGTGCTACCCTCTCAGGTTTTCAACATGGTTCTGCTTGATTTTAACCTTCCAGTTGGTGAAAGTCACACCTTCGCTGGACTCTTCAATGGCAGGAACAAGCTTTGTTCTACAAAGATAGAAATAATCGTTTGGATGATGGTAAGATTTTACTAAGTTTTTCAATACCTTTTGCCTCACGAGATTATACTTGAGTTTTTAATTTATGTAAAAACTTTTCTGAAAATTTATTTAACTTTCAGGGAGGAGACTGCACAGAAATAATCATGGAGCATCTCGAAATTCTGACAAAAACTTATGTCAGCTACATACATCCTTCTAACAGAGGGAAATGGACGGTAAATCATTAAAAAAATCTTAACCCCTCAAATTCTTACATTTTATTGTGAAGTTTCTTCTATTAAACAGTTTGATATTACATTTACGTACTTCACCGCTAATAAAATTGTGTATTTTTTCAGATGAAGTTGGTTGGATTTGTTAATTGTATCTGTGAAACTTTCTTGAAGAGAGTCGAAATGTGAGTAATCGCATTCTTCTAAGTTGCCCAAGAATAAACTTAATAATATTGGCTAAATAAACACTGCAGCCCATTTAAAAGGTCCCGTTACCGATTTCATAGGGGAGGGGGGTTGTTTCATAGACTGTTCACTGAGTCCCATGCGAGGGCACAAGGCTTATCAATCAAAATATCTTTTTCAGGGAAAGGTTGGAGCAAGGTTACTGGTTCCGTCAAGTCCCTGAGTCTCACCGTCTCTCACAAGAAACCATCGATAGATTTGTCAAACTCATGCTACCGAGTGTTAAACTGGTCATGTTTAACGTCAACTCTGCTAACAACTTCCAACATGACTACCACTGTCTGGTTCGGTTAGCACCCCATATCGTACTCCCTGACTATCTGGCACACGCGTTTGACAGTATCGAGAGTGTGGTTGAGCCACAGCGCGTCACAACAGCGCTCTGCTCGTTTGCTGTCTCCCTCCGCGCCCTCTGTCTCCATGAGCCGTCCAAACAGGAGGTTATTCCTCTGTTGAGCACACTCCTCCCAACCATCAGCTCCAATGATCTGAACAAGAGTTGGATCGCACTCCTTGCTTTCTCCTTTGCATTCACCATGATACCTGTTGTGGATTGTTCGCACCTCCTCCACCAGCCTGGGAAGAAAAAGAAGGATCTAGAGCGGGTCTGGCGATCTACCGCCCAGTTTAAAGACATGGTAGCAGTTTTCGTCGACAAACTGATGGGCCTGATAGAGGTGAGCGCAATGGAGGATACTGGCAACCTCAATTCTGTTAACCACAAAAACAGAAATTCCAAGAATCTAAAGGCTAGCTCTATTCCCGACTACCTTGCGGAAGGTTCCATCTACATGAGCTTTGACTCCCTGGTGAGGAACTCCTCGGACGACATCCGTGACATGATCCTGGACAAGGTGTTCCGAAAGGTTACTACCACAACACTAGAAGTCAAGATCGCTGGTAAAACTATGGGAGATGCTCTCTCCAACCTCTCGAACATATACACTGAGAAAACTCTAAAAAAGTTCCTTCCTCACCTGCTCCGGGAATGCAGCATGTTGTTAGACGACGAGACGGACGCTGGGGAGACCAGCAGTGAGCTACTATGGAACATTACCATGTTCCGCTCCATCTTGAGGGGACGTGGTGACCACTTCCTCCCTTATTTGGACGATATCCAGAGCCTCCTGGAACAGGCTCTCAAGTTTCACAACTCTCGTCAATTGATCACCATTGTGGTTAAAGCTATCAGCGATTTGCTGCATCTGCTTATGAAGATTAAGTCCTCGGATTGCCAGTCATGTCAAGTACCGTATACTGACAAAACCTTCGACTTCACTTCGACATGGGGTATTGGCATGGAAATAGAGGATATCGACATAAACTGGTATGTCCCTGGAGAGAAAGAATATGCTGCAATGCTCAAGATAATCGAACGATTCGGTGTTTCGTCCATGAACAAACTCAAACAGTTCGTCACGGATAAGAATATGTGCAAAGAAGAATTCCACGTGCAGTTGAAGGTGCTTCGTGCGATCACAAAGACAGCTGGTCACATCATGCCGATGCTTGGTCAGGACAGTCCCGTTAAGCTCCCGAAATACACAGGTCACGAAGTCGATGAGTCTGTCAGGGTTCCTATCGTTAATCTCGACCTGAAAACCGGCCTAAACTGCGATGCGGAACTGCTGAAAACGTTCAGAGCGAAAGCTGCTGAAACGGTAAAAACAGTTTACGATTACCAGTCTCAGAATATGGCGGACGACGTGAAATCTGCCGAAATGATCTGCCTGCTCATGGAGGACGTTCTCACTTATAAAGGATACGACAACAACAAGATGAAGAAGGAGCACACAAAATACAAGTCAGTCAAACAGCTGCTGGACGACCGACTGCTGGGGAAGAAGAAACAACTGCGAATGGTCGTGATCCACCGACTGCTCCTCCAGCAACAATACCGCCAACACGCCCAACTGTTCACACCGTACACCGAAGAGCACCACAGGTACACCCAGTGTCTGGTGGACATGTCGCTCAGCAACTACACTGCAGTCAGGAAGACAGCCCAGTACTGCCTCAAGAAGTGCCTGTCCGTCATGTTAAACTCCCGCTGGTTCTTCATCCCCCAGATAACCCAGTATCTGGAGCCCAACAAGGACATCTCTCATGAGCAGCTGAAGGGAGCTATTTTCTGTCTGAGTTTACCACGGATCACAGGTTATTTCGCACCGCAGCCCATGTTGCTATGTGATGTCATGCCGGCTGTGTGCAAGGCTCAGCACTCTGAGAAGGACTCAATCATAAATTCTATCGAACATTTGACGGATTATGTAATTGAGGAGTATAGGACTTGCTCGTTTAATACTGAAGTGTCTGACGAAGCCATCAGATATGCTGAACAAATATCAGGCCGAATGCCAGAGAACCTCATTCAAGCAGGACATGATATCGCCAAACTTAAGGACGATTTAAACAGAAAGTCATTTAATTCATGCGTAGAAAGACTGCTGGAAATCTTGAAATCCGAGCAAACGACGTGGCGGTTCCTGGACCTCACGGTGGACATCGTGAGAACTTTAATCCAACGCGACATGATCTTCAGCGAAGACTTGGTGCGAACTTTCGTCCAGTTCCTCACACACGACAGCATCGGACTGCGCATGATCTCCTTCAGAGTGGTGGGTTACATCATATACCTCCAGAGACGAAACTACCAAGACACCCTCCTGGACCCGACTACCTTCCCTGAGGACGGTCCTGGAGCTCCGGTGGGAGAACGTCCTTCTAACTTGTGGATGCAGTACAGATCTGAGACCCTGCCTGTAACAGAGGAGGCGTATAACTCGTGCGTGTTTATTGATAAGCCACACATGGGCTACAATAGGTGGGCCAAGCAGGTGAAAGTGTGTATTGAGATTGATAACGGTATTGATGACACGGAGAGGTACAGCGCTCTTGATAAGATCATTGTGTCCTGGTGAGTTTTTTTAAATGTTTATTTAATCGTGATATTTTGTAATTAATCTAACGTTATCAACACTTGACTGCTATTCGCAGTTTTTAGGTCACGCATGTTTGTAATGCAAGAAAAAGTAAAACTAACTGTCACTAAAATACATTCCACATCAGTTTTAAGGACCCGGCGTTTATTGAGAGATTTGTTGAACTGTACTCTCTTGAAGATAACAAGGGCTCAGAGAAGGTCGATATAATCAGACGGCATTTCTATCGGGATTTGTTCAGAAACTACGGCTGGTCACTATTCGAGTTAGTCATTCTTTAGTTTTGATAGTTTAAACACTTAATTAATCTGCTAGTTAAAGATAATTTTAAATAATAATTTCAGTGTTTTGATAATTTATCAATTAAGTTATTGGCTTGTTAAAGAATAATTTCAGTCGGTTTGGTTGATCCAATTTGATTTATGGAATTGATTAGTTTAGTAAATACATTTCAATAAATTATAAACTGCAACTAGTTACTGTACACTGTGCAGTGTACAGTGCTACGTTTAGCAAGTTTGACTAACCAGTATAAGTAGCTTGATCGATCGATCGAAATTTGAATGACTCGATAAGATGAATTCTACTGTTCAACGAAACATTTGCTTATCTTGATCTGATCAGTGGCTAAACATTATGTTCCCAGGTTGTTCAAACCGAAGGTGGAAGAGTTTATGGAGGGCAAGATAGAATCCCAGCATAGGTTTGCCGCTGAACTACTCTCCTCAGTGACTAGGGGCTCCAAGCATTGGCCCTTTAAGGATATAGAGCGCATGTGGGAGACCATTCTACCCCTTATCACGGTTTGTTGAATAATTAAGTTATATAAATAATGCTGATTAATCTTTCTATTGCTCTATCCGCGATACCCTTGTCCCTTAAGTTGGTTTTATCGTCTAATCTTCACTTAATCAGCCTCATTGTCACAAACCCGACTGGTATTGTAAGTGTTAGTAAATTATTTCCCACAAAAATACCCGGCTCCTCGAAATTCTTACCCTGCTGCTTAACATACTGAACATTTTATCAAGATTGAAATCAGAATAGTTGTTGTAACTCCACCAAACCAGAGTGTGTCCTGTTTCCTAACATCGGGAACATTACAGAAAGCGATGCGACAGGTGTCTTCAGAGACGATCAACATGTGGGTGGTATGCATCAGCTCGATAGTTGAGGACAGAGACCCCAGACGCTTCTCAAGGCTCATCAGCATGGCTACTGAAGAGTTCTTGTCGGGCAGAACCATCTTCCACGACACATCGTGAGTAAACTGGGCAAAAGGGGAGGGGCAGAACCATAATATTATCCCACGATACATCGTGATTAAACTGTGGAGGCCGGGTGGGGGGGGGGGGGGATCGGCAGAAGTCAGAACCATATCCCACGGTAATTTTATGATTTTAAGATTTTATACAAACAAGAAGCAGCTTTAGAATAAATTTAAAATGGAATGATATTCTAAAAGACATGAATCAAAATACGGAAACTCAAAAACAACGTGCCCTTAAATCTTGAATATTCATCTGTTACTTAGTTACTACAAGCCTTGAATCAGTTAGTGAGATAAAACCATAATTAAATAAAACATGTGCACTCAGTCAATTATTTTTTACGGTTGTGTTGAACACTAAAGATTTACTGAAACTCCCATTGACCAAGTATTTAATCATCAAGGCAACCAGTCAAGAAAAGATCTATAATTTAATAATTACTTATTATCAGTACCTCAAACTAATATAGCCGAGCTTTCCTCGCCCTAATCTAAACTATTTCCAAAGCTATTTCTTTCGAGGGGCTGACGGCTCGTCAGTGCTATCCTTTATTGGTTTTAAAAACCAGTAAAAGATTGCAATAGCTATCAGTGCTCATAAGAGGCTTCCCGCCAGTACGTCCCACCAGTGGAGATGCTAAGTTTTATAAATTCAAGATGGAATGATATTCTAAAAGACACGAATAAAAATACAGAAACTCAAAAAACAACGTGCCCTTAAATCTTGAATATTCATCTGTTACTTAATTACTACAAGCCTTGAATCAGTTAGTGAGATAAAACCATAATTAAATGAAACATTTGCACTCAGTTAATTATTTTTTCACCATTGCATTGTTTAGTGTTAACTACTTCTATCCAAGTTTCTTACTCGTATCAAGGCTAAGATCAGAGGGAAAACTAAATCAAACTAAAATGTAAAAGTCAGTCCTTCTTGAGTGCGGTTTTATCATCACCACATCAACCCCACACTCTCACACTGAACATTGTCATTATACCTTCGCTAGAGCAACAGCATAGATTATCGGAAAGTTACTGGTAGGACTAACGTATTAGCTCTCGTATTAGTAGTGTTAGTTACTTTTAGTAGTAACGTATTAGTGAAGGAACTCGTCAGTACCTCAAACTAATATAGTCGTGCTTTCCTCGCCCTAATCTACTTTTTTTCCAAAGCTATTTCCTCATACCCTGGAGTCGTTTGAGGGACTGGCGGCTCATCAGTGCTATCCTTTATTGGTTTTAAAAACCAGTAAAAGATGACAACAGCTACCAGTGCTCCAAACAGGCTTCCCGCCAGTACGTCCCACCAGTGGTGATGGTAGTCATATGTTCTCGAAATGCTAATTGCACTGGCAAACGTGAACAGGATGAATTGGAGTAACGCTTTAAAGGGTAACATGAGAAAGCGGCAGTCGGTGTAGCTGTCGGCCATGTTCTGGGTGTACTGGACGAGAAGTATTGACAGGGTCATAGCGTACCAAGCCTGAGGGAAATGAGGGTTAAAACAGCGAGAGAGAGAGAGAGAGACTGGGGAGACGGCCTTCTTAATCCCCTGAGTTTAATCTGCCAATATCTGCCCCCCCCCCCCCCCAATATCTCGTTAAACACACAATACATAAAAATAATAAGCTGAATGCAGGGAATGTAAAGCATTTGAAGTTTAACCAACAAAATCTAACATAATATGTTTTATCTATATGATATTTACCTCTGCACTGTGCCCCGAAGGGAAAGACCATCTGTACTTCTGACTTCTTTTGCTTGTACAAATCACCGCAGACATGTTTTCATCCACCCAGGTCGTCCCACGAGACTTCAACTCTTCAACCAAAGTTTCATTTGGTTTACATGCAGCTATGAAATAAGGCCTCAAATGGCCAGCCACATTCTTCGTCGAGTTCACTAAAATTATCATAAAACAGGCCCCCAGCATGGTAAAATAAACCGTCGCGACAACCTTTATTATGTTTTTCTGAAACTTGCCTTCACACACAAACCACATGATTGTGAAGAAAAACACGGCTCCGCTGCCAATAGTAATATTCAGAGCGGCGCTGATTGTGTAGGGTTTCTCCGCGTGATTTATTCGCTTATCTTCCAAATCAAAAGGTCTCATGGTTGTCGGAATTGCGTCACGGTAACGAGTTAATATTACCAGTCCTGCTAGTACTGTAATTGCTAGGATGCCTGCCAAAATTTTTAGACATCCTGACAATGTTATGGCGCCTGTTCGTGGTCGACATAGCTTCGATTCAGACACTCCATCAAGCTGCATCTTGACTTCCTTAATATTGTTATTCCTATTAAGGGATAGTGTTGTGAAATAAATTTAGTGTAAAGGGTTCTGAAATAAATCTTGTGCCAGAGAAATCCCAAAAGAAGTTTGTCGAACCTCTATTTGAGATTTTTAAAGATGTCCCACAACCAACGAACCAATAAATCAAGTAACAGTTAATGTTTGCGTATATTCATTTCGTTTCCTTGGTAACCACTTTCCAAGAATCAACGTATTGCTATTTGTAGAGATATAACTTACAGTAAATACTCTTTTTTGGACCCGATGATCGAGATAAAAAACTTGTAGACAAATAACAACATTTAAAAACAGCATAAGCGGACTGGAGTCTGGAGCAAACGTAAGAAACAGAACAACAGATAAAATTAGTGATATTTAAGCGAGTGCCAAGTGTGATATTATGTTTTGATTTCAAATTTCTGAATGGCAAATTAGTCTTATCACAAGGCATTAAGCAATAGAGGGGGGGGGGGGGGGGGGGGGGGGGGGGGGGGGCTCATGTTTTGTGTCCGTTTTTGTCCGTTCGGTACCCTATATTTTCAAAACGGACAAAAAGTAGGGCGGACAAAAACGGACAAAAAACGTTATGGAAATAACATTTAGATGCTTCCTCCTCCTCCTCATCCTCCTCATCCTCCTCCTCTTCCTCCTCTTCCTCCTCCTCCTCCTCAGTCCTCCTCCTCCTCCTGCTCCTCCTCAGTCCTCCTCCTCCTCCTCCCCAGTCATCCTCCTCCTCCTCATCCTCTCCAGTCATCCTCCTCCCCAGTCTTCCTCCTCCTCAGTCCTCCTCCTCCTCAGTCCTCCTCCTCCTCAGTCCTCCTCCTCCTCAGTCCTCCTCCTCCTAAGTCCTCCTCCTCCTCAGTCCTCCTCCTCCTCAGTCCTCCTCCTCCTCAGTCCTCCTCCTCCTCAGTCCTCCTCCTCCTCAGTCCTCCTCCTCCTCAGTCCTCCTCCTCCTCAGTCCTCCTCCTCCTCAGTCCTCCTCCTCCTCAGTCCTCCGCCTTCTCCTCCCCTGTCCTCCTCCTCCTCAGTCCTCCTCCTCCTCCTCCTCCTCCTCCTCCTCCTCCTCCTCCTCCTCCTCCTCCTCCTCCTCCTCCGCAGTCCTCCTCTTCAGTCCTCCTCCTCAGTCCTCGTATGTACGATACCTTCTCAGTCCTCCTCCTCCTCCTTCTCCTCCCCTGTAGCTGTCCTCCTCCTCCTCCTCAGTCCTCCTCCTCCTCCTCCTCCTCCTCCTCTTCCTCCTCAGTCCTCCTCCTCCTGCTCCTCCTCCTGCTCCTCCTCCTGCTCCTCCTCCTGCTCATGCTCCTCCTCCTGCTCCTCCTCCTCCTGCTCCTTCTCCTCCCCTGTCCTCCTCCTCCTTCTCAGTCCTCCTCCTCCTCCTCCTTCTCCTCCCCTGTCCTCCTCCTCCTCCTCAGTCCTCCTCCTCCTCCTCCTCCTCCTCCTCCTCCTCCTCCTCCTCCTCCTCCTCCTCCTCTTCCTCCTCAGTCCTCCTCCTCCTGCTCCTCCTCCTGCTCCTGCTCCTCCTGCTCCTCCTGCTCCTCCTCCTCCTGCTCCTCCTGCTCCTCCTGCTCCTCCTCCTGCTCCTCCTCCTCCTGCTCCTCCTCAGTCCTCCTCCTCCTCTGTCCTTCTCAGTCCTCCTCTTCTTCCTCCTCAGTCCTCCTGATCCTCCTCCTCAGTCCTCGTATGTACGATACCTTCTCAGTTCTCGTATTACATTTAAATTTGTTAAACATTTAAAAGACTCGACCTTATAAGTCTGAATAGGTCCTAGTGCAGTAATTGGAAGACATTGCATCGTTACTTTGGGATTTTAACTTTTGATTCAAATTCAATTTCCATAATATCTACTACATACTATAGCACATATAGCAGATGCTCACTAGCTCTTCATCTGAGTATCGAGTTCTTGCCTAGCCTATAATAATTAAAAGCGAATATCGATCTACCGAACGATATTTTTCATGAATAAAGTGATTTTCATCCCTTTTTATGTTATTAAAAAATGTGTAGACTATTCTTTGTACCTAATTGAGGATTGAAAGTTTGAGAAAGAACCATGGTCATTATCCGTGCTACCCATTTCTGCAGATTCTGCCTGTTACAAATTGTGGAGACAATTTAAATCAAAAGTTACAATTTTTGTCCGTTCGGTACCCGGACAAAATCGAGCGGACAAAAACGGACAAAAACAACATGAGCCCCCCCCCCCCCCCCCCCCCCCCCCATAGACACCCACGTGAATTAACCACACAACGCAAATAGGGCTCGATAAAACTATTATACTAGGAAGAAGAAACATGCCACAAATTCCTGAAAACGTTCATTATGAGATTATGAGATTACTTTAGTGTTTCATAGCTTATGACTTATGTTGCATACCATTCACGTCCCAGTCATCCAGAAAAATTAATATACAATTTTTAATTGTAACAAAAGCTGATGAAGACTGTGTAATTTGCACTTGACCGGAACGGAAAATACAAAAATACGGCTCAAATACATCTTAACTAGTATTTTCGCTTTTGAGCAGTAAAATGAAATTACCTCGGACATAGCGCTTGTGTCAGAACGCTGATGATCTCACATTTCACAAATAACTAAATGAACGACGTGTTAAAATCCTGGGATTTAGCCTATATCATTTAGTCATGGATATTACGTTGTCATGACAGGGGTTGCAACCCGCGTCATGACAACGTAATATCCATGACTAAATGACATAATGTCATTGTGACGTCAAATCACAGTGACCACACTTTGCTGAGTTACAGATTATTTTGATCTTTTATGATAAAATTCTTTTTATCAAATACTTTATCTAAAACTCTCATTATTAACAGCACTTTAACATCGGTCAACAGAGTAACTATGCCTTAACGAAAATATACATTTTTCATCTTGCAAACTAAAATGTGACCAATCAGTTTCAAGTTTTAAAATTTCTTCGAAGGGAGACGGAGGGGGGGGGGGGGCATCAACCTCATAAATACCTATTTTTCCCTCCGATTTCAAAATAGGTATAGGTATTTATGTATATTCATGAGGTCGACGCGCCCCACTCATTCTGTGAGGAATGGGAGGGATTCTACAAAGTGGGTCGTGAAATAGTCACGAAGCCCCTAGGGAGGGTTGTATGATTTATTCTTAATTCTTCTAATCTGTGTAACAACAAATAATAACAGACTACAGAGCAAGGAAACATACATAAAAAGTACCCTACAGTTTGAAATTTGCCGCGTATCGTTTCACAATTCAAATGTGTCGTGGTTCTCATGGAGATGGAGTGGTTACTGGTTACAGAATTACAGTCTTATTATTATGTTAGATGTGCTGAAGTGCCTGAAGTATAACATCCCTTTTTGTAAATAAATCAATTTATATAATAACTAGAAAGCCCGTGGTCACAGGGACGAAGCTAGTAGTATTCTTTGAAATAAAGTTTGAATCGCATCAAAAAATATCCATCTCAACCGAAGATACAGCCGATTTAAATATAAAACACTTTAAACACAACGTAATTACCACAAAACCGATCAAAATGACGTTAAAACAATCTTTGCACGTGCATGTGTGCATTAAAACACCGTTGCTATGGAACCTTTTGGTTGTTACCTAAATTCCTATTTTTCATCTAATTTGCACGTGGGCGGTCGTACGTACATACAGCAGAAATAATTCTCTGAATTATAGTAGAGATATCATACATATACATTATACAATACACATTATACATTTAATATCAGCTAAAAGTGGTAAAAGTTACAAACCTAAAAGGAATGACTGCTAGAGCTTATCTTTATGTTTTATATAATAAGCCCTTATCCGTGCTATTAAATTACAAGTAAGTTCCCTTATATCGTGGTGGTCTCATCCTTTCACCTAGTTATATTATGCGACCTGTGAGAGATAAAGGCGTAACAAAATTTCTTAGGGATAAAACTATTGTGTTTTTATAAACCGATTCAGAATTGAGTTGGAACATTTTCCTATACGGGATTGGGAACGGGTTCTATTTATAAACGGGTTCTATTTATAAACAAACAAACAAATAAACGACTACCAAGGCGCAGGCCCAACAAATCAGATATAGTAGACACACCAACCCATAATTTTGACCAGTATTAGGTTTCCTTCACAAAACTAATACTTCTAGAAACAATAATAATTGGCGAATAATTACCTTGGCCTTGGTTTCAGAAACCTGTTCCTGTTGGAGACAATAGTGGCTCAGTTTGAGTGGAAGTACGCAGAGGGCCTCCACAAGTTGATGGAGAAGATCGCAGGGAATCTTAACAACAACTACAAGAACGTTAGGGACAAAATCGGACAGTAAGTTAAGAATGGGGCTGCATTTGCTTTCATCAGAGAGGCCATTAAATAAGTCTAACCACTCTCACCTATTTTCAAATTTTTTAAAATAAACGTTGGAATCAAAGCGATACAAGTTACAACAGTCAGCATTTATTCCGTTTACAGAACCAATAGTATTCTTAACCTCCTCCCTCTCTAGCATGATAGATCGCTGCACTGCACACGACCACATGATGTTCAACTGCCGCCCCACTATCAACCCCCGTAAAGCTGACTTCATGGCTAAAGTCATGCCCATGCTCACCTCCCTGGACGAAGGACTCTTTGGGACGGAGTGGGTGGTCGTCAATAAGATATCACTAAGTATGTAGGGTATGTATTAGAGTTTCTGTTGAATTTAAACAGTGTACCTAAGGTTAATTAGGTATATTGTGTCATCTGGAGTCTTGACTCCATTTCAATTAAAGGAAATAATCGATCAAGCTGCTTGACAATTTCTAAAACTATGACTCTAGCTTAGGCGGTATAAATAAAAAATAACGACCAGCCCCCATTTTCCTCTGCAGACGATGATAACGACGCTATAAAGGTTGTTAAGACGATAATTAGCTGGTTGTTGTACAGCAGGTTCGTGGCTCATGCTCACCTAGTCCCGGCTATATTCCCTTTCATCAGCTACATCATCGCCCTAGAGCCTAGTGAGGTAATGGTGACAACTTACTACTTATCCATAAGTAATGACTGTCTAGTGTTTACTAGACCAGTGCTTACTGCGGGGGGGGGGGGGGGGGGGGCCTTACTGCGGGGGGGGGGGGGGGGGGGGGCTTACTGCTTACTCCAGGAATTTATCTGTATAATTATAGATTAGTCCAAATCAGGACCCTTCAAACAGAATATTAAGATTCAAGTATCCCACTAGAAGTTATTAAGATAGCAACATGCCAACATATACTCTCAGGTAGATCCAGATTTGAAGCACCTATGTACCCAAGCTCTATCCTTGCTTTCAAGGGAGAGTCTAGCTGAAGCGTCTCTAGAACCTGCTATCAACGCTGTAAAGAAGGTTGTCAACAGCACCAGTGAGGATAGAACTATTGGTTGCACGTGGAAAGCTAAGTGTACTGCTCTAGTATACCTGCAGGTTAATACTACACTACTTGTACATTATACATTGTACATTGTACATTGTACAACTATTTTACTTGTTACTTGTTATTTGGTCCGTTATGTATGTCCTATTGAGAATTCATCATAGATTTCTTGTACAACTATTTTTTTCTTTGTTCACCTATTCTATGGCTCAATATCAAAGAGTATAGTAGTTGAACGAGCAATTGCAGCTTATTGTTAACCTGATGACCAAGTAACCAGCTAAACAAACAGGTGGTATCGTTCAGTAATCTCTACATGATACGATCTAATCCTTATCTTTTTGGAGAGATAAAGACTCTCCTGATGGACTCCCTGCTCTCTCCCCATGTCGAGGTATGCGAACTATTCTCATATCCAGTGTATAGCGTACTACAGTCTTACATGGTAATACATGTGTACAGTGTACAGTGTACAATGCAATGTACTTATTGTACAGTATAGTTACACTGTAGTGTACAATGCACATACGATCATGACTCTTTTGCTGTGGATAACTGTGAAGTTTTTCAGAGAGATGTCTCGCTATTTTTGCAAAATACTGCCTTGAAATAATCCACAATATCACTTCACAAAGAATATAATATCTACAAGCTCTAATAATTCGATAGTTTATTGTTCAAATAAACTAGCCTGATGACTTCACAACCGAAAGTTTGCACTTTTGGAATGTTGGGCGTCGGGCGAGTATGAGGAGATTATGTCATATAATATTGCAATGGTCGGGTTACTACAGGGAAGGGGTCGTTCACATATTACGGAATCAGCCGAGGCGGGAGGGGGTCAGGGGGGGGGGGGTTCCAGATGATTACGCTAGTGTAATTTTGACACAATAGCTATGTGTAAAACTGATTACGGAGGGGGAGGGGGGTTAAAAATTGTCCAAAAAGTGATAACGTAATATGTGAACGACCCCTAACCGGACCAATGTTTCCTGAACAACATATATTATATAATGACTCTGATAAGTGGACACTTTACTAATATCAGTGAAATACATTAAAAAAGTTATATGTGTAAAACTGATTACAGATGGGTTTTTAACTATTCTTGTCAACTCCTGTATTATCCAGGTACGGCAAGTTGCAGGTCAAACAATCGGAGGGCTGATGAAAACTGACCTGTTCCGTGACAGCGGTGAGATATTGGAGCAGCTCAAGACTATGGCTAGAACCAAGCTACCTAAAGGAACCAAATCCAGTCAAACAGGTGAGATGATCTGTTCTCATATGTATGACTCGTTTTAAGGGGTTCGAATCCCAGTGTCGCCTAGTCTATGGAGTAGCTAAGAATCCATTGGATCTGTGCGATCTCCTCGGTCGAATCAGCCGAATGATATTTGATAGGAAACTTGGTTGAGGGTTAAATGAGGAGGGGTACCTGTTAAAAGTTCAAGAAACTTCCTAGGATACCCTTTCAGTACATACTGTAAACATAGTACTTATTAACTATTTTAAGGGAGTACTTAAGAAATAACGGTCAACTGAAACTTTTCTATTGAAAATTATTTTAAACGTAAATTGTAAACACAGCTAATTTAAATGTCTCGTTCCGCAGATATTAAAGAGATTTGGATTCGACACGGCGGAATAAAGACGCTGTGTGCGATGGTTGAGTGTTTCCCTTACTCCATACCACAGTGGCTTCCTGACATTATCGTATTCCTCGCTAAGTTCACTCGTGGAAATGTTATGATTAGTGTACGTTCCTTTTCCGTCAAATTCCCTTTATCCGTCAACTTTCGTCTGTCTGTTGAACTTGAAATAACAATAAAGTTCCCCTAAAACTATGTGCCATAGTACACATGGTACACACTGCATTTCTGAACGTAGTTAAGAAGTGTATGTCTGACTTCAAATAACGCACTGTATTTCAGAACGAAGTTAAGAAGTGTATGTCTAACTTCAAGCGAACTCATCTCGACAGTTGGGAAGAACACAAGAACAAGTTCACTGAGGACCAACTTGTGGTGTTACAAGATCTCCTGGTCTCTCCCAATTACTACGCCTGATTGGCTAATTATTTAATTAATTAGCTAATTGGCAAATTAGCGGACACTGATTATTTAATTGATCTTCAGGTTCGGGTTATAGTAGTGCTTTTCAAATTGACTGGTGAATAACTTGATCATATATTTGATTTGTTTGTTAAGTGGGAGTGTTTATTTTTAATATGAAGCGTCAGCTGCTCCTTTAGGTATTTCAATTTGGTATTTTTATGTACCTTTCGTTTCCTCCTAGAGTCAGAGTTGACTTGATATTATCATATAAATTTATCGCATGTCCACTTGTCAATAACAACCCTGTAACATTCCCCAAACTTTTGTGACGGTGCTTTATAAACCCTATATAGGATTACCTGGTAACTCCTTTGATATTATCTCTATTAGTGGTGCATACTTTCAGAACCTAGCCAATTAATGTTGCGTGTAATTTTAAAGTTCTGCTATAGGGCCTTCTATTTCTAATTATAAAGTAGGTTATAACCTTAGGGGTACATTGTGAGAATTTGTTTCATTTGTAGTTGAGTTTATTGATAACGTTTCATGTCGAAACTTGTATATTTTTTGCGATTTAATGGTTTGTGCAACTGCAACATCAGTGATCAGCCGTTGTGCACTTTTATTATCTCTGTTCAGAAAATAAACCGCGCGCGCCGTGGTCCTGGTTGATAAGCGGTATTATACAGTCTGAAGGCTTTAGCTGCCGATGCATCCGAAAATGAGCAATGACAGTGCCCTCAATGTTCCCGTGACCGCCCAGTGCAGCAGTTTTTATTTTCTTTACCTATAAAAAGTAATTTAAATCCTGTTCCAAAAATAACGCTTCAATATAAAATATAAATTGTGAGAAACCTTGTTGTTTGTGTTGAATTATTTTGTATGATAGCAACGATTTCTCATAATCACAATAATATACAATAGTTTTATCGCAGCTTTTCTTAGTGAGACCATTTGTACCATTTAGCTATAAAAGTGAAGGAAAGTTCGCTGCAATTGTTACCAGCGTTTAATACATAGTAGCGTTAACAGTTAATAAGCTGAAAATCGCTGGGAAGTCTAAATGTTCACAAATTATGATTATTGCATCATGCATGAGACTTTAAAACCAAAAACTTGAAGCCACATCATTATCATCATTATTAGGGTTATAGCTATTAGTATTAGCTTTAAAATAATATTTGGTCTTTCCAGCGGCTTTATTTTGAAGAATTAAAATGGCTGTTCGGCAGTATGTAAGTGTAACTTAACTAATAACTAAGTGATGAGGTACAATATATTAAATAATATATGTTGTTACTGTTAGCTTGAAATCCTAAAACAAATCCATTTTATCTTCAAAATAAGAAGTCAATTGTTTTATTCCTGGTGCGCTCACAGTGTCAACAGTTCAGTTTCAGTCATATGCGATTATCATCGTTGACGAATTTAATTTCAATTAGAGTTGAACCACTGTGTAGGTGGTTAATAAATATTGGCAAAATCCATGATATGGTTGATTCACGATGTCAATCCTTCGCATCTCGCCGATCTGTGGTTGCGAGAAGCATTATTTGATGCGCGCGCGACCCATATAGTAATGCATCGCGCTACAAATGATATGGTTACCTACTCCTAGCTTGCTACTCCACAGTCTATTGCTCGCTCCTCGATCTCACGTATTTAACGGGTGATACTCTTAAAATATTTGTTCCAAGACATGAGACAGTCGCGCGACGAGTCCAACCCGGCGCGCGTCTTGGTCAGGGGTCGTTCACATATTACGTAATCATTTTTGGAAGATTTTTACCCCCTCCGTTACCTGAGGACCCCAGGCTATTATGTTCATTAACATATTTGGCGGAATGACAGGCTGAGCGCGGCCCAGTAACCCCCTCCGTAGTCAGTTCTACACATACAACATATCGCCATTGTGTCAAAATTGTCCATTTGCCATTGTTAATGGACTAGCCGGCGCGCGCTACTTCAAAGAAATTTAGACGATAACATCCGTCAATGTCAAAATTACACTAGCGTGTAGCGTAATCATTCGGAAACCCCCCTCTGCTGATATTGCATAATATGTGAACGACCCCTTTACTCCTTGATAGGTTATAAACCTACAATTGCACGTATGCGAAAATGAACGCAACGGCCAACGCATTGGAAAATATTATTTGAAAACATTTTTGAAAATATTGTGCGAACTGCAATAGCGTAGAGTGCAGTTGGGTTTCAAGTTTTGTCGAGATGGCTATGTGGCCATAATCCTATTATTATTATTATTATTATTGGGATCAGAGATTGGCATGCCATGGGTAACTACATATATTTATAATTATATGGTTGCGCATTCTTACTTACTTGGCGGCCGCGCGCTCAGCCTGTCATTCCGCCAAATCTTTATTATGTTTATGAACACAATAGCCTGGGGTCCCCAGGTAAATTCTTACTACTATACTTACTACTATACTGGGCGGCGCGCGCTTGCAGCTTGTCATTCAGCCGGATCTCTATTTAATAGAACATAATAGCCTGGGTTCCCCGCATCATGTAACGCGCATTCGTGCGAGGCGGGCCACAACGTGGGGCAAGTGATAGTCAATGATGATACTCGTAAAAATGTAAAATTGTAATTGTTCCAAATATTATATATTAGCCCCGAGCGTGCTAAATCACTTTACAGTTGTGAGTTGATCTTCAAAATTATTCTAAAAGGGCCCCCGACAGTTGAAACCAGCTAGCTCGAATCGATGTATTTTCGGACGATGATTCAGAATCCCCCCAATGACATTGGACATAGGGTTAAAATGCTCCCCTGCCGAGATACTGGCGAAAACTGTTTTGATCACGTAATATGACCGTATAAGGGTGAAGTTGTCATACGTTGTATGACCCGCCGCGCACGAAGTGCTCGGCTCCCCCTGTATCGTCAGAACGATAAAGTGAAACGATATAGTGAAACAACCGTGGGGGTCGCAACGTGATACAAGGGTGAAGGGAGTTGGTCGAATTTCTCGTTAGGGTTAGAATTTCGGCATATGCTTTTGTTAGGGATTGGGTTAGGGTTAGGGTTGGGATCAGATAAGAGGGTTAGGGTTTCGAAAAGTCTTTCAGGGCCAGCTAGAGAACGGGTTGAAAAAGTCACGTGACAGTCGAGTGTAGAGTGATTAATCATTATCCTATTAGCCCGTCGACGATAAATTACCGTAATCACTTTTTGGACAATTTTTAGCCCTCCCTTAATTGTTGTCCCTTGTTCTTCTGTTAAGAATAAATTACAAAAGTCATTGATGAATGCCCAAAACAGGTATGGTGCTGAATGGAATGACAAAAATTTCACTGAATTCTAAGTTAAACACAATATAATCCAGGTATCGGCAGGCGCTGCCACCAAACGACATTATCATGCATATACTTCTTTATTTTCAGCAGCTAGTATGTTAGCGCGCATAACAAGGCGCGTTAGCATTTTACCGCCATTCTAGGTTTCACTGATTTCACAATACACAATACACAATATGTCCAATTTGATTCTAATTGTTGCTCCTAATCTGATAATTCTAATGACAGTGACTGCTCCCTATTAACCAACCGACCAAAATTTTCGGTCGAACCCTAAAATTACTAATACCAAATTTAAACCCCACATATGCGTGTATAGTCTCCAAATCTTCTCTCTGCTCTCGGACTTTGTTCTTTTGAATAGAACTGTTTGTATACTTTAACAAATAGTGATTTTAACTTTGAGATAAACTGCTAGATTATTATATTTTTGTACCAATGTTCACCTAACTTAACGTCTCTCGCTGACACCATCACCCGGCAACCAATTTTAAAGTATAATTTATTAACGATCTGACTACAGACTGGCGGTCAACGTTACCCGTATAGTAGCTCAACGGAGGGGGGTAATCGGGGCACGTGTTAATGAAAAATGTACGTGTCCTTCCACAATCCCCTCTGTTGGGTCACACGTTATTGGGAACTGAGATCGCTATCGTGTAACTAGAAGCAGTATATGCAAAGTAACTTAGGTGATAGGTGATAGGCAATATGAAATTACACATCTTACTTTAACTTTATCCCGTCACCCATGGACTTATCAATTAACGGCTGGTGGTGGTGTCATCGTTTGTCGTACTCAAAACGTTTCGCGGTTGCGAATGCCGGCCCATCGAGGAAAATCTTTTTACTTTCTATTTTAACCATTATAAAGTGTGATTAGTCGGATATAGTAGTTTTAAACTACTTTCACAACTACAATTAAATACATTTATTGAGGATGTGCAATGACATGGATGTACCAATGAGTCACTAAAACGTTACGGCACCGGGAGCACCATGGAGGATCGGAGGGCGCTGAATCAGAAGACTTACTCCCAGCCCTGTTAAGAAGTTGAGTACCCACCACACCTGTTGTCTCTGTAACTACACTAACCACGCCATATTTACAAACTGACCACATCACCTCCTTGTGACTCATTGGTACATCTGATGTTGTTGCTTTCCCTCAAATTATTGTAAGTACTAGTGTTGAGTCTTAACGACATTGGGCATTATATATACATTTTAACATTTATTTTACAAATTAAAGTCTTACAAATTGAAACTATAATAATCTTTTTATTCAATCGTATTTTCTGATTAATTTATATCTAAATTAATCTCAATTACGACAATTAGTTACATTCCAATTCTTAAACACATCCCATCACACATTCAAATAATCATGTCTTTCAATCACTACTTTACAACTGTCATGTTGTGTTCGTCCGTAAATTAACTAGCCCTGTGATTGTATTACTCAAATTACAATTATTATTCTCCCCTCTTAATTCTGATTCAACTCTTGCTTAACAGAGATCTCTTGTGTGGCGATTCTGCTCTTCTTATTTTCAGGTCGGTTGTGGGTCGGATGTGACAGTGCCCTCTGGTCAGCCTGGTGCTCCCATTGCCTCTCTACATCATGCCCAAACCTATCAGCAAACAACGACCTAGCCTCGGAGGAATGCCATCTAAACTACAGGACAAGAAGAAGGACAAGAAGGACAAGAAGAATCCCTCCCCTCCAAATCCTAAGAAATGCCCATGTGGCCAGCACGACCCAGAGGCCTGGATTCTTTCTTGTACCAATTGCACCCAGGAATGGCACAGCAACTGTTCCAACCTTAAAGGTATCACTAAGGATTTTGTTGGACAGCTTATCGACTGGATGTGCCCCTTTTGCTTCAACCCACCGGGAGTTGAAGCCCGCAACAATACACAAACTGACAGCCTAATACTGAGGATATCTAACTTATCAGATGACAATGCTTCCCTTACGAAACAGATAACCTCCCTTGAGGATAAACTTACTTCCCTGATTGCAGACACAGACAGAATCAGTAGCAGCTACAATCTGATTGCTGAGAGAGTGGTGGCCTTATCAGATATCAACACAGGTCTCACGCACTTGAATCTGCAACAAGACAAGACCAATTCAACGCTGAAGGCCTTATCAGAGAAACTCGAGAGCATAACAACCACGGCCACATCACAACCACAACATGTTGCTACGCCTCCTCCTCCTCCTCCTCCTCCTTCTTTTCACGTGTTCGAGCCCCCTGCAGTCCCATCCGGTATGGTCCCGGCAATAATTATCAACGATTTTATTGATGAACACGCTGCGCAGCCCATTGTTGACTTCCTAACAGCCACTGAATTTAATGATGAGAATGGTCACTCAGTGAAATCGTTTGGCCATCCATATTCTTATGTAGGGTCAAAAGCGACCACTAGTCCGCCTATCATTCCTGAAGCCTTGCAACCCCTAGTGGATTCGATCAATAAGATGCAGGCTGAAGAGTTCTACAAGAGCTATCCCGAGCTGAAGAAGAAAGGAGCAGCACCAGTTATCAACTCCTGCTTGGTCAATCGATACGTTGGTCAGGAGAGCTTTCTGCCAGAACACTCGGATAATGAGATCACAATCCACCCCGAATCGTCAATTTATACGATCACAGTGGGTGAACCTTGTGAGATCTTGTTTGCTGACAGAAGCTCCAAGACTGACAGTCTCAAGTTAGACTGCGGTGACAGATCAATGTACCGAATGACTCGGCGATCGCAGGACTTCTTCTCTCACCGAATAGAGAAGGGCTCTGTCGAGAAAGGAGTGCGATACAGCCTCACTTTCCGATCAGTTAGTTGGAAAAATCGCAACTCAACATGCATAGTCGGTGATTCCAATACTGGCCACCTTGCCTTTGGAACTAGCAAACTAAACTCGTTTGGTGAGCTAATGCCGGGTCAACGGTTCTGGGCCGCTACAATGGAGGACATCAAGCCTGAGTGGTGCTGTGGCTACAACAACATCGTAGTATCTTGTGGCATTAACAATCTAAAAAAGAACGATGTTAGAAATCAGGAGGACATTGATCGGCTGTTTCAGCTGTATAAGTCTAAAATTAACGAAATTAGACAATTTAATAGTAGTATTAAAATTTTCATTGTTCCGATACTGCCTACCAAGTCTAACGAGCTTAATAAAAAAGCTTTGTATTTTAACTCACGTATATTCAATGATTTGGATCAGCCTAGTTTGGGTGTATCACATGTCCGCGGTCTCGATGACTTCTTAGATCGCAACTGTTTGCTGTCTGAGAGGCTATCGAAGAAACTTGATAAAAACCGTAGACTTGATTTGTTGCACCTAAATGAGGCTGGTGTTAAACGATTTGCGGCTATTATTAAGAAAGCTATATTTAACAGGCTAAATAGAGGAGCTGAAATAAGGAGGAGGACCCGAACCCCTAGCAAGACACAGAACGAGCCGATATCGCAAGCTGCAAGCTTACCTAGTCCTGATGATCGCCAGGTATGATCAACAAAATCTTGAGAGAAAACTGTAACCATTGCCTGAAAAATGTTTACATGGGTCAGCCGTTGTTTGAGTGCAGTAGATGTAATTGTATTGCCCACTCAAAGTGTTTTTCACAATCAAAAGCACAAATTATTAATGACAACTTCTATTGCTTTTCATGCAAAGACAAAATAGTACACAAGTATAATCCCTTCAAACACTTTATAGATGACACAACCTCACCAGAAGCACATGACGAAACATATAAAATATCCTCAATCTTAGACAAATGCCAAGCTTATTCTGCTAATGAAATCAACTCATCGCATGGAGAAAACCTTAAAAAGTTTTCCAGCTCCTACTTTCTTAACATTGATGGCAATAAAAGCAATTTTGATAGTCTATTAACTGAACTGCACCGCATTAACCAAAACTTCACCGTAATAGGTTTATCAGAAACTAACATAGGTCCTGATGAAAGCACCGTGTATTCAATTCCTAACTACAATAGTTTTTACCAGAATACTGTAGGTAATAAATCCAAAGGAACTGGTGTAGCATTATATGTTCAAGATAGACTTAGCAGTATTGTGAACGAACTTGCGTCAGACGTAACCGAGAATTTAGAATCACTATTCGTAACTAGTCGTAAAAACTCAGAAGAAGTAACTTTTGGGGTTATTTACCGACCACCCAGCGGTAATTTTGCAAGCTTCCTGACAGAATTATCCAGAATACTCCAGATATTGCCTAAAAGATCTGCATACATAATGGGAGATTTTAACGTCAACCTTCATGCTAATAGTAAAGAAGTTAACAATCTCGAGGAGATAATGTTTAGTGCTGGTTTCTCACCTCTTATATCAACACACACGCACGAGAAACCGGGATGTAATCAAACGTGTATTGACAACATTTACACAAATGATATTAACAAGGTTGTTGCCTCAGGTACAGTATCTGACAGAATCTCGCATCATCTGCCAGTTTTCCATATTTTTGAAGACTTAGCTGTAACTAACTCTGAACCTCAAGTTAAACATACCCAATATTATGATTACAGTGAATCGAACGTTCGACTTCTTGTTTCGTCTTTAAACCAAGATTTCTCTGAGCATCCACCAAGAAACTTTAATGAATTTCATGACACATTCAAAACGAATCTAGACAAATCATGTAAACTCAGTAAACCTAAAGTCTCCAAAAGAACGCCAATTAGAAATCCGTGGATAACAGGAGGATTAATCGCGTCTATAAATAAAAAACATGAGCTGCACGACCACTGGCATAAAGCGAAGAGAGAGAAATGTTTGCATAATCCAGGTAAACTTTGTCGTGAGATCAAGGAAGCCTGTCACTGCAATCCTTGTAATGATGCCAGGGAAAAGCATGCTAATTTTACTGACAAACGTAGGAGAGTTAAACACGTAATACGACTAGCTCAACGCCACTACACGTGCAACAAAATTGAGGAGTGTCAGGGTGACAGTAAAAAAACCTGGCAGTTAATTAATAAAGTGCGAGGAAAGCAAAATAAGCAAATGAAACCGTCATTCATGATAAACAATGAGCGTGTTATTTGTCGACGAGTTATTGCTCATGAATTTAACAAGTACTTTGTGTCAATCGCCTCCAATCTGAACGAGGTCTATGAGAGGAGGATTGATGAAGATCCTATAATTGCTAAATCATTCACTGACTACTTGCCACAGTCCTGTCCGTCAAGTATTTATCTCGCTGAATGTACAAGCTCTGAAATAATACAAATTATAAGTGAATTTAATAACGGTAAAGCTAGCGACATACCGGCACATGTAATGAAGCAGTGTAGTCAAACTATATCAGAACATCTTGCCAGAATTTATAACAACTGCATGAATGAAGGTGTCTTCCCTGATCAACTGAAAACGGGTAAGATAACCCCGATATATAAAAAAGAAGATGAGGAATTACTCGAGAATTACAGGCCAGTATCAACATTACCAGTATTTGGCAAAATATTTGAAAAAATTATTTACAGTAGATTATACAACTTTTTCTTATCTCGAGGAATAATATTCGAAAATCAGTTCGGCTTTCGAAAAAACCACTCGACAAGTCATGCTCTTAATTACTCCGTAAATCATGTCGAAGAAAAACGGAATAATAAAAACCACGTATTAGGAATATTTATCGATCTCTCTAAAGCATTTGATACCTTACCATTTGATATGCTACTTAAGAAACTTAGTAATTACGGAGTTAGAGGAAACGCACTAAAGCTGCTCTCCAGCTATCTAAATAATAGATACCAGTATGTTAGTGTACTTGGTGAAGAATCAGAGCCTCTCCCAGTTAAACTAGGCGTACCACAAGGATCCGTTTTGGGCCCCTTGCTCTTTCTTATCTATATAAATGACATCTATAGATGTAGTACATTAGGAAAGTTTGTACTATTTGC